TAACAGCACCCTCAGTGGGAGACATTACGCAGGCACCCGGGATGCACCGTCCCGGAACCATTTCCGTTCCCCTATCATAACTGACCAGGGACAGGAAATGGACCGGGCACACGAGGAGGTTTCCGACGTGGCACCCCAAATCCTTCAGGAACCTAACACTACCGGGATAGAAAGATAGGTCTCATTTCTCTCAACCCATGTCATTAACTATGTATATGCGAACCAGATTTCATCGAAATCCATTCAGCGGTTTAGGCATGAAAGGGGAACAAACAAACAAACTCACATATGCATTTAAATTATTAGTTAGGATTAGGTTGGTATATCCCTTACCATCAGGCTGGCCGTATGCTTCTATATCTCCCTTTTTATATGAAGGAATTTCCAAGCTATTTTTGTTATAAAACCTACATTTTTATGTAATAATGATGTTTTTAGAGATACCTAGTTGCCGCCTCAACAGATCTAATTTTCGCTTTCTCAGGGAATTTAGTGTTAGTCTCTTGTTAGTAAAATTAAAAACATTTATCACAATGTAAATGTAACTTAATCTCACACACTCAGTGTAAACTTCTCATTATAATTTAAAATAATAAGTGCACAACCTCATTAACTTAATTAATAAAGGTAATTTAAACAACTGATCTAATTAATTATGTATTTACGTCTTACATACTTATTTATGAAAATATGTTTTTATATACAAGTTTTTACTTAAAATTGTTTCTGTTATTTTCACAACTAATCAATATATTGACTGTATATTAACAAGAATCTCTCTAAAATAATATTTATCATACTTTTACAATGATTTGTATTTTTGTGATAGTTGTTGTTATAAAAAATATTATTTTTTACTAAAACTAAAGTTTTAGTAAAAAATAATAATTTTTATTAAAATTATACATGTATAGTTTTATCATTTTCAAACAGCCATGTTATTAGAACTAATTTAATTACTACTACTTCAACATTTTCACAACTACCTACCAGTTACTGGTGTCGATTCTGGCGTGATTCTCCAAACTTAAAACTAAATTTATCATCAGTCTCTCCTTTTCATTCTGTATAGAGAATGACAAGGATGCACTGTTGTCAAAATTTAGAGAATCATGCCAGAATCGGCACCATTGTAAGTTTTAACTAGAATTTTGTATTTTTGTAATTAGCATTATCCCATTCAAAAAGCGGTGTTGTACATTTTTTGTGTGAAGTCTATTCCAATAAATATGTTTTGTTCAATAAATGGTGAAAATAATGAAAATTTAAAAAAAATAGATAATGTGCCACATTTAGGCTTTTTTTACAAAAGTCGCCACCAAAACAAAAACTGACTCCTTGGACTGACAAGGAAATACGGGATAATACATTTATCTATGAAGAAATAAATAGATATTTTAGTATAACTTCAAACTTATTTTTCACGGCAAAAGAATTTGATTTAAATTGCATCATTCAACTGTGATGATACATAGGTAACACTCATAAAACTATATTCTATTAGAAAACTCGATGGAATATTATTTTTATTGTGAATTGACAAAGGATTTGGAAAAGACTATCTTATCTTTCGTTCATACAGACTGAAATAATAATAATATACTTACAATAGTTGTGCCCACAATGTAATAGTGTAGCTGCGAGTATGTTAAGCTTCTGGTTCCTATTAACATAACAAGAAACGCGTTAATGGGAAATTGGTACCAATTCTGGCGTGATTCTCTAAACTTAAAACTAAATTTAACATCAGTCTCTCCTTTTCATTCTGTATAGAGAATGACAAGGATATACTGCTGTCAAATTTAAGTTTAGGTTTAGAGAATCATGCTAGAATCGACACCATTGTCAAGGAATATTATGTTCGAAGACAGTGCCGTCTTTGACCTATTGGGGGCCCTGGGCATATTAGGATAATGGGGCCCCTTTGACTTCCATTTGGTGATTTAACAGGAACTAGGGACATTGTATTTGATCTGAGGGGCCCCCCTATCGATCGCGGGCCCCAATGGGAAAGACGGGTCTGTTCGTAGAGGGACCTCGAACATGTGTATTCACCGCTCATTTCCCATAACTACCTCTACTATTTACAAAAAAAATCATTGTTCTCGTAAATAGTGTCAATTCTTAAATAAATATTATTTTACCGGTTTAGTTAATTGCTTTCGAATTTATATGAGTGGCCGCCCGCGAAGACGTCTGCGATAACTTTAGTTTTTTGAGGGTCCCTAAGGAACCAAGTAGTTTTTCGGGATAAAAAGTATCCTGTCTCAATCCAGGTATTAAACTAAATGCGTACTAAATTTCGTCCGAATCTGTTCAATAGTTTTTGTGTAATTCAGTAAAAAAAACATACCTACAAGCGTTTAAATTCTATAATATTAGTAGGTTAATATGGAAATCGCTTCGCTTGAGTTCAATCACTATAAAAAGAGAAAAATATATTATGGTGCGAAATATCTTCTTAAAATGATTGACCATTAATTTCTTAGCCTGTTTTGAGTACACTAGCACGAACCAATATCGAATTCGAATAGTTTGCGAGTCCGGAATGTCATTGTCAAAATTTGTATGGAAACTTGAACAGAAGCGCCACAACGGACGTAACAAGAACTAAAAATCAATGATGACATTTTGCACTCGCAAACTATTCGAATTCGATAATGGTTCGTGCTAAGGGTACAGACATCATTTACGAGAGCAAAATACTGAAAACTTTAGCAACGTCGACCGTCTCAAAGTTTCTGGTTAAAAAAAGTATTAGATATTTAATTCTTATTGTAAATTGTATTTAGTTGAGCACTGTAACATACGTAACTAATAAGACACCGCGACTTAGCCTTACACGATACACTCGAGATGTAAGTTACAAAAATTATAAATGATGATATTACAAAATATGAAATAAGATTCAGTTGTATTATTTCCTTCTTCAATTGCCTCAGCGTGCCAAAATTTAGTGTTAGAAAACATCCTCGAATTAGTGAGATGTTGGAGCCTTCTCCGTCTAGAACAATGGTTCCCAACCAGTGCTCCGCAGAAGCCAAAATATGGTCCGCGAATGATTTTAAATTTCGCGGGCGCACCCGCTAAAAATGTTAGTATTTCTTTTTATTTAATTTCATATTAGATAGGTATTTATTTAAAGTTTCAGTTTGATTAGTACAGTTTATTTTTATTACACTAAAATTTAGTTATTTAGTGACTAAATAGTGGTCCGTGCCAAAAAAATAATGTAAAAGTGGTCCCTGACCAAGAAAACGTTGGGAACCCCTGGTCTAGGAAGTAACCTCCACTCCTATGTCGTAGGATAAATTGTTGAATCATTTTTTTATGGAACTTTAATCCCCTTATCAATATACGAAGAATAAGCTTTTATGAGTTACTCTATGTTATGTCTCTGTTCATGGAATAACAAATATCACTTGAGTGATATGAACAGTGTTGCCAGGTCTCCCGATTTTACAGAAGATCACCTGTTTTTCTGAAATTTCTCCTGTTCTACTGTTTTTCGACACGAATCTACTGTTTTTTGTAGAATCGGATTGTATTTTTTAAATTGCTTGTTGAGTTGAATTTTCCTCCATTAATAATGTAGGTAACCTTAATTATTCAGGGGCGGCAGAAGCACAAGCCACAGAAACACATTCGTTACTGGCCTATATCTTGATTTGATTTACCAATTCTAGGAGCTTTGCATCTACTGGTTTTCCTTGTAGCTCTTACCATACATATACTGTTTTTTTCTATAACGCCTACCGATTTTTAAAAATCGGACCTGGCAATACTGGATATGAACAAAACATGATTTGTCTAGTCTAAGCGTATTCCTCGTTTATTAATAAGAGGGCAAGGGTATTTACGTAAACGGTGACAATAAGACAATGGAGACAACATTCCTCAATCTTACCCACTGAAAAAGATAGGTTTTTTTCCAAATCATGAGTAGCCTCAGTAAGATTGCGTAAAGGATCGTTGGCTCATTGATTTTGTTCTCACACTAGGTTATATTAGTGTTCTGAGCATCCTGAGCGAGCGTGCCGCAGCCACTGCCGGATTTAGGGGAGGCTAACCGGGGCGAATGCCCCGGGGCCCCCACAATAGAGACTTCGGAAAAAAATCTTTCAAATTCCAACTAGTAAACATCTTTTCCTTTGATATATTTTTTTGCTCTTTTACCTTTCGATGGGTCAATAAGCATACAAATCCTAAGTGGTCCGGGGCCTCTACAATCCTAAATCTGGCCCTGGCCGCAGCAACGGTCGCCGAAGCGCTAGAAAACAAAATTCGTTAACAGTAAGATTGAGCAATGTTATCGCCATATTCTAATTATTATTTACCCGCGTTTTCCAAATTCGATTTATCAAATCATCGTACGACATAGATACTTCCATTACGTAGTCAGGCCCGGATTTAAGGGAGGGCAGACGGGGCTCTGGCTCAGGGGCCCTCACAACATGAAAAAAAACTACAAATTTCAAAAGATCACGAATGTGGCGTGCAAATCGTTAGATTAAGGGACCTTTTCCTTCGATGCCCACACACCTCTAAATCCGGACCTGTACCTATACTGCAGTCCCCGTAGCATGAGCACCACAATTAACATTATGTCACGTTTTTTATCGCGTCTAACTGTCAAACTCCATAGTAATTTGACAATTGAACGTGATAAAAACGCGTTATACAGGGTGTTACAAAAATACAAATAAAGCTTGAAGGGCGTTGAACTACATCATATAAGGAGCCTTCTCTAATTTTCTTAAAATATTTGCATAAAGTTTTAACTTTTTATAAAAACAGTTATTTTTAATGATTAATAAAAATATCGATCATTTTAAGACGTCACTAGTTCGAGAATTCAAGCTTTATTTGTATTTTTGTAACACCCTGTATATCGTATCGCGGTGCTCATGCTAGGGGGGCAGGAGAGTATAATACGAGAAAAGCATAGAAGCTTGTATAAAATATCTTGATTGTATTGTTGACTATGTATTTGTGTAGGTATGTGGGTGCCCAACGTACCAGTCACTTTGGCGAGCGCATTGTGCGCCACGGCCGGCGCTGCGTGTTTATTCAAGTAAGTAAATCTAAACGTAACAAGATTAAATAAAACTAGTTTAACGGGTTAATGCACGAAACTTTATTTACTTATTGACGTTTCGCAGCCTTTTCAGGTCTGCATCGTCAGAATAATGATTTTTTATTTAATTTTGTCGAGCTACCTTCGATAGACTTATTGAGCGTTCGGTTATTTCATTGGAAGATTTTTAAAATTTTATTATCTATGTATGAATTTATTAGTTAATTTCTTAGGGCATTTTATGTTAATTTAGTTAATATAAAGTACTTTATTTAAAATTATTTTTTGTAATTTTGAATTTATTTATTTGACCCTAACTACCGTAAACTACTACTACTGCTAACAAGATTACATAAAATTACTATTGAGTGTGCGTTGAGTCGATTAGTTGCGTAGTTATCTAACAAAATGTACGTAGGCAGAAATTCGTCTCACTGCGCTGCAACCACCTACTTACCACTTAACGTCCTTTTTTCGATGACGGGGAGAAAAAATGCATTATATCCACGACAATGACCCTCACGACGCAGATGATTGCGTGGTGCATTGGGCAAGCGGCGAGAAGCCCGAGGGCAGCTAGTCGGTATGGGTATACTTTGACGTGCACTCACGTAATCGTGGCATACAGACCCGTCTTTTCCAGTGGGCACTTTGGGCAAGTGCCCAGGGCCCTGCCATCCATCGATAGGGCCCCCTATCCCCCTCAGATCAAATACAAGTCACCAAACGGGGGTCATAGGAGCCCCATTATCCTAATATGCCCAGGGCCTCCAATAGGTCAAAGACGGCACTGGTGGCATACGTCAAACCATCCCGCCTCCGACCGGCAGCCCGGTCCGCACCCGCTATAGCCGATACTAGGCTTCTCCGTTCACATCGTCACTAGTCTTACGGACCGCAGTCCGAGCGGCTAGCCAGCTGACCAACTCCCGTACCTACCAGATAAACCAACTCCCCGATCTACCCATCACCCTCCAGGCGTAACTGCGGGATCCAGTTATGAGTCGCCGCTTGTTACGCCTGCGTTCCTTGTGGATGTGTCGTCATTTTATAACGGTCATCGATGACCAATTTGAAGCAAATAGGTACATTTTAATGTCTCCTGGAAGTTGGAACTTATTTTGAAGTGATAACATCTTATGGGAGGGTAAACCGTTTCGTTGCGTAACGCGTTACGCCGCCAGTCTGTCAGGCTTCCCTTCCTCTGACGCATACGGCAGTGGTAGGCAGGCTCCTCCCCTCTCACTCTACCGCAACACCGCCGCGCCGCTTAGATTACTTAAGTGGTGTACACATTAAGCGTTTTCCAACGCGCGCTTTGCTAACGCGCGTTTCGAGAACCAGGAGTTCTATTGAAGTGTACACATGCAAGCGCGCGATTCTGGTCAAGCGTGCGTCAAACGCGAGTTCTCATATTTTACGTATGATCACGCGTTGCGCGGGCGTTAGCTGCGCGCTTCGAGATACTTGGGCCGCCATTTTGTTGTACATTTGATCGCGCGCTTTGGTATAGTGTAGACGTCAGTTCAACGGAAAAATGGACACGAACATTATGACACAGATTTCTTTATTGATGAAATCCAAAAGCGACCAGCTATTTAGGACATGGAATGTCCCGATTATAAAAAAAATAAGACGCTAAAAAGACGTAAAATAAAAAAAAAAACCCCGGCCAAGTGCGAGTCGGACTCGCGCACCGAGGGTTCCGTACAAACCTGCAAGGTTTACAAAGTTCGTTCATTACGACAATCGAGTCATAACTATGGTATTTTTATTGCAAAATGAAATTCATAACATTACAATGGGGAAAGATGGAGGAGCATAAATTTAAGACAAAGATCTCTTTATCGTTTAAGTAATCCTTTATTTTATATTAACACATATCATTTATCTATAATATAACTGAAACACTTATACTAGCCTTGCAGCAGACTTGCGAAAGTTCTTTTATTAAAGTTATTTATTTACTAAGTTTTTTAGTCACTATTTAGAAATCTGGTTCAAAAATATTAATTAAGTATTGAATTTGAACCAGACCTGTAAATGGTGACTGAAAAAGTTATGAATAGTACCACATTGAACATTGTAATAAGTTTATATTTATTAAAAAATATATATTTTGTAATGTAACTAAAAATTTAAGGTTTTCGGAATTTTTCCTTTATGTGTGCTATAAAACGTTGCTTCATGCCAAATTTCAAGATTCTAGGTCGACTGGAAGTACCCTTTAGGTTTTGATTCCCTTGCGAGTACTTGCGAGTTTCAAAATATGCAGCTTAAATTGCTGTTTCTTTTGATTGCGTTGACATAGAAGTTTGATTTTGTTACAGCTTAAAGGTATTATAGACCTGAGTATTTGGTATGAATTTCAATTTAATACCTCTACGCGTTTATGAGGAAATGGGTAGTAAGGTTAAAATTATTAAAAAAAAATATATTATGTGATGTAAAAAGTGATCCTATAAGGGTTCCGTTTTTCCTTTTGAGGTACGGAACCCTAAAAATACGCCGTCTTTTATAGCGACGGTGGAGGAGCCACACACAAGTAATCACTTCGGCATCTATTTTCGTACTGCTAGAAACACACCCTACTAAACGCTCGCCGAACGCCCAGCCGAGCGCGGCGTGTGTATGCAATCAACGCGGGCTCAACGCAACGCCGAGCGCCCAATGTGTACCCGCCGTAAAGTCATCACTTCTGTCGTGCGTCCAGTGAGGCACACGCTTTTTTTCAGACGTATACTCCAATAGCTTGTGCCATTAAAATTTTGCAAAGTTCTACGGTCTACCGTCAATTGCCATATGGTCTACCATATGACAATTGTTACTTCACCTTGCTTTACCTGTTTCCCCCTTCACTTCAAAGCTAAAAAAGAGACGAATAATGTAACTTATCTCTATAAAATGTATGAAGTGCAAGAGATTGCGACAAACAGAAATAAATAAATAAATATTTCCAACACTCACACCAATTTGCCTAGCCCCAAAGCAAACACTGTAGGCTTGTGTTATGGGATCCTAGGGTAACGTATCGAATACATATCGGCAGTAGAAAGGCAAAATCGCTTTTTCGCCACTTTGGCGTTATATTATATTTATATATAATTTTAAACAGATATTTTTTCTGTCGATCTAATCTGAAGATTTGAGTACTTTTTTGGCGCTTAAGCAACTAAATTAAAAACAAATTGTTCACAATGCTGACGTGACATAAATTTTGTTTAAATCTAAAGAAAAAAAATCCACGCGGACCAGGCAGCGGACGGGTCTCAAATACGCACCCTTCGCAATCCGGGCGAATGCACTGACCAATTATGCTACCACTGCAAATTTTCCTAGCCTTAAGCTGCAAGGCAGCGCCATCTCTTCGCATTGTAGGTAACCCACAATGTCAAATGAAAACTTTTTCAAGTATAAAACATTTGAAAGAAGAGAAAAAACACATCTAGCAGTTAAATGCTTAAAAAAACAACTATAAATTTTGGCAGGCAGAGTGATTTAATTCTTAAAGTATAGCCACTATGTAACTTTTTAATTAAAAGTAATATCCTTACTCAATGTGGGCATCTGACACACAGGCGCTTTATGGGTTAGCTTCTCTATAAGTCGCGGCTCGAAACTCTACCGCTGACCGTTATTGCGCAGAAGTCAAAAATAAAATGTGTTGAAACGAGGTGCGCGGGCACGCCCGTGCGTTGCGCGATTGTAGGACTTACAAGAGGCGGCACATTTGTCCCGGACATGACGTCAAAATGTAAGAGCGGCTCAAAATTTTAAAATGTACTACTTCACATTAAATGTCGCGATAGTCGCGTCTCGTTACTCACTCAATCTTCGTAAGTCTGAGAGAGAGCGAGGCATGACATTTCATTTAAGTCCTCTACGGTACAGTGTAGTAGTACCTATCTCTCTCTTATCTTAGTAGTCTGTGTTTCAGTGCGACAAAGATCTTGTGGCGCATCGCATGACACAAACTGGAAATAATGCTGTCTCATTGTGTTTTCTATAATTAATTTGCAGTACAACGCCCACTTGTCAAACACAACCACACGCCAAAAAATCCTTGTCACTCGCACTGGGTTGCGTTCAAAACCTACGTTCTAGGTGCAACAAATATCTAAGTTGACATTAGCTTCATACATTTTATGTCAAAATTTAAACGTCAGGGTAAAAATTGCACTCAGAGCGTAGGTATTGAACGCAGCCCAGGGTTGCGTTCAGAACTTACGCTCCAGGTGCTACTCGTGCACACAAACGTAATGTCGAGCTTCTGTGCGCCTCAATGTCATATTTGTACTCGTCACTTCAAATGTATTGCCGAGCTTCAGTACGCCTCGCCTCATTTGAAGTGGGACATTGTACTGGCTCAGTACAAAAAAGAGGCTACTCTTACAAACTCTTTTTCAAGTCGTGTCCTACCCAACACTACTCCAGTCGTACCCATGCGCAGCTATCCCCTCCGACTTTTGTTTTAATATTTGTCTGGTACCTATAGTTTTCTGGATGTTGAAAGAAGTATATGGCTCTTCTGTCTAATAGATTGATTTAACTGTAAAATACTTGCAGAGACTTCTACGGTGGACCAGCTTACAATAGCACAGTGAAAGCAGACGGCAAGACTGTCATTATTACGGGCGCCAACACGGGCATCGGAAGGGAGGCGGCTTGGGACTTCGCCAGAAGAGGAGCCAAGGTGGTCGCTTAGAGAAAATTTATTTAACAGTCACGCTAATTTTGATCGTTTGAGACAAAAATGAAAACAAGCTGTGTTAAGCAGAAACAGAACAGCGGACATTTTTGAAGCTATCAAAAATGAGTCCTGTGGACCAATGTCAATGTATAATTGAGGCCATGAGAACCATAGTGGCCTAACTCATTTTTTAACCATATTGGCCTATCTTACTTAGGCCAGTATGGCACCTCAAATTTAGATCACAGAGTAAAAACCGTAACAGTGATTATGCTGCCATCTAGTGAATATTCGTTGTATCACTTATAGACCACTCTGGTTCTATCAAAATGATCAATTTGAACTGGAAAAGAAGTTAGGCCACTATGTTTCTCATGGCCTCTATTGTAAAAGCAGAAAGCGTCCGTTTGCTATTTTTGAGATCAAACAGAATCAAACTTTAACATGGGTTCGCTTGTTACAAAAATGCCCGCTCCACTAAAATTAGGATAAAAATAATACTTTATTTATTTAATAAAATTTATTGACCACATTAAAATGGCGTTGTTTCTAGGTGTTTATGGCATGCCGAGACATGGAGAAGTGCGAGAGCAACCGACGTGAGATCGTGTTGGAGACGAGTAACAAATACGTTTACTGCCGCCCCTGCGACCTGGCTAGCACCGAGTCCATAAGGAAATTCGTGGAGACGTCAGTATCCCTATTATTATATTCTTAATCAAAATCATTTATTCAGTTTAGGCTGTTACAAGCACATATGTATGTCTAGAAGCTACGCCATCAGTTCGTAAATCTACGGCGGGAGACCTTGTACTGAGAAGAACCGGCAAGAAACTCAGCAAGGGCTGTTTTTTTCTCCCTGTTTTATCATTTACAGAGACGTCAAGTTGAAAAATGACTTTAGAGATAATAGGGATGATGACTATTTTTTTTTACTTCGTTTATCAGGTAGATTATCAAAAAGTATTGGACACGTATTTTTTCTTTTTTCACATAATATAAGCATTGCAGAGATATATTGATTTGAAAAGTCGCATGACGTCACGTTTGAGTACACTTATAAGGGAAAATTCACTCAAAAGTGACGTCACGAGCCCCTACTCCCAAACTTTGACGCGCTATAACTTTGTCATTTTTTGGTTGATTGCTCAAAGAAAAAATACGTGTCCATTATTTTTGATCATCTAACTGACGGACTAAATAGAATTTCGTTTACTGTACCCCGTCATCACCCCTTTTCATGAAGTCACCTTTCATTACATAATGTGAAATAATACATTAATTGTTTACCTGCATTTTGATTGCTGTGTCACACAGTATAAATACAAACAGAGTTATTTATAATAGGTGTAATTAAATATTTACATCTTAAATATCAAAGTAATTAGGGCAGACTCATCTCCGCTGGCAGCACCCGTTCACGAGCATGACGCATGTACCAGCCATCGCTTCGCTCAACCATATTTTAGTGAACGTAACGACCCGCCTCACACGACACCTTAGTCCATGATTATATACAAGTCTAACTGTGGCCACAATTCCAACGCGTGCAAAGAAATTTAGTGACTCATTTCTTTTTCGTACTATCCGTAAATGGAGTGCTCTGCCCGCTCACGTGTTCCCTCCCTCTTACAACCTGGGATCCTTTAAAAGAGGCGTGAAGAAGCAACATGCAGGCCGGAAAAGTGAGGATGGTTGATGTGGCAGGTACAACTGTTGTACCAGCTATCTTCACGTCTGGACTTCACCGTCACTTAACATCAGGTGGGGTGGATTCATTGTCGAACCTATCTATCATTAGCGTTCTTAAATCTTAATAAGTCTTGCTAAGCAGTAGAGGCCTTAGAGGATGGCGGACCGCCCTTCACAAAAATCCCAAAGTAAAAAATGCGTGTGCGTCGTCTCGGGACGCACGAGAGAAGTGATAACTTAAACTAATCTAAGCGGTGCTGTGGGTAAGAGTGAAGGAGGAGGAGCCTGTCTACCGCTGCCGTATGCGTGAAAGAAAGGGAAGCCAGACTGGCGCCGTAACGCGTTACGTAACGAAGCGGTTTACCCTCTCATAAGAAGTTATCACTTCAAAAACGAATGGTTGCCATCAGTTACTTTGATTTCAACCATTTTTTACAAGACTTTATACGCTAAATACGCCCCAGTGTCGATAAATTTGTAAGTGCAGCCGTACTTAATTCAAAGTTGGAAAGCAAATTTTAGCGCATTTTAGTACCAAAGCCACCCGAATTTTCGTTGCGCAAGTATAGAATAAGCTTTAAAAATATAGTTGATTTCATAGTTACAATGAATATATGAATCTGAAATAGTAATATGCCGAACAATAAAAAGTCTAAACTTTAATACAGCTATTTTCTGTAAATACACTGGCCTGCAAAACTAAGTATCAAACACGGGTATCACATTTTAGCATTGAAAAAACAATTCTTAATTATAAAAGTTAAAGATTTAAATATAAAAGGTATTATAGCCAATTTTTTCAGTTCTTTTTAAAACTGTATGTACTATCTAAACTCATTCGAGTCCTTTTGAGGATCCGTTACGATTTTAGTTGAGAATGCAGATTTACAGAGCTAAGGATTAAATAAAATACAGTGGTTAAAATTTTTTTCTACGACAAATATTGACGAACTTATGACCAAATTACTAAACGAATTTTCGTGGTGGCTGTGACGTCATAGAGCTCTAGCGTTCGGCCGCGAGCGTGCGTAGAGACGCTACTGAAGTTTGACCGGAGTGAACCACGATCGAGCTCTGTGACGTCACACGTTTCAGCCGCCGGTGAATATTGGATGCCATAAAATTAGTTATAAAATCGCAATGAATGAACCGATTTCGATGATTTAATAAGTATATGACCGAGTGGTTTGTACGCCGGGTTTCAAGGTGTCGAGAGGTCCCGGGTCTATTAATTAAATGCTTATTTGATCATTATACTGTTAATTTTGAGTTGATTTGCTGACTTAGTAATGATCCTCATGATGTACTTAAAAAGTTATTACAATTTTCAAAGTGTGATACTTAGTTTTGCGGGCCAATGTATTTTACGGCACTCTGTATTATACCTAGTCAGGTCATAAATTCTGTCACATGTTTAATATAAAATAATTGAAACAAGTTCATTCATTATGTAACCATTTATATACCAAAATGAACTTAATGCGCTTACCACACGCACAAGCTTCACCACAGTTTGGCCTGCGCAAGCATCTCGCACCAAAAAAACTGTACACTTTGTGCGTTACCACACGGCACAGGTAAGTACGCGCAAGCCTCATTCTTATCGAAATCATTGGCGTGTAAACAATGTTTCCTAATGAAGGAACATTTCTTATGCTACTATTTTTCAAGTTTTTGCTATTAAAAAAAAGACAACGCAAAAGTCAAAATTAAGTGGACAAAAAAATGGCTGTTGAATAGAAAAATTCATACACATATTAATCTAATTAAGGATTTAAGAGATGATCCAAACGATTTTCGTAATTATATACGGATGGATGAAAATGCTTATGGTGAATTGTTACGTTTAATTTTCCAGAGTGCAGGCAGAGATTTGTATAAACTAATTAATTCAGACGTGAATTCGCGATTTACGCAAATCTGCCATTTTTGAGTGATGATGACGAACGACCTCACGAAACGACGAGCGAGCCTCGACACAAAGTACACTCGACTGTGGCTTAGGGACACGAAAAAAGTATCGATACTTTGTGGTATCGAGTACTTTTCCTTTCGATACCGATACTTTTGTACTCGATACTTTGTATTCGATACTTTTACTTATCGAGTACTTTTTGGCAAGTAAGTATCGATACTTTTAAAATTTGGACAAGCGCCTCATATTGTTATGATATATTCAAATTCTTTCCAATCTGTGACTGTGTTTATTTTGCGCTTTGTTTTGTTTCATAGTTATTTATTTAGCGACCATATTGTTAGGAATTGTGATTGATGATTCGCCGTTTATTGTGCTTTTCGCTTGACTGCATTTGATGTATTCAAGTGTAACTATTATTCTGTCTGTGCTGTGTATACCTATTTGAAACCACGGACCTGAAAAAAATGGTTGCCTGTAAAGTCGGTTTTACGGGCGAAGATTTTACGTGACAACGTCTTTTTCTCGGTAGAATATTTATTGATATGAATATAATTAAATTGCACAATAGGAACAAGGAATTGAATGAAAATAAGAATTGCACAAATTTTAACTATAGAAATATATTTTGTTTACTAAAACATTGTACATGTAAACTTAAACTTAACACGAGAGACTCATCGTAACGTTACCGAGCGTTACACTTTTTCATAAGTGACTCCCAGCCGCAACCTAATTTAAGACGTTGTCACGTCAAAAGACGGACGTAACCTCTTCTATAATTATAATATTGAGTGAAGCATGCCAATGGCCGCCGTTAACTGCGTGTCAGATTCAAGTAACATTTTAATTATTAATGTGATATTAATGAACACTTTTTAAGTGTCAGAAATCACAGCTATTTTCTTTTCATTATATAATATAGCAATTTGTGAATTTATATGTCCTTTTACTGTTATTATACGTACTATAATAAAATTGGATTGTTTTTCTTTCAATTTTTAACCCGGGGGGGGGGTTGCTCATCGGGCCACAGAGGATCCGATAAGGCCCTATGAAATGTACTCGATACTTTGAAGTATCGATACTTTTGTTTCGATACTTTTACGAGTACGATACTTTTTTACCGATACTACTCATGAGTACAGTATCGATACTTTCTATTCGATATCGTGTCCCTACTGTGGCTTGAACACTGAACGCCCAACCACACGCACAGACAAGTACGCGCAGGCCGGGCTTGCGCAGGCAAAATTTCAAGCAAGTCGAAAAGTGCGCAGGCCGCGCTGTGGGGTTGGCGCGTGATACAGTTTTACCAACTACACGTACCGTGTTCCGTGTACAAACCGGCCTGCGCAGGCAAAACTGTGGTGAAGCTCGTGCGTGTGGTAGCCCCATAACAAAACATAGATTCATATGACAATAAAGTTTATTCAATATGACCTCCGTGATTTTGAATACAGAGAAATAGGTTCCACAAGGTTCGTCAGGACTGTATTTTGATACACAACTGCATTCGTTTTTACACCTTTCTCACAAAAATGTACCTCTGTTAAGCCCCAATAAGAAACTCCCAACCATACCATGAGCGAAGATGGAAAATGACCTCGTTGGACACGTGGAATACGGTTGCTCGCTTCTTCACTACTGTGTGCGTACACCTTATCATTTTGTTTGTTGTAGCTCTCTTCTACGGTAAAAATTTTTTCATCCGAAAAAAAGAAATTCCCGGTATTTTTTTTCCCGCGTACCGCTTCAACAAAGCGCGGCATCTCTGCAGTCTCCGGTCCATTAGACGAGCATTCAAACGATGTCCTGTTTTTCTTCGATATGCCCGAAGCCCTAAGTCTTCATTTAACACCCTTTTCACCGTGGTTCTGCTTAACCCCATCTGAAGGGCCAACAGTTTCTGCTTACGTTTGGGATTTCTTTGAATTCGCGCCTTCACAGCTTTTATCACTGCTGGAGTCCTAACAGACCGAGGGCGACCACTTCTTGACCTGTCATCTACACTAGAGTCTTCATTGTATCGTTTGATGGTACGATAAACGAATCTTTTGGTTATATTCAAAATTTTCAGTATGTCAAAAATTTGAATTGGCGCGTAACTGCAACGATGCAACGTAATTACTGCAACACGGTCTTCTTTAAGCGTCCACTCCATATTTAAAAATGAGCAAAATTCTAAAAAGTATACATTTTTATTTTCATGAACAATTCGAAATTCGAATTCAATAAACTTATTTGTGGCCAGCATTCTAAAAGAAAAGTTTTTACTGTGTGACAATACTTATGACCTGACTGTGTATATTTGGGTGCGTTACATTATAGAATGTATTCTATTAGATTCAAGTGCGAAGAACCTCGGCTGGACATCTTGGTGAACAACGCGGGCGTGATGGAGCCCCCGCGGGGCGTCACCCGCGACGGGTTCGAGACGCAGCTGGGCGTCAACCACCTCGGACACTTCCTGCTCACCAACCTACTGCTGGACACACTCCAGGTGAATGTATAACCAGAGAATTTACTGCGAACAGCTAGCTTATTGCATTTACCATTGTCTATACAGGTGTTGGTATGAGGAGCTCGATGGCGCAAGTGGTTAGCGCGCTCGGCTGTGATCATTGAAGTTAAGCAACTTTCGCAGTGGTCGGTCATTGGATGGGTGACCAAAAATTTCCTATCTTGAGCTCCTTCGTGCTTCGGACGGCACGTTAAGCCGCTTGTCCCGGCTACATCTGCAGTCGTTAGCACCCACCAATCCGCACTGGGCCCGCATAGGGTAGGCCTGTGCCCCAGCAGTGGGGACATTAATAGGCTGATGGTGATGATACAGGTGTTACCTAGCATGAAAGTCAGAGTTCCAACATATAAGTGCAAATAACAAACCCTGATCAATGTATTTCATTAACATGTATTTTGCTATAATAATCGTAAGGTTTGATAAAAAAAATGCATTAGTATCTAAGATAAAAACCATTTTAGTTCGGTAGAAAAGGTACTTACTTTATGTCGAATGAATAAGGCAGATTTGATTTATTCCGAGAATAGAAGAACCTGTTAAAACTATTGCGAAATTTGTGGCAAAGCCCTAGAAAATTGTAGTAAGTACCTGAGCCAAGGTGTGTGTTTCAGTAGTAGGCATAATTAATTTTATGGAGACCAGGACTAGGCAGTAATATGAGTTTTAACTCATATATCGTTTTGGTCCTTCGAGCCTTTTATAGATAACTACAAAATTAATTCCTTACCTAAGGTGTATTCAAATCGATTTCCCGCAGAGGATGTTATAATTGAAAGGTGTCTCAGATAACGAAAAGGAATTCATTTGTAGTTTTCTATAAAAAGGATCGAAGGACCAAAACAATATATAATTTAAAACTCATATTATAGGCTGACGGCAAGCTCTTCCTAGCAGGGGAGACATTTAGAGGCTGATAATGATTTTTATAATCAATTTTGAACTTGCATGTTGATATTAAAATGTTGGAATACATAATAAAGTTGGTTTTCTTTCAACTTTAAATCAGCCGTTATTTCCCAGTCGCCCCCACGAGTATTGCCACAGGAAACAAATGGGAATAAAGAAACTGATGTGGGGGCCAATGACTTCATTCCCATTTGCCTCCGGTAGCGATCCCCGCTGAGGCGACTTGGGGGTAAAAAAGAAATAAACGTAGAAGATTCAAATAGGGAATGATTTAAAATTTGTCATTATATCTAGGCGTCTGCGCCGAGTCGCGTGATCGTCGTATCATCGCACGCGCACACGAAGGGCCACATTCTGAAGGAGGACCTCAACATGAGCAATAAGTACGACGGCGCGGCTGCGTACGCGCAGAGCAAACTCGCCAACATACTCTTCGCCAGGGAACTCGCTAAGCGCACACTCGGTATTGCATGTGGATTGTAATAGACTATATCAATATACAGGGTGTAAAAAAAACCTATGACAAAGACTAGAACTACGCAATCTATACACCCAAACAAGTAATATTATACGTGGGAATCATATGTAATTTTACGTTAAAAAAATACTTTTTTTTTTCAGTACGCAATGTATAGCGCGGCGCTCTACTGTGGCGCTACGCAAAGCATGTGCCTGTGTGTATATGTCTAAATAACGTTTTGAAAATATTAATGTACAAATCTTGAAAAAAACAGTGACTTTGACCTTCAATATCTCCATAACCATAAATTTCCCAGGTTATGGTCCAGAAGAAAAAAATGATCGTCATGATGTAGCAAATACGTGGCCTTCGACTTCGTTAAAGGTTTTTTTTACACCCTGTATATAATATAATATACTGTATAATATATAGACCATTTGTACGGGAACCGATGTCGTCGGCTCGCCCTACTAACACTTAATAGATAGAAGCCAATTAAACGACGCGACATCAGACGGATGCATCAATCAGCGCTAACACTTCAGAGCAACGACGCTATCAGAACCAAGTTTCGGTCAAGTTATGAGCATTTGCTCAAACATAGTTGTGGCGCGCCTGCCCCGCCCATAAGGTCCTTCTAACCTCTTTGTGTTCTGTGGGTAGAGCATAGCAATTCTCTGTTCAAATTATCGGCCGTCTGGGGAAGTAACCTCCACCTTACAGAAGAGACAGTAAAATAATTGTTTCTGTCGAAAAGTAAGGCTCCAGGGCTTCACGGGGTAGAGCCTTAGATTAAAACAAAAAGGGTAGATACGGCATTCGCGGCTCAAAAGTGATCCGCTTAAATTGTGGTCCACGACCATTATTCGCTTTAGTCCCAATTTGACATTCAAACACTCTGCATGTACACTCAATATAACAATATTGCGTATATTCTGTGTTATGAATATAAAACAAAACCTTCGATGCTTTTATAAAGAACAAATAGTTCAAAATCAAATGCCCCGGCAACGCTTTTCATTCGTAAAACTGTGAAAACATTTTTTTCTCAAAAATCACGGTTTGTCGTGAATATTATTTACGTAATCGCCATTTTGTAAGCAAGAACAGGACAACAATACGCTGCGTTGAAGCATATAGTTCTGTCTCTTTCGCTCGATTGATGTTTATATACTGACGTGTGCGTGGCGAAAGTTGCTTATGTAGTTGAGTCGGATCATATTTTATTTGATGCTAGTATAAGCGTACCGTATCTACCCTTTTTGTTTTAATCTAAGGGTAGAGCATCGGGTCAGGGTAGGCTCCGCGAGTGATATTTTTTCTTTTATCGCAAGCGTGTATAGTCTACGCAAATATAGTCTATGCAAAACTTCTTGACAGTTATCGCGTATCAAGATCGAATTCAACTATTTGATTTCAATCTTGGTTCGTGCTAAGGAGTGCTGTACTCTTAGTACGAACCAATATCGAACTCGTAAAGTTTGCGAGTCCAAAATATCATGGTCACATTTTGTAAAGAAACTTGAACTTAGCAAAAAATAATCCTTATGATTAACCCTTTCGATGGTTATCATAAAATGTCGTGTTTCTTTTTCGAAACTTCACGATTTCGATTCCCAGTCGTAACAGGCGATTTTGAAAAAATCTGTGAGTGCAGTTCTAGTTATTATTAAAAATAAAATGATGTCTTCTTTCAGTAAAATATCCTATCTTCAATATTTAATATACTTTCCCTCTGTGTGAGGTATCCGTGGGACGCCCTGTATATACATAGTCTTACATAGTCGGGTGGGCATAAGCACACTCGTTTTTTTAGTGAGCTGATGATAATGTTTAGGTGTGAGCGTTCTAAAGACGAACCGGTTTCAAGGACCGTTTTGTGTTCCGCGACGATAGAATCGTTTTACGTTTCGGATCCAAACAGTCTTCGTCGAACAACTAGTCCTCGGATTGTCTGCACGCCAATATGTACTTTATAATGAAGTTATTACAGTCTATAATAGAACACAATGATATGAGGCCGTTTCGTTCTATGATAATTAAGCTTTGATTTTACAATAATATAATCTTTATAACTGAACATTTAAAGTCGATTATCGTATCGTCGTCGATGTTTCGTCGTCTAGTTCGCAGCAACGAAACGAACGTTAACAAGATTTCATTTAGTTCAGTTTCTTTGCGTTACATTCGTTCGACCGTCGCGTGTCGTTTCGTTGCGTCACCCGGCTGCAACCAAAACCGAAAACGGTTGCGTTTCGTCGTCAGAAAATTTGAGAACGACCCACCGCTAATAATGTTCAACCTTCCAGCTAAGAAAGTGGCCGTGATCGCGGTGGATCCAGGGTTCACGGACACGGACCTGACGCGGCACATGCCGATGTCCAAGTCTCTGACCCGGTTCGTGGTATACCCGGTATTCTGGCCGTTCATGAAGTCGGCTAAGATCGGGGCGCAGACCATTGCGCACGCGGCGCTCGACCCGGCGCTGGAGAAATGCGCGGGAGACTACTATGTGTAAGTTCATGACTTGTAATCTCTTATCTATTAGACAAGTCCGTCTGTCCGTGGTGCTGTTTCAGCGGCCAAACCGTAAGAGATAGATAAAGAGAATATTTAAGTTATAAGTTAAGAATAGTCTGATAAGACTACAAACCGGATTTGAGTAACGTAGCACTTCCGGTTTTCGAGAAATCACGAATTTCAAACGAAACCACACAAAATCTCCGAAGTTCTCAATTAATTAAATACATTTTTTTTTAAATCAAGTCTTGGTGAACATTTGGTTCACTGATTTGCTAGTTACTATTAAATTATTACCAATATCTATATTGACGAAGTTATGACCAAATTACTAAACGAATTTTCGTGGTGTCTATGACGTCATAGAGCTCTAGCGTTCGGCCGCGAGCGTGCGTAGAGACGCTACTGAAGTTTGACCGGAGTGAACCACGATCGAGCTCTGTGACGTCACACGTTTCGGCCGCCGGTGTATATTGGCTGCCATAATAGTATATTATGATGTAAGTGCGGTAAGTTGAGAATTACAGCCGAGGCGATATTATTAGACCGAGCCGTGGTGAGGGCTATAAGAAGGCCGAGGCTGTAATTATCAAACCTCACGTATGTCATACGACATTTTATAACACGTTTGCGAGGAAATAATACTACTACTACTACGTACGTACTTTTTGAAAATGAATTTGCACCTTTGTTTTTTTAGACACTATACGAGCAAATATGTTATAAATGCTGTTACATCATACTTTTTTTTTTTTTTTGAATACAATTACTCCATAGGCGTATGCCCATGCCATTATTTAGTTTGACTTTTGTTTTAAGTTTTGTTATATACATTTGTTTGTGCACTCAGTGCAGCCTTTTATATTTAATCATGCAAACATGCGGCATGCTCACTTATGTCTACTTAACTAATATAAATTTGGACATATTGTCCATCCCCTTTTTAATGAATATTCTATTATATGTATACGATTTTTTTTTTCTTTATTTTTTTTTTCACTTATTATCTATTGTACATGCTTTGTGGAACAAAAGGATTTTCAGTTTATTCTTACATCATACTTTTAATGTTGTTGGGTTTTTTCGCTCGTTTTGCTCCGCAGATATTTTCTCTAGCCTTTCTTAAGTTGCAAGGCAGCTTTATCTTCTTCGCCTATCAGGTAGATTATCAAAGTATTGGACACGTGTTTTCTTATTTTTTACATAATCAAAACATTACATAGATATGTTGATTTGAAATGTTGCATGCATGACGTCACGTCTTCGTACAATTTTTACTTAGACGTGGCGTCACGAGCCCCCACCCGTTAAACTTTGACACGCTTTATCTTTGTATTTTATTGATAGATTGACAAAAGAAAAAGTAAGTGTCCATTATAGTAATATAAGTTATTTACGGAATTGTTACCATGTACCTTGTTTTTAGCGAGTTTCCGATATTTCGGCACTGTTGCAAGCGCCATGATCACGGAGTAACTGGATGCGGTAAACAAGATACATGGTAACAATCCCGTAAATAACTTATATTACTATAATGTTAGTGACCATGAAAGTTTAAAACAATATAAGTGTCCATTATTTTGTGATAAATTAACTGACGGTATAAATAAATAATGATTCGTTTATTTTACCCTGTCATCATCCCTATTGTTTGACTTCGACTTTTCTTTCCCAATGTTGTTTGAATATCATTACGAAACATGTGCTTTCTTATATTTTTATTTTTTAAGCATTACACTGGTAGAGGTATAAATCTAAAGAAAATTTATAATGCGATGCAAATAAGAATAGGAAAGCCAATAATGACCTCTATCTGTCAAATGTCGCTTGAAAAGTACGGTTTGCAAAAAAAAACTTGGAACCCTTTTTTAGCACCCCGCTAATTCAAGAATAAAAACCAAACATTTGTAAACAAACAATAACAATTATTGATATTTTTTTTTTTCACTTATTGAGCTTTGGCCATGAATGGTTGATAACCTAAATCGTCAACCAAATGTCACTTTAAGTTGCATTCAGAAACTCGATTTCAAATTTTCGTTTACATAAAGGATGCATCTTCGTATGTGACCTAGTAATACTACATGATTATTCATAACTACTCTGCATTACCGCCGGAGTCTAATATAAAATGTAGCTCTTCAGCTAGATTCTGATTAATGGTTTTTTCTTACAGTCTTAATAAATAAATACATATTATTAAAAATCGGTGCTTTTTTTCTCAATCTTAGTAAAAAAAGTTATTAAAAAAATCTGATGCTTTTTCTCACTTAATAATAAGTTTTATTAAATAAAAACTTTTTTTTGACAGCTATGACATCACAATATGGCCCCGAACCCTTACTATTCTTAGTTGAATCGCATTATAATTCAATGCGGTGCCTGGACCGCTTGGAAATTTTGCAGACAGGACTCGAACCAGCACTGCTATCCAAGCGGATGCACTGACCAATAATGCTACCGCGACCTTAATGGCCGTGCCCAATAACTTCTAGTATTTCTTAGGCTGGAAAGCAATAAATTTTCCTTCGATTAAATGTGCTTTGTTTTATCACAGGGATATGAAGATAGCCGAGCCATCTAAGGAGGCGCAAGACTTCGAGCTGGCCTATTGGTTGTGGAAAGTAAGCGAGAAGTGGACAAAGCTGGACGAGCACAAGACAGCACTTACCAAAGCTTTGGCCGCGTAAATTAACGCAGGGGGCACACTGGCGCCACCAATTTTATAAACTTTTCGAATGAGAGCAAAACCTCGGGAGTGAAGTGATTTCTTTATTGTTTTGGTACGGAGAGAATGTACTGTAAATATATTTTTAGTGAGTGTTTAGTGTTTTAGTTTAGTTGAGAATATAAATGCATTTATTTGGCTTGAAATGGCAGTTGAGTTGATTATATTAAAGTTATATTTATAAAAAAAAAACAATATTTTGTTTTGTTATAATTATTCACTTACTAATCTATCTAATTTTGACGGCCTCGACGGTGTCGCCTACTCGGGAGGTCTCGGGTTCGAATCCCGTTGGGGGCAGATGTTTGTGTCAGAATACGAGCATTAGTACTTCAGTCATGGATGTTTTATATGTATTTCTATATAAATATACATACATATATGTATTCTATCCGTCACCCTAGTATCCCATAACACCAGCCTACAGGACTTACTTTGAGGCTATGTGAGTGTTGGAAATATTTATTATTTAAAAAACGTAAATTGTAAAAAAAGAAAGTTAATAATGAAAATGCATATGATTACGGTTATTTCCCAGAAGAATGGGAAGATCAATTAAAACTACCTCATGAACAAAATATATACACTTTATTATCCTTATAAAACTATCACTCCCAAATGGAGGTGTGGAACTCCGGCCTATCGAATAACAGTTGCGCGGGCGCAGGCTGCAGATTCGCGGCTGGGTGTTTATGTAACAGCTGCAGTACCCCGGTTCCTAAGGCTGCCGGTACTCCCAGGATAATCGACTCGGAGACGCCTTCGATGCGATCGCATTGACCGTAGTACGCCGCGTCGAATAAGTGGTCGGCAGTTTTCTCGAACTAAAAAAAAAATCCTTACTGAACCTGAGAAGTTCGATGGTTAACGCGTTCGGCTGCGATCGTTAAAGTTAAGTACCTTTCGCAGTGGTCGGTCATTGGATGGGTGACCAAAAATCTTCCATCTCGAGTTCTTCCGTGCTTCGGAAGGCACGTTAAGCCGTTGGTCCCGGCTGCATCTGCAGTCATTAGCACCCGTCAATCCGCACTGGGCCCGCGTGGTGGGTCATGGCCTAATCTCCCTATTCCATCCATAGGGAAGGCCTGTGCCCCAGCAGTGGGGATATTAATAGGCTGATGATGAATCCTTACTGAGTTTCTTACCGGTTTTTACTAGTATAATGGAGTCATTTCTGGCATTATTCTCTAAACTTAAACTTAAATTTGGCAACAGGTATCCTTGTCTTTTTCTATACAGAATGAAAAGGGGAGATTGATACATTTTTATTTTAGCATTTGACTGCTAGATGTTACCATTATTGTGGGTTACCTGCAATGCGAAGAGATGGCGCTGCCGTGCAGCCTAAGAAGTGCTAGAGAAAACTCGACACGGCCATCAGGGCCGCGTTAGCGTAATGGTTATCAGTACATACGCGGAGGCAAATGGTACTGTTAGTACCCACCAATCCATATTACGCTCGCTTGGTGAGCTCTCCTGACTTTCTATCCACAGATGAGGGGTTTTGCTCCAGAAGAAAGGAAATAGGGTATTTGACAAGTTTTAGAAAACGATCTGACGTTATTGACTAATGTTTATGGAGTCCATAAAAAGATTTGGATTTTCATCATTCTGTTGTGTATTTCAGTAAAAATAACCAAATCAAAAACTCCATTTCCAAGTTGCCGCGAAAACGTTTCTCTGGACAATATGGCGTGTTACTAGTGTGTGACGTCACACGACTGTTAATAAAACGTCAAACGATACAATGTAATGTCACTTTAACCGGAAGTTTACTTGCGTGTGACGTCATTTTAAGCTCGGCCAATCCCAAGCGTTTTGGGTCACGTGACAATAGATAAGAAAACTATTGTCGTTTTCGTTAGTTTTTAGTAAAATTATGAATATTTTTATTGTAAAAATAGTAAAAACCCCTGCCAATATTCATTCTAAACACAGATGCTAACAATTGGCACTTAATTTTTAACTCTGTCAAATACCCTATTAATAGGTTGATATTTTTTTTACTGTTATCTGTGAGTGTTGCTTGAATAAATAGATCAAGATATTTTCATACTCACACTAGCCAGATTAAGCACCGATTCCTTCATACGGGCGAGTCCATATCGAGTGATTCCCAACACTTCCCCTCTTGCTGTCATTTGTCCCGCTAATAATTCTACGTGACGACGATCCACACTCATTCCGTGCCCGGCCATTACCGCCTGAATCTCGCTGATGATCGTGGACTTAGCTGCTTCTATGCCCAACGTGTGGTAAACCTGTACAGAATAATCTCTTATCTAAAAGACAAGTCCGTCCGTCTGTCTGTGGTGCTGTTTCAGCGGCCAAACCGTAAGAGATAGATAAAGAGAATATTTAAGTTATAAGTTAAGAATAGTCTGATAACGTAGCACTTCCGGTTTTCGAGAAATCACGAATTTCAAACGAAACCAAAACGAAATAAATGTATACGTGTGTACAATATACACATGTGTGTAAATATACATAATATTATAACGGTTATATTTTGGAGGGAAATATCAACAGAGATGGGTCCGTTACGGTTTAAAATTATTAGTTTCCACAAAAAACACATTTCGACAAAAGTGTCGCTTACGATAATTTGGCGGTAACGGCTCGATATTTCATTTACTAGCTATAAGAGAAAGAGAGAAAGACAAAGTGCGCGCGCACTGGTTCTCTTGCTTATATTCCCCACTCAACTGAAACTTCTTTACGCACGCTTCACCGGCGAGGTGACCGGGAGTTGAGTGTGTCCGCGCGCACATTTTCTCTCTCTCTTTCTCTTATAGCTACTAAATGAAATATGTATATACATGTATATATTGTACACATCTTTATATATATATATAATTCTTCTGTGAGTGTGTATGTCACTGAACTTCTCTTAAACGACTGGACCGATTTTGATGAAATTTTTTGTGTGTGTTCAAGGGGATCTGAGAATGGTTTAGATTCACAATTTTGTCCGCTGGACAGTGTTTTTTTAATTAAATTTTTTTATGGCGGTACGAAGTTCGCTGGGTCAGCTAGTATATATATATATATATACATACAGATGCAGCTAAAGAAGTTTCACTTCAGTCGTGTGGTCAAAAGCACACTCGTTTTTTTTTCATAAGAACCTTCAACATTTTGCTATTTTAAATTAAAAAAATTATAATATTGATAATTTCATGTGATTGTGCTACGAAAATAATTAGGAAATCATTTTTATATTAATAAAGACATACGGACGGGTGTTGTTACCTCAAGAATGTTGTTGGAAGTGGTCTTTCTGCCGTCGACGCCGTAAGTAGCCATCACGTCACGCAGGCCGTCGCCTTCAACGCAAAGCTTGTACCTAAAAACCAATTAAACAAATAAATATTAGACAACATAGCACTCGTAACGAACGTAAGTAATGTGAGTATTCACCGTTCAATCTGATATATATTAACATTCCGATAGACATTAAAAGAGAAAGCAACATAAATACATTTGAAATGAAACTCAAACAACATCTTATCAAAGAATCCGTCACGGAAAGCTCACTAATTTTTTTGAATCTGAAACTGTTAATAGTTGTATACATATACATAGATAATGTACTTCCAACACAATGACAGGGTCATGTACCATGCTAAAATAATTGTTTAAGATTCTATACTGTATATATGCAATTAAATGAATAAATAAATAATTCAGAAATCAAGTGATGCTTGAGAGGTTAAAGGGAAGGGACGCTTAGTTTATTCGTTATGTTTATGGTTGGCCTATTATAAATAGTGGATATTGGCCCATCGTCTATGGCGATGACGGCGCGGGCCACCTGGGGCAGCCCCTCGACCACGACGCCGGGCAGCTAGCGCGCTACTTTGGCCCACTGACCTGGAAGTGGGCCCCTCGTCTATGGCGATGACGGCGCAGGCCACCTGGGGCAGCCCTTTGATCATGACGCCGGGCAGCTGGCGCGCTTCTTTGACCCCACTGACCTGGAAGTGGGCCCCTCGTCTATGGCGATGACGGCGCGGGCCACCTGGGGCAGCCCCTTGACCACGACGCCGGGCAGCTGTCGCGCTACTTTGGCCCCACTGACCTGGAAGTGGGCCCCTCGTCTATGGCGATGACGGCGCGGGCCACCTGGGGCAGCCCCTTGACCACGACGCCGGGCAGCTGTCGCGCTACTTTGGCCCCACTGACCTGGAAGTGGGCCCCTCGTCTATGGCGATGACGGCGCGGGCCACCTGGGGCAGCCCCTTGACCACGACGCCGGGCAGCTGTCGCGCTACTTTGGCCCCACTGACCTGGAAGTGGGCCCCTCGTCTATGGCGATGACGGCGCGGGCCACCTGGGGCAGCCCCTTGACCACGACGCCGGGCAGCTGTCGCGCTACTTTGGCCCCACTGACCTGGAAGTGGGCCCCTCGTCTATGGCGATGACGGCGCGGGCCACCTGGGGCAGCCCCTTGACCACGACGCCGGGCAGCTGTCGCGCTACTTTGGCCCCACTGACCTGGAAGTGGGCCCCTCGTCTATGGCGATGACGGCGCGGGCCACCTGGGGCAGCCCCTTGACCACGACGCCGGGCAGCTGTCGCGCTACTTTGGCCCCACTGACCTGGAAGTGGGCCCCTCGTCTATGGCGATGACGGCGCGGGCCACCTGGGGCAGCCCCTTGACCACGACGCCGGGCAGCTGTCGCGCTACTTTGGCCCCACTGACCTGGAAGTGGGCCCCTCGTCTATGGCGATGACGGCGCGGGCCACCTGGGGCAGCCCCTTGACCACGACGCCGGGCAGCTGTCGCGCTACTTTGGCCCCACTGACCTGGAAGTGGGCCCCTCGTCTATGGCGATGACGGCGCGGGCCACCTGGGGCAGCCCCTTGACCACGACGCCGGGCAGCTGTCGCGCTACTTTGGCCCCACTGACCTGGAAGTGGGCCCCTCGTCTATGGCGATGACGGCGCGGGCCACCTGGGGCAGCCCCTTGACCACGACGCCGGGCAGCTGTCGCGCTACTTTGGCCCCACTGACCTGGAAGTGGGCCCCTCGTCTATGGCGATGACGGCGCGGGCCACCTGGGGCAGCCCCTTGACCACGACGCCGGGCAGCTGTCGCGCTACTTTGGCCCCACTGACCTGGAAGTGGGCCCCTCGTCTATGGCGATGACGGCGCGGGCCACCTGGGGCAGCCCCTTGACCACGACGCCGGGCAGCTGTCGCGCTACTTTGGCCCCACTGACCTGGAAGTGGGCCCCTCGTCTATGGCGATGACGGCGCGGGCCACCTGGGGCAGCCCCTTGACCACGACGCCGGGCAGCTGTCGCGCGAGCTGCTGCAGCGCCACGTTGAGCCAGCCCCCGCTCTTGGCCGGCTCGCCGCGGACCTTGATCGCCCACTCGGACACCGCTTCGATGTTGCCTGGCTTAATTTTCAATTTGGACGTACAGATGCTGCGAAAAAAAATGTTAGTGTATAAAAGACTGTTAAAGCTTCCATGGTCAAACACTACAGCAATTTAGGTTATGAACGGGATTGCTACCGTGTACCCAAAATAATCAAAAGTGTCGTATCGCGATCAGTACCCCTAGCACGAACCATTATCGAATTCGAATAGTTTGCAAACCGAAATGTCAATGTCAAATTTTGTATGGAAACTTGAACAGCAGCGGCACAAAGTCCGTAACGAGAACTAAAATTCCGTACACATTTGACAATGACATTTCGGACTCGGAAACGACACGAATTCGATATTGGTTCGTGCTAGGGGTACAGATGAGTGTTGTGTGTCGAAAATAGTTTCGAGTGAAAAGTGAGTGTGTGTGAGACCATATGTCAGTTACTCCATGATTATAGTGCTTGCTTAAAAATACGGTACATGGTAGCAATCCCGTTAATAACACAAATAACTATAGATAAAAAACTGCTCTGCGAACACTTTTTAAAGTAAAAAAAAAATGGGTGCGTGTACTTATGTAGGCGCGTGAGAAGTTATCCTTCTTTGGCATCGTTTAAAATTAGTTTTGAATTGCATGCAAATAATTAATTACAATAAATTAATAAAAAGTCTGGAAAAGGACACAGTCAATAAAGTTCAGTTTTAATTTGAAAAAACAAATAAATAATAAAAATATTCAATTAAAATCGCTACTGAATATAATTTATTAGAACATTATGTGATTTGCACTTGTATGAAACTCAAACACGTATTCCGAATATACAAACTAGAAACATGTGGATAAATATTATAAATATGAACCTATAACTGTTACTTTATTACAAAAAATAAAGATGTGGTTTTTAGTTCTACTACACCAATGGTCAAGAGATGGCGCTGTAGTCTCCTGAATCGCGCTTTGGTTCCGTTGTTCCAGATTAATAAATACTTTTTATATTATAAATATGAATACCTATAACTGTTACTTTATTACAAAAAATAAAGATGTGGTTTTTGGTTCTACTACACCAATGGTCAAGAGATGGCGCTGTAGTCTCCTGAATCGCGCTTTGGTTCCTTTGTTCCAGATTAATAAATACTTTTGATAGGCCTTCACAATGCAGTCGTTAGCACCCACTAAATAGAGATTCTATTTCTATTTTGTTGGTAGATTTTCTTAATGTGCGGTAAACACAAAAAACTGCTCTGCGAACACTTTTTAAAGTCAAAAATAAGAACCGTTCACAGAGCTTGTATAGGATCCGACACATCAATTATATCTGTTCAGTAAAAGTGATAAATAAAAATGATAAATGACTTACGAGTAGATAATGGAGTGCACGTTGACCTCCAGACAGAGCAGCTTGATGCGCTCTGCATCCAGCCGGATCAGCAGGAAGCACTCGCTGGGCAGGTACATCTCGTCTATGTACGTCGTTATCTGTAATACACACAGGGAATACATTTTTGGAGTTTACTCCTTAAGAATCGATTTGCATATATAAGGGGCCCGGTATGAGAAAAATGTGAGGAGTAAAATCTATCGATGAATGACCTCGTTACGTTTTTACTGTCTACGCTGTAGCAGCCGTAGTGCTACACCGTAGCACAATATCGTAGTAAAAAGTTTAATGTAAAATATTTCGTCGATTAGTTATAATAAATGTATATGAAATGAATAAATATATATTTATACTAGCGGACCCGACAGACGTTGTCCTGTCTACACGTCTTTGTGAATCTAAACCATTCTCCGATCCCCTTGAACACACACAAAAAATTTCATCAAAATCGGTCCAGCCGTTTAAGAGAAGTTCAGTGACATACACACTCACAGAAGAATTATATATATAAAGATATGTATATTATTTTCATTAATTTGTTAATTTACCCTTTCATACAGTATCAATCTTTTTTAAGTTAAATAAACTCTTTTTGCGTCTGATTAGACTATCGAACTTAAGAAGTAAACTCCAGTCGTGCGTCGGAGCTGGCACACACAATTTTTTTTTCAACACACCAATTAGTCTATCCCCAAAGTAAGCACTATAAGGCTTGTGTTATGGGATGCTAGGGTAACGGATAGAATACGTATACTGCACATATATAAGAACATTTATATAGAAATACATATTAAACATCCATGACTGAAGTACAAATGCTCGTATTCACCACACAAACATCTGCCCCCATCGGAATTCGAACCCGGGACCTCTCGAGTCGGCGAAACCATGAAACCCGGCGTACAAACCACTCGGCCACGGAGGTCGTCCGACATTGAGCGACACTCGCATGAAACAGACATCTCTCTAGAGATAGAGAGTTTTCTCTCTATCTCTAGAGAGATGTCTGTTTCATAAGAGATGGCTTATCTTAATCATATTATGATTGGGAAAGAAGCACGTAGAGCGTACATTTGTGCGCACGTCCGCATTGTCACTCACAATAGGGATATGCAAGATATTTTTTTTATTTTTGAAGTGAAAACTTCTTTAGCGGCGTTGTACACTTTTTGTATGGGTAAAAAATGTTAAACTCGCGTCAGGTTAAACACGTGGGCTGATCGCATCATGACACACAATAAAATTGGAAAGGTTGTTGACTTTCAATATATTGGACGAATCATAGTAATATTTTATTTTATCGTATTATAATAATAACTTTCTATCTAGGACGCCCACGTGGCAGCTTTATTGCGAAGAAAATGCATTTTTTTACAATATATGTCGCTAGGTGCGCTTAAATGTGATTCATGTAAGTGGATTTCTTTACAATAGATGTCGCTAAGTGGGCTTAAACGTGATTCATGTAAGTTTATTTTTCTGGGAGATAAATTTTCGATAGCGCAATAAATAAATATTGTATCCCACCACATACATAATAGTACTTTTATACTGATAATTAAAGCAATTCGTGCAAAATTATTCCCTAACCATTCCAAAATATCAAAAATGCACAACGTTAATAGTAAAGTTTTCACTTCTGCCGGCACTAACGGAGTGCAACCCGTCGTTTTTTATTTAATAATTCATATCACCTTAACCAGAAAACAAACATTAAACATAAACGTATAAACATTTTCAAGGTCGAAACAATATTGTGTCTAAAAAAACAGCCACCTCGGAGGGGAGCATTTTATACATTCCCTATTTCGGAAAAAATAAACAAAACGACTCTTACTGTGGTTACGCGCGTGCTCATTATGAACTCGCACCAAGTCTCAGTGTTGAACTTGAGTTACAGTTAGAAAGGGTTGTTGCTATGTATAACCAATCGCGAAATTAGTCATATCTTGTTGTCGTTGACTTTGTCATATCCTGTGAATATGGCGTTTGATTGTTCATTTTTTGTTATGGACTTACTACGACACAACCTATATAATGAGAATTATATCTAAGCCCAACTACTCAACAAGAAGTGATAGCATGAACATGCAGAACTATTGGCCCTGTCTTACCCTAATAGGGGCAAAAGCGTGATGGTATTTATGTATTTAATTAATATATTTATTATTATTATTATAACTGAAATCCAATAAAATTAGTAAAATTAGAAATTCCGTTCAACAAAGCAATAGGTAGTCGGTAATATAGAAAAACATTTAAAAACACAAAGAGTGTGGCGTATTGGGCTCTCAATTATAGTCGAGGCAGCGCGCGCGCAAAGGATGTGTTTAGTCAGAGCCTTAATGGGCCTTACAGGCTTCGCTGATGCAAAAACCTCATTTTCTCAGCATTCCGATAGGTTACAGAAATAAAATTGCACAGGGATAAAGTAAATAATTGCATCTATCCATTGAAATATATAGGTTTCGTTTATGTCCGCTACTTTTCGATAAGTTGGGCGAAATATCCCCAATGTCTTTTAGTTTTTTAAGACGAACGAAACGATGTAAATTATGAAAATTAGCTGTACCAATTACAAGGCTCCACAAAATCAATAATTCATTTAAATGTCTTTGTGTACGCTTCTACAATAAAGTCCCTAGCAATATCCAAAAATTAATTATTAAATTTAAAAGAGTTCTTATTAATAAAGCCTATTAGTGTCTGATTATATTTCAGACAAAAATGCTTGGGTTTAAACTTCTTTCCAAACGTTCCGGCTGGCTTTTTTTTATAATTATGATGAAGATGAAATAATTTTGTATTGCCACCGTAACATTATAATATTTTGTAAATATTGGCACATAATTATTTAACGCTGTGAAGTTTTTTTTGCCAGTTTTTCTCCACAGCTAAAAAAAAATCCTCGACTGGTGGTAGAGAAAAAAATTTGGACGATTCAAAACAGTTGTATTTTGCATCCAATTAGAATAAAGATATTGACTTTTGATGGTTGGCATCATACTATACAAAGTCTGCTCACAAATCTACGCGACATCTAATTCTCACCTCTCCTAATGTGGTCTTCTCTATCCGTCCCTTGACCCTCCTGGCGAACTCCTGGTCCTCGGGCTGCACCAGCTCAGCGGTGATGATGGGCGTGGATATGTTTCTCGAGGCGTTAATGATCTCCTTGACTCTCGGAACTCCTTGCGTTATGTTCATAGAGGCGACGCCCGCGAAATGGAACGTTTTCAATGTCATCTGAGTGCCGGGCTCGCCTATACTCTGTGGGATGATATGGGCATGGTAGTTGTAGTGTGTCTACAGTATATGAGTAGAGTGCCAGATAATTGTTAGGTAAAAGTTAGTGTACGAAACAAACCTAATGATAGTTGTTCTAACACTGTTTATTTGCATGTAAATTCAATATCTCTTATCTATTAGACAAGTCCGTCTGTCTGTGGTGCTGTTTCAACGGCCAAACCGTAAGAGATAGATAAAGAGAATATTTAAGTTATAAGTTAAGAATAGTCTGATAAGACTACAAACCGGATTTGAGTAACGTAGCACTTCTGGTTTTCGAGAAATCACGAATTTCAAACGAAACCACACATAATCTCCGGAGTTCTCAATTAATTAAATACATTTTGGTGAACATTTGGTTCACTGGTTTGCTAGTTATAATATCACCTGTGCGGCCAACGCGCCCACGGCGGTGCCTGGCTCGATGACGGCGCGCTGATACTTGTGATGACAGGTGCGTAGGAACTGCACGAGTTGCGTGAGACTCAGTCGCTCCAACTGTTGGACGATGCGGCCGCAATGCGCGTATTTGGCGCGGATTACGCGCACTTTATCCGCCACCCCTTTTAGGAAGGCCCTGTGAAGAAATTTTGAAATATAAATTTGTCTTCACTAACACTGTAAGTGACTGTAAGTCTTACAGCTAATTCAAAATAATATGGTATACGAACTGTGCTAAACAGTGGTTCCACACAAACTGCGATCAAGTGGGCGGGGCGAAAAATCTGCGATCAAGATGCCGCCATCATGGGATTGTTTAAGATTTTCGTTTAACATTGTCTTACCCAATGAATGGATAGCCGAATTCGTTTACAGATATTTGATTTGTCAAAGTAATAATAATAATAATCATCATCTTTATTTGCAGAATATGGTAACAAATAGTGATACATAAATAAAGCGCATCCTATATTATTACCCAATGGGTGTGCAAATTAATTGTCATGTTGAGAAGAAAAAAAAAACTTATTACAGTTATTCCATTCATTAACTAAGCATAATATAAAATTATGTCAAATTCACATTATCATTATCAAACAATATAATAGATTATTTGATTCTTATTAATAATTTAAGTATATTGTTTTATCTGTGTGCGTGTCGCATTAGTATTTAAGGTTAGTTTTATGTGTTTGGAACAATTTAGCGACCTTTGTTAGAGAGTAATACTTCCATATCATTTGTATTTCATTGTTCACTAATAGTATCTGTTGGCCTTAATAATTAAATAATAATAGTATCAGTGTGTGCTCGGGGCTGAGATTTTATCTCTTGTATAATGGGTTCCCAAGCTGGTGGTATATACCAACCATCTTCCCTATTGAAATTTGGATATTTATAATCTCAATAGCCTTGCGAATGAATCGTTGCTCAGTTGCAAGGATCTGTGGTTTATCAAATCTAATGTAATGGTTTGGTCCCCCTAATGCATGTTCACTGTTAAATTTTTGGTTTACGATAAATATTGACGAAGTTATGATCAAATTACTAAACGAATTTTCGGCTGCCCGCGTGGTGGCTGTGACGTCACTGAGCTCTAGAGCTCAGGCGCGAGCGTGCGTAGAGACGCTACTCAATGTCGAACGGAGTGAACCGCGATCGAGCTTTGTGACGTCACACGTTTCGACCGCCGGTGAATATTGGCTACAATAAAATTAGTTATAAAATCGCAACGAATGAACGCAGATTTCGATGATTTAAAAAGTATATTAATCAAAAAGCTTATTAGATCATTATACTTTAATATTTGATATTGATTTATTATTTGATTTTGAGTTGATTTGCTAACCTAGTAATGATCCTCATTATGCCCACACTATTTAACTTCCGACACTTTTTGAGCACGATTGTGAGTCTACTTATCTATATACGTTAATGGTGTAAGACCAGAGGAGCTCGATGGCGCAAGTGGTTAGTGCGTTCGGCTGCGATCGTTGAAGTTAAGCAACTTAAGCAATGGTCAGTCATTGGATGGGTGACCAAAAATTTACTATCTCGAGTTCCTACGTGCTTCTGAAGGCACGTTAAGCCGTTGGTCCCGGCTGCATCTGCAGTCGTTAGCACCCGCCAATCAGCACTGACCCCGCGTGGTGGGTCATGGCCCAATTTCCCTATTCCATCCAATCCAGGCCTGTGCCCTAGCAGTAGGGACATTAATAGGCTGATGATGAATCCTTACTGAGTTTCTTACTGGTTTTTACCAGTATAATGGTGTCGATTCTGGCATTACTCTCTAAACCTAAACTTAAATTTGACAACAGGTATCCTTGTCTTTTTCTATACATAATGAAAAGGGGAGATGAAGGGGATGAAGGGGAGACCAATCAAGACTTTTCCTCTGCGAGTTAGTGTCCCTGATTAAAAATTGATAACATGCACTGCCGGATTTAGCGGAGGGCAACCGGGGCGAAAGCCCCAGGTACTCCACCAACGGGGGGCCCCCACAATAGAGACTTCGGTCTTCTTTTCGGTTTCGTTCGTTAACACATCTTTTCGGTTCCGTTCGTTAACTCTAAGATTTAATTTCAGATAATTCTTGTTTCCGTTTATATTTATATGTGTTTGTTCAACACTAAGGGAATCTACTTGGTTCACAATAAATTATTTATTGAAAAACTCGACTGAAAAAAAAATGTTTACTTTATTTGGAAAATAATTTGGGGTGAGGGGGCCTCCGCTCCTCTGTTGCCCCGAGGCCTCTGGACCTCTAAATCCGGCCCTGATAACATGTATTATGTAAGACAACTGTACCAGTTTCCACATTCAACGGCTCATCTTCATCAATGACATCAGTGACATCTGTGAGCAAAGTCAAAACAGTTTCCCCCGCCACGTTCAGGAATTACTAAACAATTCAGACTTTTATAAACCACTGTTTAAATTAATAGAAAATACTGTATAGAATATTTAGTTTAAGGAATACATTGTAACTATTTTTGTAAGTGTAAATATTTCTGTTTTAATTGATTTGTACTGCTTAGATTGTAATTACATTTAAATATAACTTTATTATTATTAGCATTTACACCAAAATTTGAAAATTTAAAAAACTAATGTTATTTTTTGTAATTTTAAGTATTGCAATTCTTGTTCTCCTTTGAAGGACACTTATCTACTTAAGTTTTAATTTAAAAATGGTGTCAATTCTGGCGTGATTCTCTAAACTTAAAACTAAATTTAACATCAATCTCTCCTTTTCATTCCGTATAGAGAATGACAAGGATACACTGTTGTCAAATTTAAGTTTAGGTTTAGAGAATCGTGTCAGAATTGACACCAATATTTTGTAACCCACAATGTATTCGACTGAAGGACTCTGTATCCAGGTCATGAATAAATTAAAAAAAAAATGTAAGACAACTCACAGTAGTTCCGCTTTGAACTCGTCGGTGCAACTTTTGAAGTCGTCCAGCGCTAGCGTCTCCTTGGCAGCCAGCTCGATGCCGTCGCCATCTAGTGCCTCCTCGTCCCTGTGCGGAGAGTGCGCCCTCACGTGCCTCAGCACTCGCGTCATGTCGACGGGCCGGTCCCTTCCCTCCATGCAGCTGGGGTCGAGTCCGTCGGATCCGTACCGGAACTGAACCACTTCGCCGGTAGCGTTCCGGACGGTCATGTCGTAGTGTAACACGAGGTCTTCCAACGACTGAAGGACAATCATTATTTCTATAATAGGGCTGATGACGGGATACAGTAAACGAAATTCTATTTAGTCCGTCAGTTAGATGATCAAAAAATAATGGACACGTATTTTTTCTTTGGGCAATCAACCAAAAAATAATAAAGTTATAGCGCGTCAAAGTTTGGGAGTAGGGCTCGTGACGTCACTTTTTAGTGAATTTTCACATATAAGTGTACCAAAACGTGACGTCATGCGACTTTTCAAATCAATATATCTCTGCAATGTTTATATTATTTGAAAAGAGAAAAAATACGTGTCCAATACTTTTTGATAATCTACCTGATAAACGAAGAAAAAAAAATAGTCATTAATCCTATTATGATAAATGGTTTTGTATTGACACTGTAGCAATATAATATTTTGTAAATATTGTTAACCTGACGGACTAAAAACTTGTGTGATTACAGATTATAAAAAGAGTGCTAGATGATGAAGAAAGTTATCTACTAGCTGATGATGATGATCAACACATAACGTATTCTGTGGGGACCCTTTATATGTTTATTTTTTAATAACAATCCCTATCCAATCTAATCAAATATCGATTATTTTTATTCAAATTTGGTTGAATTATCAATAACATTTTGGCGCGTCAAAGTTACCTTCACAAGTCTCCGTTGTAGATAGCCCGTCTCTGCAGTCTTGACGGCGGTGTCGACGAGTCCCTCGCGGCCGCCCATCGTGTGGAAGAAGAACTCTGTTGGCGTCAGACCCGAGTAGAAGCTGTTCTCCACAAACCCTCGGGCAGCGGGAATCTTGGAGTGTCTCTCGAAGTGTGGCAGCGAACGGTCCTCGAAACCGTTGGGCACGCGCTTGCCATTCAGCGCCTGTTGCCCCACGCATGCTATCATCTGCGATATATTGATGTTCGACCCTTTGGATCCACTTTGAGCCATGATCAGTGGAGCATTGGTGGGATGGAGCTCGCGAAAACAAGCCTTGGCCGCCAACTCTCTGATGCTGCTCAGCTCGCTGAGCATGACGGCCTCGAGGCTCTCCTCCATGGAGCAGCCGGGCTGGCACTGCAATGTGCCTTTCTCCATTTCCAGGATATAGCCGTCGCACTTTGAGTAACCGGTCTCGAGCAACTTGTTCTTCGCCTCGATGAGTCGTCGGCCTGGGGTCACATCGATGATTCCGAAGCTGAACCCGCGGTTCATCATGTAGTATGAAGCCATGCGCGCCAGTCTCCACATGGCTCTCACGGCAAACTCCTCACCCCAGTCTCTTAGCAGGATGTAGAAGATGCTGGTCTTAGTGCCCGAACCGAGGGTGCTTTTGTCCATCGACCCGCAGATCAGTTCCGAGTTCCTTATTATTACATACGAGTCCTGCACACACATGTCGTTGTTGCCGGTGTAGTTCTTGCCTTTGGTCTCCAGATTTGCCTCCACCTTACATTTCTTATTCGGCTTCATTATCAAACTGAATATCTGCTTGCCGGTCCACAGTTTCCTCGGCTTCAGTATAGCGGGTGGGGGCATGTCAATATTGAGAGTGGCGTCTGGTCCCGCGAGCAGACACGCGGCCAATTGTTGTGCCTCCGAGCGAGTCAGGAATGTGTCGCGTTGAGTAATCAAATACCCGCCCGTTATGAAATCCTGTGTCGCCGCTATCAAAAGCTCGCCGTTACGAGGCGTCACTAGGTTAGACTTGTTCTGTTGAAGAAGATAAGAAAAAGCATGTTATTTGTCTTTAAAATTATATACCTACTGTTATTTTTATAAATAAGAGGCTGTTTATCAGCGTCTCAATCCTCAGGTTTTCAACATTAGAGTTGAAAGTAATAGGTTTGTTGTGATAATTTAAGCATGTAACTGCTTGATGTTTAAATCTAAAGAAAAAATAACTAGAAAAAAGAAATACGCAGACCAGACAGCAGACGGGACGGGAATAACTTTGTTTTTATTCGTAACTATCTATTCCAGCTTTTGAGACCAAAATTATGCTACCTATATAATTAAAATGAGAATTTGACAAAAAATGATCGTTCGTGAAACACAAACCGCAGCATCTTTTGTTCCACCTGTTGATGCAAAATTCGACTAGTCTCATTAAGAAAACTTTACTGGAATATACTTCCACTGATTCCAGGCATCAGACAGGGTGTAGTCTCCTAACTTTATAAAAACACAAGCTTATATTTTAATAGGGTATTTGACAGTATTACAAATAAAGTACCAAATGTTAGCAATTGTATTTAGAATGAATATTGATAGGCGATTTTACTTTTTATACAGAAAAAAATATTCATAATTTCACTAAAAACCCACGAAAAAGATAAGTTTTTTTTATCTATTGTCACGTGACCGAAAACGCCTGGGATTGGCGAAGCCTAAAATGACGTCACACACTAATAAACTTCCGGTTAAAGTGACATTACATTGTGTCATGTGATGTTTTAATGACTGTCGTGTGACGTCACCTATTAGTGAGACGCCATATTGTCCAGTGAAACGTTTTCGCGGCAACTTGAAAATGCAGTTTTTGATTAAGTTAATTTTACTGAAATACACAACAGAATGATGAATATCGACTTTTTATAAGCTTATATGAGTTTATTAAATAAAGAGTGATCGTTTTCTAATACTTGTCAAATACCCTACTTACTGGTTTAATGTTTCTGCATGGTATGCATTACTCAATGGTTAGCAAGTGGTTAGCGCGTTCGCCTGCGATCGTTAAAGTCAAGCAACTTTCGCAGTAGTCGGTCATTGGATGGGTGCTCCTCCGTGCTTCGGAAGGCACGTTAAGCCGTTGATCCCGGCTGCATCTGCAGTCGCTAGCACCCACCAATCCGCATTTCATCCATAGGGGAGACCTGTGCCTGTGCCCCAGCAGTGGGGACATTGTTAGGCTTATCATTACGAATAAGGAACTTCGGAAGGCACGTTAAGCCGTTGGTCCCGGCTGCATCTGCAGTCGTTAACACCCACCTATTTGCACTGGGCCCGCGTGGTTTGTCACGGCCCAATCTCCCTATTCCATGTGGCTGAAAGCCAAGGCTAGGCTGAAGATGATGATGCCATACTGACCCCCATTAGTATGAGAGCTTCTGCTCGCGCTTCCTCCGTCTGCGGCAGGTGCATATTCATCTCGTCTCCGTCGAAATCTGCGTTGTACGGCGTACACACACATTCGTTGAACCTAACACAAGACACTGGTGTTAACACAACATAAATAAACTTTATTGGCAGTTACCTACAGTACATTTTCAACCAGGGCTTGAAACCGGTTTCAAAAATACCGGTAAATAAAAGTTAATACCGGTTTTTAGTAAAAGTTTCGTTCGGAGCAGGTCCGAAATGAAAGCGGTACCTATAACCTTAATAAACCGATTTAATCCAGAGCGACACGTGCACGCGTCGGCATCACTTGAAGTTTGTTTTTTTTGAACTAATCAAGTCACAACTTGTTAATGCAGAGAGATTGGTGCATTTATTGACACGTTTGCTAGCGTCTAGTGAGTCAAGTTATTCATTTATTATCGATGCCGTCTTCAAAAACCGCTAAATTGATTCAAAACCTATTTGATTTCGCTCTTTAGGAAAACCGGTTTTTTAAGGTTAAGGTAGAGCCAAACCTAAATAAAACGCTCCTAATGTACTTGACACTGATTTAGGTTTGAAAATTAACCGGTAAACAAGCCCTGCTTTCAACTAAACACACGTCCCGAGTCGAAGATGCAATTTATACTTGAACCAACTGCACTAATGGGCGAATGGCTCTCAATACAATAAAATTAAAATGATACTTTAAGTTAGTGTATTCACATAAAAATGTTTCAAGTTACGAGGAGGAGGAGCGATGCTCGAGCTCGATGACGCAGGCGGTAAGCGCGTTTGGTTGCGATCGTTGAAGTTAAGCAACTTTCGCAGTGGTCGGTCATTGGATGGATGACCAAAAATCTTCTATCTCGAGTTCCTCCGTGCTTCGCAAGGCACGTTAAACCGTTGGTCCCGGCTACATCTGCAGTCGTTAGCACCCGCCAATCCGCACTGGGCCCGCGTGGTGGGTCTTGGCCCAATCTCTCTATTCCATTCATTGGGAAGGCCCTGGCCCCAGCAGTGGGGACAGTTAATAGGCTGACGATGAGTCCGTCCAAGTATAACTTTGTACATATTCCAAACTATAACCAACAACAAAAACATAAATGAAACAATAAACTTGTTAATTAAACGCCGTCTGTAAATACGGCAATGAGGGCTACCGTTTTTTGTCTCACCAGATGGCGCCACTGTTGAGTGAGGTCCTGAATTGTAACTTTTAATGTTTATTAATACGCGCGTGAAATCAAAGTATACATTTAAATCATATTTTAATACAAAAGAACCGTATTCTAAACATAATTGGCCATACCACAGTGTTGCGCAGCTCCGTTTTGTACGGCAAAAAGGAGGACATAATTATTTTTCTTAGCTCCGCTTTTAAATAACTGACATTCAATGCCACGTAACTCAATTTGCTATAATTAAGCCGAGTTATTACTGAATATTCACAACATTATTTTAATTAGAAATAAACCCGCGTAGTCAACCCACAACCAATAACATTTGACATTTCGGAGACCTCACGCTACACAAGCGCCTCTAGCGGCGGATTCATACGCGATAGCCCTCATTACGTTACTAATTAACCATGTAAATAAAGTCTAATTTTGATTGCTCATTATCACAATCCTACCGATTTCACATTTCGATATAGAAACTTTAATTCAATGTTAACCTTATAAAATTCAATATTCGAGTTTGAAATATAATACCCTTCTATGGTCGAGGTACTTCCCCTTCTTGGCCACTTGCCTTGAGATTCAATCGGGAATACCCTGAATTTATGGAAACAATCAGGTAGAGAAAGAATATTTATTACTTAAAGTTAGGTATCCTGTTTTCTATCCTAACTACATTGTTAGTAATTGTTTAAAGGCTTATCTACAAAAGTTTCATTAGAAAAGGCAGGGCAACATGATTTAATATTATAAATATGACATTTTAATACATATTTGTCTGTTTTGTGACAGTTACTTATAAATAATTGAGTTGTTTATGTGCTGTGAATTACGTCATACAGTGACTTACTCTTGAGGATTAATAACTATGTAACTTGGAGTAAGACAGATGACTATCCCGATATATATCAAAAACAAACTTTATATACTTTAAATCTAAAGAAAATTTTACTAGAAAAAAATCCACGCGGACCAGGCAGCAGACGGGACCAGAACCCGCACCCTTCGTTATCCGGGCGAATGCGCTGACCATCATGCTACCGCAGCCCTGAAGGCCGTGTCGAATTTTCTCTAGCCTTAGGCTGCGCCATCTCTTCGTATTGTAGGTAATCCACAATACATATATACTTTACTAATAAACGAGGAATAAGCTTAGAATAGTTACGCCGTGTTTCGTTAATATCACTCAAGTACCATTTGTCATTTAATAAACAGAGACAAAGCATAGAGTAACTAATCCAAACTTAGTCTTCGTTCATTAATAAGGGGGTTAGAATAGGAATGCCTAACTATACATAAACATAATGAATTTTAACCATATTACTTAAGTTTAACCTACTTACTGTGGCCACTATTCCTACACGAAAAAAGAAATTTGGTGATTCATTTCTTTGTCGTACTATTCGTAAGTGGAATTCTTTACCCGCGCACGTGTTCTCTCCTTCCTATAATCTGGGGTCCTTTAAGAGAGGCGTGAAGAAGCATTTTTGTAGGCCGGCAAGATGAGGATGGTTGGCGTAGCAGATTAAAACTGCTGGGCCAGCTATCTTCACGTTTGGACTTTATCACCACTTAACATCAGGTGAGGTAGATAGAATAGAGTAATTTGCCTACCTCGCTATAAAAATAAATATATTACTAGAATCGTTCATCTCTATTAGAAATAACCTCCGTTTACCTCGCAATACAAAAATCCATTAAACTGTTTCCACCAACAAAGAGTCTAGCGAAAATGATAAATAGGGCAAAAAGAGTAAAAATGAACTAGTTAGTTCGCAACTCTTTCTCGATGGAAAAGCAATCCTATTTTATGTACACGAAGGCCGCTCCGCTAGACATCCCTAGTTCATTCCTCTTTGGCGATGGAATTAGTATGATACGAAAATATGACAAGCCTACTTGGTAGCTCCTATTTGTCTGTACCTGTAATTACTATAAATTAAAAATAAATAAATATTTCCAACACACACACCAATTAGCCTAGCCCCAAAGTAAGCACTGTAAGCTTGTGTTATGGGATACTAGGGTAACGGATAGAATATGTATACTGTACATATATAAGTATATTTATATAAAAATACATATTAAACATCCATGAGTACAAATGCTCGTATTCATCACACAAACATCTGCCCCCACCGGGATTCGAACTCGAGAAGGCGGCACCATGAAACCAGGCGTACAAGCCACTCTGCAACGGTGATCGTCATGTCACTATGTTAATATGTATTTCTTTATAAATATATTTATATATGTATCAGTATATGCATGCTATCAGTTACCTTAGTATTCCATAACACAAGCATACACTGCTTACTTTGGGGCTACACTAATTGTGTGTGTTTAAAAAATATTTTGTACAAAAAGGCAGAGCAGGGTATACCAGGGTAAAATTAGGTACACTCCGGTAGAAAAAAGTAGATAAGGTAAACCAGGGTAAAATAAGGTAGATAAGAATAAGTTCTTTATATATATATTCTTTTCTCTATATATTAAGAATATATACGTATATATTACCTGAAGGTCCTCTGTGGTTGCACCTTTGCCCTATGCGCCATAATAGACAGCTTGTGTAGGGACGGTTGTCTATTGAACAGCACTACGTCACCATCCACCAGGTGGCGCTCCACGATATCTCCACACTAAGAGGCATGAAGAAGATATAAAATCTCTTAAGAATACAGCGACAATAGTCTTCCATGTGTCGGTTGGGTCAAATTTGTTAGGTAACTTCAGTACATAGTTTATTTACATTATATAGTATATACATATTTATGTATAAATATTTTATGTATACATAAAGCAAGTTTCAACAGGTTAGAAGCACTGATTATATTTTCTTATTGACGTTTCGCAGCCTTTGCAGGATGAGTCGTCTGAATAGGCAGCCTGCAAAGGATGCGAAACGTCAATATGAAAATATAATCAGTACCCCTAGCTCGAACCATTATCGAAATCGAATAGTTTGCGAGTGCGAAATGTCAATGTCAAATTTTGTATGGAAACTTGAACAGCAGCGGCACAAAGTACGGAACGAGAACTAAAAATCAGTACACATTTGACAATGACATTTCGGACTCGCAAACTATTCGAATGTGATATTGGTTCTTGCTAGGGATACAGTGCATCTAACCCGTTGAAACTTGTTTTTTTTTAATGAGTGATGTGCGTGAAAACCAAAGTAACAAATAACAAATATATAGTTATACAACTAACTTTAATTGTCGCCATATAAAAATATATATTATATACGTGCTCTTTGGCAATGTGGGTTTACTAATTTTTCGGGTTTATTAGTTTTTTTTTTAAGTTTAATGCACCATTAAAGCGATCTCGCATAGGCCCTGCTAGAATACCAGCGCCGATACGGTGAGAGTAGTATTTTCTTTAGTAGTAGAGATTTAAACATCAAGCAGTTACATGCTTTAAAAAAATAATAAAAATTATAACTATAATTGCTAATTCTTCTTTCAAATGTTTAATACTTGTAAAAGTATTCATTTGACACTGTGGGTTTACCTATAATGCGAAGAGATGGCGCTGCCTTGCAGCTTAAGAATAGCTAGAAAGAATTTCGACGCGGTCCGTGAGGGCCGCGGTAGCATAATTGGTCAGTGCATTCGCCCGGATTGCGAAGGGTGCGGGTTCGAGTCCCGTCTGCTGCCTGGTCCGCGTGGAATTTTTTCTAGTTATATTTTCTTTAGATTTAAACATCAAGCAGTTACATGCTTTAAAAAATATAATAAAAATTATAGTATTTTCTTTTCTCACTATGTCAGCTTATGCTGAGGCAGGGTCCTTGGTTGGCCGTCCATAGATAAATAAGTTCTTTTATTTATGTCAAATGCTATTGTTATGATGGCCAATAAAGAGTTTTTCATTTCATTGATAAAACAGTTATGACTACAATCATAACTTACGATTAAATCAAAAAGGAAAGATACGGTACGCTGTAACTTGGCTCAAATAAAAAAATATCCGACTGATCTACATGAGTAACTCACACACATACACACGTATATAAACATCATGATAAAAATTCAATCGAGCGAGCGAGACAACCGTTTGTTTCAACGCAACGCGAGCGAGTCGGCAAGTCCGCGTCGCTTTGCAACCAATGAGGGCTACCGTTTTTTGTCTCACCAGATGGCGCCACTGTTGAGTGAGGTCCTGAATTGTAACTTTTAATGTTTATTAATACGCGCGTGAAATCAAAGTATACATTTAAATCATATTTTAATACAAAAGAACCGTATTCTAAACATAATTGGCCATACCACAGTGTTGCGCAGCTCCGTTTTGTACGGCAAAAAGGAGGACATAATTATTTTTCTTAGCTCCGCTTTTAAATAACTGACATTCAATGCCACGTAACTCAATTTGCTATAATTAAGCCGAGTTATTACTAAATATTCACAACATTATTTTAATTAGAAATAAACCCGCGTAGTCAACCCACAACCAATAACATTTGACATTTCGGAGACCTACACATAAGCGCCTCTAGCGGCGGATTCATAGGCGATAGCCCTCATTGCATTTTCTTTTCTCTCTCTTCAAACGGTTAAGAGCCCTTTCACATTTTTTGCAAAACATCGTAATTTTTGAGCCCCTCGTTTACCCCCTTACAAAAGATTTTGACTATTTCCAATAGAAGTAAACAGTAGATTTATTCTTCTTATTACAATGTAGAATATTTGAAAATACTATTTTCCTTATTTTGTACTGATCGTTCTACTGCAGCTAGTTTACGGAAAAAACGATAATATGCACAACTTCAAACGCCTAATTCTCTAAATAATGTTCAATAAATTAGATCAAATTAATTACTACGACATCAGAAATATGTTTTTGTTGGAACATAATGTATTAAAATTTTGATTTTGCATCTCATTAATTATCAAAATAAACATGTAACCTCCGTGAGTTTTCCCAAAAAACAATGCTGGTTTACCTCGTATTTTGATATTGAATTAAATAGAACTATTATCAAAAACTTTCAAAAAACTAATCTAACATCATTGAACTACTGAAATATGTATATATATATATATATTATAATTAGTTCATTAATAATTATTTTATAAGAATCGAAACATCACCCGTAAAATGCAATATATACTAGTGCAAATCTACCTACGCGCCAATTAGTACGGCAGCGGCGCAATTTTGTAAAAGCTCTTAAGCTGTATTGTTGTCCTTTTCTTGTTAACAAATGGCCAATAAAGGTGACAACATTCATGACAACCTGTGATTTTTGAGAAAAAAATATTTTATAGATACGTTGGAGTATCTTCCCTTTTTGATTTAATCTAAGTAATTGCACCGATTAAATGCATGCAATAAAATATAATATAAATCAGAAAGGAAATTATATTTGCATAGCCTGTTATGTAAGCAAGATTTTGTAAACAATGTTTTCTGTTCTTTAAGAAATATCATTAAGCAAAAACTTTGAGAGTAGAGGTAGAGCAGGGTATATATACCAGGGTGAAATAAGGTACACTACGGTAGAAAAAAGTATATAAGGTAAACCAGGGTAAAATAAGGTATAAAACGGTAGAAAAAAGTAGATAAGGTAAACCAGGGTAAAATAAGGTAGGTTAGAACTGAATATGGTAAAGTTCAGTCACAATCTACGCTCCTACCTTGAGTTCCTGCGCGATCTTCTCCCGGTTGCCGTACTTGAGGTACTTCTTGTGGTTGAGTCCTCGTTGCTGGACGTAATTAGCACCCGGGTGGTTATCCGGTCCGGCGCATACTAACGCCCGCAACCATTGCAAGTTGGCCGGAAACACGCGTTCCGGGTACGTAAGGACACGAGCTACGTGCACTGGCACACCCACCTACAATCATTTGAACCATTATAATGAAAAAACGGCTTCATCCTTCCTTTCCGACGACCTCCGTGGCCGAGTGGTTTGTACGCCGGGTTTCATGGCTGTCGCCGACTCGAGAGGTCCCGGGTTCGAATCCCGGTGGGGGCAGATGTTTGTGTGATGAATACGAGCATTTGTACTCCAGTCATGGATGTTTAATATGTATTTATATAAATATACTTATATATGTACAGTATATGTATTCTATCCGTTACCCTAGCATCCCATAACACAAGCCTTATAGTGCTTACTTTGGGGCTAGGCTAATTGGTGTGAGTGTCGGAAATATTTATTTATTTATTATTTATTATTATTTCCTCATCTGAACCGCTGATCAATTTCTCTGTCTTTCTTCCTCCCTAGGTCCCATCTTGCCTATTCTCTTTGGCAAGTGGGGCACCCTCCTACTTTAAATCTGTCCCCTTCTTTCATCACATCGTCCATCCAGCATGGTATAGCTGACGGACGATTTCGGTGACGGGCTTCCGGACACATATGCCGGTCACCCGAACACGAGTAACATTTAGAATCATTTGTTAAGGACACTTACAATATGTGAACTATATCGAACCAAGTGAATGACCACACGACTGAAGTGAAACTTCTTATGTATGTTATATATATAAATATATGTGTGTGGTCAATATATACATGTATTATTATATACATACTAGCAAACCAGTGAACCAAATGTTCACCAAAAAAAATAAAATAAAATAAAAAAAATAAAAAAAAATTGAAATAGAAATCACGTGATTTCTCGAAAACCGGAAGTGCTACGTTCCTCACATCCGGTTTGTAGTCTTATCAGACTATTCTTAACTTTTAACTTAAACATTCTCTATATCTATCTCTTACGGTTTGGCCGCTGAAACAGCACTACGGACGGACGGACGGACTTGTCTAATAGATAAGATATTTCATTTACTAGCTATAAGAGAAAGAGAGGAAGTGCCGAAATATCGGAGACTCATAAAAAACAAGGTACATGGTAACAATCCCGTTAACAGCTATAAATTCGCCTCGCCCGATCACACTTTTTGGAACGCGTACCGCATTCGCCAGCTTACCCCCAAGTCAAGCGTGCGTAAAGAAGTTTCACTTCAAAAATTGGTTGCCTGTAAAGTCGGTTTACGGACAATAGTTCTATACGAAAAATTGCATAATTTCTAGCCCTGACTTCATGCGAGAAGAGGGATAAATGTGCGTTACGAAACTAAAAGCTTAAAACAGCAAAATTTTGGTATCCACATGCAATCTATTATGTGTTATATGCAGTACTAGCTGTGCCCCGCGGCGTTACCCGCGGTTTATTAGGGATATTTTCCCGCAGTAAAACGAAGCCTATGTGTTAATCCAGGGTGTCAGCTAACTCCGTACCAAATTTTATTAAAATCGCTCCAGCCGTTTAGACGTGAAGATGTAACAAACATACACACTCACGAACTTTCGCCTTTATAATATTAGTGTGTTATGAAATGTTTGTTCAATTATACTACTGTAAAGCCGGGTCTCCAGCGCGTGTTTTCCCTACACAATCAACAAAAACATATCAACATTCAACAAAATCGTGAACACAAAACTTTGTTTCACTACACATATTTATTTGCATCAACAACGCTTTTGCTTTCCGAGCCCGATGAAAACCCGTACACAAATCTTCCCCGCGCGGGTCCAAGGGCAGGGTATTGTTTCATTGGCCATATTTTTGACAACTCGCCATCGAGGGCTCCGTTCCAAACCCACGCTCCGAGTACATATTTTCAGGCTGACATTTAAATTATGACATAAAATTTACAAAACTTTTGACAAATTTGACATTTATTGCACCTGGATTGTAGTTTTTGAACCCTGTATCCCTGCGTACTTTATGTACGACAGCCACGTGAGCAGCTGACGGCGCGTATAAAGAAACATATTTCAGAAACAAAGTTTTGTTTGTGTGTTTTTGTTGAGTGTTTTTCAAAAAGCTTTTGCTGGAGACCCGGCATTACAAATTCAATAGACTTTTTTTTTTTTTGTCGATGGGAAATCCATTTACGGACCGTACCGCGCGCTGGCTGGACGCGCGGCGTGTGTGGGACTTCCCGGCGTGGATCAACGCCGGTCCTACCCACTAAACCCACCGGTACCCTCCTACGCCCATGTGGGAGCGTTTCAGGATCGGCGCACCTGTGTAAGCTTTCCAATTACAGAGCATAATGCGACTCAGTGCCGCACAATACCCAATTATGTTGATGCTTAATTGGAACGTGAATTAGTTTTCAAATGCACCAACAGAGTGCGCTAAGTTCAGTGTTGAAAAAAAAATTCAATGTTTGTACCTTCATCCATACTTATATTTATTTTTTAACAGTTTGAATGAACTTTGATAATTTAAAAAAACTATTTAATGAAACGAAAGCTTTAATAATTTTTCAACAATAAATAATATTAATAACGATAACATATAAATAAAACATTTCGATCAATGCCAACTTAAAGAAAAAACACTAGTTAATTTTCTTTCTCTAAGTTGGTACCATTGCACGCATCACACGAAAGCATCACTTTTGAGAGTGCTCAATTGTGCGAAGCGTTGCTGTAGTTGGAACACTCAACGTTAAGCATTATGCCGCATTATGCGCAATAATGCTGTAATTGGAAAGCAACCTGTGTGTGCGCCACTTCACTGGAACGCCCCCGGATATTCAATCGACTTACCTCCTGTATCTGCAGGTTGGGGTCCGGTGAGATGACCGTTCTGCTAGAGAAGTCGACTCGCTTGCCCGACAGGTTTCCTCTGAAGCGGCCCTGCTTACCCTTCAATCGCTGCACTAAACCACGCCCGGGTTTCTTCGGCTGACAAAACATACAAGTTCTATTTAACAAATAAAATACTAAGGAGCTTAGATGCATAAGGCATAGGAGAATAGAGCAGCGTACGCATCACTCATATATGTATATACACATTAGTGTCGAGTCTAGCATCATTCTCTAAAACTAAACTTAAATTTGAGAGCAGTATATCCTTGTCATTCTCTATACAGAATGAAAAGGAGAGACTGACGTTAAATTTAGTTTTAAGTTTAGAGAATCACGCCAGAATTGGCACCATTGTCGCGTGTAACGCTCATAGCGTCTCAGCCTACGCCGAGTTATCCTCCAATTTTCATATGTACTGCGTATGTATGCTGGGCACGCATCCCATACACACACATCTTATATATTACCATACTCCTCCCAAACGGCCTGACCGATTATTATGAAATTTTATACGCATATTCCGTGTGTCTGAGAATCGGCTACTATCTATTTTTCATATCCTTAAGTGATAATGGTTGTCCACCTGTAACGTAGTATTCTGAAACCTACAATGCGCCTTCGCGCCAAAATTTAAACTATTGGGTATTGTAACGTAGTGTTCTCATATGAGTTAGGAGGAATGTTATCCCAGGAAATTGATAGAACACTACGTTACACACCCCTAAATTTTTTTTGGACACTATTTTTTTATAATGTGGTATTGAAAAATACATACAACTCTAAATTTTCTCTTCTACCACCTGCCCCTATTTTTATGGCGGTACGAAGTTCGCTGGGTCAGCTAGTATATATATATAGGCGTGTGACGCTCGTCACGGAGTACCGTTTCATCGTTTCTATAGGATTCTTCCATTTACACCCCGTCCGAAAAGAAGTTTCTCTTCAAAAAGTTAAACAATTACCGATCATAGAACTTTTTGTCTCTTGCTATGTATTGCTTGTAGTTGAATTCTTAGGCACCTATCTGACCGCACTAGGCGTCAAAGACACTGGGTCCTTCGAGTCTATATTGTCCCTGTGTGTTTTCTCTCACGTACCTGCATAGAAAGTGGTATTCCAGAGAGCTCGCTGTTGATATAGAGGGCAGCGTGTAACTGCAAATAGTCCCAGTCCCCAGTCAAAAACACTGGGTCCTTCGAGTCTATATTGTCCCTGTGTGTTTTCTCTCACGTACCTGCATAGAAAGCGGTATTCCAGAGAACTCGCTGTTGATATAGAGGGCCGCGTGTAACTGCAAATAGTCCCAGTCCCCAGTCAAAAACACTTGGTCCTTCAAGTCTATATTGTCCCTGTGTTTTCTTTCACGTACCTGCATAGAAAGTGATATTCTAGAGAGCTCGCTGTTGATATAGAAGGCCGCGTGTAACTGCAAATAGTCCCAGTACCCAGTCAAAAACACTTGGTCCTTCGAGTCTCTATTGTCCCTGTGTGTTTTCTATCACGTACCTGCATAGAAAGTGGTATTCCAGAGAGCTCGCTGCTGATATAGAGGGCTGCGTGTAACTGCAAATAGTCCCAGTGCCCAGTCAAAAACACTTGGTCCTTCGAGTCTATATTATCCTTGTGTTTTCTCTCACGTACCTGCATAGAAAGTGGCATTCCAGAGAGCTCACTGTTGATATAGAGGGCCGCGAGTAACTGTAAATAGTCCCAGTACCCAGTCAAAAATACTTGGTCCTTCGAGTCTTTATTGTCCCTGTGTGGTTTCTTTCACGTATCTGCATAAAAAGTGGTATTCCAGAGAGCTAGCTGTTGATATAGAGGGCCGCGTGTAACTGCAAATAGTCCCAGTACCCAGTCAAAAACACTTGGTCCTTTGAGTCTATATTGTCCCTGTGTTTTCTCTCACGTACCTGCATAGAAAGCGGTATTCCAGAGAGCTCGCTGTTGATATAGAGGGCCGCGTGTAACTGCAGATAATCCCAGTCCTCCTGTATGAGTTCGCATTTGCCACCACTGGCGATGTGGCGAGCTATAACGTCATTGATGAGAAGGATCTCGGATTGCTTCATCGTGAGGTCGTCTTCGTTACTTTGGGATGAAAAATTAAAGAAAACTGTGTAAAAATTTAATTTTATGTGTATATATTATTTTTAAAGGTTTTTGGAGGCCAAAGCTAGTTTATATGGCAAATAAATGTAACATTATGCAACAGAAACAGAAGATTACTTTTTCTAAGATATGAATCAAATAATGAAAGTAAAGAAAAAAATAAGGCAACTGATAGTACAAAACAGTATATTAAAGAGAACACACCAGCACTGTCCTCGTGCTAATGTCTTTTAATTTGTTTCAGGAAAGACGGTACTTCAAGATCAGGTACTGACAAAAACCTTATAATATTAGTTAAATAATATAAAACAACAGTCAACAACTCACGTGCCAGCTTTGATATCGGAAGCCACAGTGGGTCGGATGCATAGTGGTGGTACGGGCAATCGTGTTATGATCAGGTCCTCTGGCCGGGACAACCTGGAGTTCATGCCTAGAAGGGCGATGTCCTCTTCTGGGATGCGACGGAACAAGTTCAGAACCTGGTTATAAAATAATATTTTGTGTCATTTAATAATAATAATAATATTCTTTATTGACATACACCTCACAGGACATACAATACACTAAACATGACAGTGAAAACGTACACAATAGGCGGCCTTACTGCTAAACAGCAATCTCTTCCAGGCAACCCATGACAGTGAAATAAATAAATAAGAGAAACAAGAAGGGGGGGTGTAACAGGTATGATAAAATAAATAATGAATAAATAGATGCAATAGATATATCCAAAGAGAGAGAACAAGAGAGAGATGACTTAAAGTTGGGAAAGGAAATAACCTCTAACTTGATCAGTAACGAGCTTAGAGTGCGAGCCTTTCGGATTGTTTCAGGAAGTGAGTTCCACAAACGAACAGAATGCACAGAGAAGGAATATGAAAAGAAATCAGTTGAATGGAGTGGAACTGCAAGGGTTAGATTTGAAGAGGACGCAAAGTGCGTTCTGATTTGGAATCAAGAAACGAGAAAAATTCTTTTAGATAGGGCGGAGAAGAAGGAAGAAAAGTACAGAATAGAGAACCATAAGTGTGTAAGTCCCTGCGTCGGCGAATAGGGAGCCATTTTAGTTTGCATCGAAAGTGAGACACATGATCATATTTACGTAGATTAAAAATGAATCTGATACACATATTCTGCAGACGTTCTAGCTTGTTAAGGAGTTCCTCAGATATGTCAGTATAACAAATATCAGCGTAGTCGATAATGAAAAGTAAAAGTGTTTGAGCCAAAGTGACCTTTATACTTGTTGGTTTTAAATTGGTTGGTTTTAAATTGGTTGGTTTTAAATTGGTTGGTTTTAAATTGGTTGGTTTTAAAATCTATTCGCGCGATCTTAGTTCACGCGAACGCGCAATCAAACCTATTAATGATGAATAGGTGTCCTAACTGAAGTTCGCGCGATGATCGCGTCGCGTCGATAGGAAGCGGGGAGAGGGGCAGGGCTAACCCGTTCCGTATTCGCGTTCTATTAGGACACCCAGAACGCGATCACGCGATGGTCGCATCGTTTAAACGCGCGATGATCGCGTTATCGCGTTGTATTAGGGCAATGCCTAAGACTTAGTGATATTTTTTTTATGATGTAAATAAGAAACTACAACTTTTGTAGTTTAATATTCCCTCCTAGCTCCTAGATCACGCCAAACTTTAGGGCGGCATCTGTCCGATTTCCACATTCGATTCCCAGTGATGTCTCAAAAGTCAAAACAATAAAGTTTTCTTAATTTGTATGTGTTTAATTAAATAAGTTTAATAAAATTCATAAAATAGACGCCTTTATGTATAAAATTACATTCTCACCTCCAACGGACTCAATTCAATGATAAGTCCACTGTTTATCATCAAAGCTAACTCTTTATTAGATTCCTTTGCTTCATTGAAATCTTTCAGTACTCTTTTGACCAGTGGATCTGTGGGTTTTTTCGTCCGATACTTATCATGGATAATCTTCAGAATCCCCCCCGCACTCTTCTTCACAATACCATTCAGTTCGTTGCACGACGGACACTTTGTGCAAGTCTTAGCTTTTTTCAATACTGCTGCACGTAAATTCTTCTTGTGCAAATACGATAGTTCAGGGTTCATGAACTTGCGACGGAATGTTTTCTTTATAGTATCAGGTAACATCACTTTAGCGCATTCCTGTATAAAAATAAAAATAAATTTGTCTATGAAAAAATTAAATAGATTTCGTCATACACACACAGTGCCATTTTTTAACAAGTCGATGATTTTCAGCTCATCTTTTCAAGCATTTTCATTTTGTAACTAACAACCAAAACACTGCAATTGTAACTCAAATCTTACACAGCCCCGATTTCATGTCAAGCTTTACTGACAATTTGACAAATATGTCTACTTAAAAAATTACCCTTGTTTCACAACATAGTTGTTGTTGATATAAGATATGGTAAATTTTAACCAAAATGTTACATAAGTCAATGTCATAATGTTGAGGAAATGTAATAGGGTTTGTTCTTTATGTTTCTATATGAAATATTTTATTATAGCTGTGACAGTAAAAGTCAGCGTAGATCGGCGGATTGGCGACGAAAATCAGCAAGTGGCGCGCTGGAACCAATAGCTGCCAAGTAATTTGAAATCCTCCAGACTAGCACAATTAATGCTGCTTTTAAAGTTCCAACACCACTTCACTTCGCAGTAGTGATTATAGTTGCATGTCTAATAATTGAATTCAAATGTTGTTAATTTAAGAGCTTAGATGAATGGTAAATTCATGTGAATTAATGTATATGTATTAATACAACATAATAAAAAAACTTTACTTACTTTACAGATTGCCTGCAGAATAGTAATTATGGACCGGAAATAGCCCACATGGAACACGGGTAGAGCCAACTCTATGAAGCCATAGTGACCAACGCACTCCGCCAGTCCGAGTCCACATGTGTCACAATTGGCATCTTTTTGGTTAGTACCCTAAAAAATACACTATTTAAGTGACTAAAAAATAAAAATTATGTTACGTGAGTAGCATATTAATATACATAGACCAACTTAAATCTTATAGTAATATAAGTTATTTACAGGATTGTTACCAATTACCTTGTTTTAGCGAATAAAAACTCGCGAGAGCTAGCTAAAAACAAGGTACATGGTAACAATCCCGTAAATAACTTATATTACTATAATGATAGTGAACATGAAAGTTTAAAACAAATTAAATCTAGTAGTAAATGCCATAACACTGAATAAAACAGATATATTATGAATAATTATTATGAATTCTAGATCAATTCAATTCAATGAATCTTCGGTTGTACTAAATATATTGAAATCAAAAGCATTTACAACTTTTTGTTCAGATAAGTTGACATATGATTGACTGCACTACCAAAACTTATTTATGAACAGTTTATATGATTACATTTTATTGATATTTGAATTATTGGCACTGCCAATACATTATTGAACTTGATTGCACGAATGCTTATATTAATCAAACAAACATTTGCTCCAACAATTTTGAATCCAGGAGACCTCAGGACATTAATTTAAGACTAACAATGTCAGGGTGGATAACAAATGTACAAGGTTAAAAAATATTAAAGTTGAGAAAAGATGTTGGTTACAAAATTATATATTTTTTTAATTGTAATCCATACCATACGTCGATCCAGTACACCATAAGCAGCTGGAACTCTTTGCCCATCTTGTGCATATAAATTCTTTGTAATGACTTGAATATGAGCAGCTTTTTGTATATCTGAAGGGCTATCCACATTGAATGTGACATGAGAACTGAAATTTAAAATAGTTTTGTAGTTTGTATATTATTTAATTAGTAAATTCTTATTTTTTGTTTTTAGACAATAATTCATTTTAAGGTTTTGTAATTTAAAAATTCATATGTAAATATAATAAATATAATACCAAAATGTAAAAAATGGGTAATAAATAAAGCTAAAGGTGATTTTTACTGAAAAATGATAAATTTAGTTTAATGAGTAAAGTGCCGGTATCTTGTAAAGTAATTCCAAATATTTTTGATTGGCAAGCAAAATGTAAACATAACCCCACTTACATTTTTCTTCCTACATAAGTTTCTCTATACTGTTCTTTAGGCATATTGAAAAAATCACATGAATTACAAAGAAATCTGAAATTATAAACACGTTATAACTTTTTTAGAGGGATTAGATTAGACTTCTTCCGTGATGGCTCCCTCAGGATTTGGCCATAAACTGGTTTATGAAAAAAAACATGAAATCATATATTTGACACAACAACAACCTAACCTAACTTTTTTTTTTAAGTTAAACGGCCGTGAATATCTCCATTTCGGCCGCCTAACCTATCTATACTAACTAGGGATGTGAAAAATAATTTGATTAGTATTAAAATTGATTATTCTTCTTAAAAATAATTTTTAATCATTCTTTTACATTTTAATTCTTTGTAGGCAAATATTTTTTTTATTTATAAATGAAACTTAGATAAGATTTAAATTAACTACACTCAGATTTTATATTCGACGGACTTCTGACATTTCAGAAGTGTTTCCAATGATCAAACAGTCCGCCCTGAATCATGTGGAATAGTTTTAAAAGAATTAAAGTAAACTCAACTTAGCCTTAGCGCAATTCAGCAGATCATAATTTCTTACAAAGAAGTGTTTTCGGTCAACTTCATTACAAACAGCATACTTTGCTAGGGAATCTGCACATTCATTTCCTGCAATGTCTAGGAATCCAAGCAATGGAAACGGTCAGGTCTTTTCTTTAGCAGTTTAATAATTTGTTTCTAATTTGGATGACAATATCACTTTTTATTTTGCTGTAAAGGGTACCACTGTACGAGTCCGAACAGCTAACAGAGTTTTTAATATTATGACTTGCAATGTATTCCACGGCTTCCAATATTCCTATGCACTCGCCCGTAAACACTGACGTTTCTGGGGGACATTGGAACAGTGGAACAGGGGGACATATCCCTCATATTCTGGAATTCTGAAAGTAAGTGAGTATTTAACTATACCCAGATCTAAAATAATGGACATAATAGACAATAGACAGGAAGCTTAGAGTAACGGCTAATGCGTGAACTGGAGCGTTTTTTACCACGTAAGACATAACTGTGGAATATATTGTCGCCAGCAGTGTTTCCGGACCAATAAGACCCAAAAACCTACAAAAAAAGAGCGTACTCCTTCCTTAAACGACGACCTCCGTGGTCGAGTGGTTTGTACGCCGGGTTTCATGGTGTCGCCTACTCGAGAGGTCCCAGGTTCAAATCCCGGTGGGGGCAGATGTTTGTGTGATGAACACGAGCATTTGTACTCCAGTCATGGATGTTTAATATGTATTTCTATATAAATATACTTATATATGTACAGTATATGTATTCTATCCGTTACCCCTAGCATGCCATAACACAAGCCTTACAGTGCTTACTTTGGGGCTAGGCTAATTGGTGTGAGTGTTGGAAATATTTATTTATTTATTTAAAGGCCGGCATCGCATTTATGATACTTCCTGTGCTGCAAGTGTCCATGGGCGACGGTGATCACTTACCATCAGGTGAGCCGTCTGCTCGTATGCCCCTATAACATAAAAAAAAACTTATGCCAATAGGGCTTATCCTCCATAGTGGCCACAAGTTGAGGGTGTAAGGGCTAGCCCCCCACCAGACACCCGCAAGTGCTTTTAGGAATTCGACACGTCGTTCACATTTTTTTGAAATCGGAACAGTATGTGCTTGCCCAGACAGCCTGTAGTCCAACTTGAAGCGCAGGAATTTCGCGCTATTTTTAATTGGAATTGGAGCATCATTTATGGAGATATTAACTATCGGGATATTCATCGAGGCTCCGCTCCTTCTGGTTTAATCGTTTTTTTATATAGCCTATATATAACCTTCCTCGATAAACGCACTATCCAATCCAAAAATATTTTCTTTTTCTTAAAATTATTAATGTGATATTTTCTCACATTTTCTATAATTTATTATTTTAAAGTTCGAATTCGGAGTCACATCCCTATTGTAACTTTAGTGTAATATCCTCCTTTTATCCCTTTATGAAAAACGCAAAGGATATCATGGCCAAAAAGCATCTTTTACATAATTTAAAATTTTCATTTTATGTTTGTAACGTGGTGCATTATGGTTGCATTGCAATATTTGTAATGTTTCTAGGATTGTTTGGCATCAAAATCAAGTCGGGTTGGTCAACAGGCTTCTATGAAGTTACGCCTTAAAAACTTCTTAAACATGCCCTAACCCTTACTAAATAAAGTTTTGTTCTTTCCACAGACTAGTTAGAGATACTACGTATTTCTTTCATCCGGATTTATCTGACATATTTGGATATTTGTAGGTACTTTTACTCAGATTTCACAGTAGATATATCACATTAATCCAGTTATTTTAAGCTTAGACATTGGTAACTGGAATAGCAATCTTATACTCTTTTTAATAAAGAAATAATGTTTGAAGTCTACTACTTTCTATTAATTTTACTATAAATTGACATGCGTAGTTCCGACCCCTACTCAAAGCACTGTGAAACATTGTGTAGTATATAAAAGTATGTGTATTTAGTATGAGGTTGAAAGTGGGTCTGACTAACTGGCATGTCTTTTAAAGCTTTGAACTAAATTTTACAGCAGCCTTTCCTTTTAATTCTGTATAATGCATGACATGAAAAAACTATTGTTAAAATAATTTTAGCCGTATTACCGTACTTACCTACTATTACTACTATTTAGTAGATTTATTTTTACAAAGCGGTAACCCAGTTCATATGTTTCTGGCGTAAAAAGAAGCGCTCAGCGCGCCGTTTTTTGGCTTGTCAACTGAAACCACGCAACAATTTTCACTCGTATTAATCTTGATAAATGTGATTAGTTTCCTAATGTTTCTTTCTGGAGAGTATAATATTCAACGCGCCGTTCGAAATAAAACTTATTAATGGTGAAGTGCTATTGTAATCTGTATTAAATATCGTTTTCCCATCGAAGTGACCCGCGAACTCTTAACATGCCTCTATTGAAAAGGAAAGCCTTCGAGAAATCGACGGCGTCGGAGTACCTTAGGGACGATGATGAGGTATTCCACTGTGAGATAACCGATGAGATATTCAAAGACTATGAGTAAGTTACATTTACTTTCTGGTTTTGGCGGATTTTTTGCAAATTTCCTATTTAGAGTGAATAGTTATCAATAAGAAAGACCGTTGGCATTGTAGCCGTGCGTTAAGTCGTGTATTACGCGAGCGTGACACCATGCTTTGCAGTTTCGACTATTTGAGGTTCTATTTTCTTTTCTTTGATAATTTTGTCATGCTGTTATCCTTTTAGGGAATACTGTGAGAGAATCATTTTGGTGAACTCCATGGTATGGTCATGTGAGATGACAGGAAAAAATAACTTGACATATGCAGAAGCTCTTGAAAGTGAGAAAGCTGCACGGAGGCAACTCAAAGATTTCCCTATGGAGCTCCGTATACCAATATTGTATCTGGCAGGTCGAACCAATAGATCATCTTTTGCTGAAATGTCAGAAGACATATTCAATTATGTAAGAGAAAGATATTTTGTTGGAGAGACGGTGGAAGCCTGCCTGGAAGGAGATTCTTGGTGGGAGGCTCATGTACTCTCTGTGACTGCACAAAAACAGCAGCCGGGAAGGTTTGTTTGTAACATATTATGCTTTACTAAGCTTAAAATTATAAAACATAAAACCAATATTGATAATCCTATCAATCATATAGTAGAAAAGACTAGGTTGAGCTAATATAAACATATTCATAATGACAGTAGATATTTTAGTTTAGTTATTATCAAAAATATTCTGTTAAAATACTATTGAGTTGACTTGACACAATTATAATTCATTTTATTGTCTATAAAACGAAAGATTACTACTACAAGGGTCAAAGCTAAAAAGAATCCTGTAGTACTTTTTCTTGATTATAAAACACAATAATTATTGTGTCTCAGCCCATGACAGGTATATGATTTAAGTTTATGTGTCATGTATTGGGTCACAATAAATGTTGATTGTTCATTTCTATATGATTTAATTATTAGTATCTTTTTATTTATTTGTTTCTTAGGTTTTCACGCACATCACTCATTAAATAAAACTAGTTTTTAACAGGTTAATGCATGAAACTTTGTTTATTTATTGACATTTCTTTTTATTTGTAAAGATCTCTTAAATTGTGGTAAAATCTGAACAAAACTAAATATCTTTGAAGCTCGATAGCTTATTTGTTTATCTGTTAAGTTAGATTCCAATTTAATCTTAAAACATAAAAAATAAGCAATTTATATAAAATAATCTAGACTCAATTATATCCAATTATATTTATGTTTAATATCTTCACTCCCTGCTTTTAGCGTAGATAAGGCAATATGATGGCTTACATTATTTATGTAGAATGAATAAGAATAAAGAATAATGGTCATGTTATCATCCACCTTATTATACTCTTACCAGTAAACATTGTATAATTAAAATAAATAATAATCTGAAATTAACATATTATTCTATACATCAGATGATATTTTTATGTTCTGAAAACCTTGTTAATTTAATAAATAAAATAAATTTTTATTTTATACATTTTCTTGTAATCCAAAATAACAGCAATCTTAACTCATAAAAAAGCTATTATGCAATAATTGTTTACTTTGTTTAGTTTATCCAATATATAACATTTTAATGTTACATTTGTCTAATAACCAATTCTTCGAAATATAAGGCAACTAATTAAGAGGTGAAGATTTCAACTGTTTGAAAGGAAAATAGATATTATATAAGCATTTCACATAATTTATTTATTTATTGATGTTTCGCATCCTTTGCAGGAATGTGTCATCAGAATAATGATTTTTATTTACTTTGTTGAGCTACCTTGTAAAGACTTTTATAGAGCATTCGGATATTTCATCAGAATTTTTAAAACTTTATTAGCTAATTTAATTAACAAAGTACTTTTATTAATTCTTTTTTATAATTTTGAGTTTATTTATTAGACCGTAACTGCTTTAAATTAGTGCCTATTCCAAAATTGGCAGACCTTTTTGAGAAGAACCGGCGAAACAAACTCAGAGGCTATCTATCTCCTTATGTTAAATCATGCAAACAAAAAGAACTAACTAGGGAACCCATTATACAACAGATATATTCCCAACCCCAAGCACACACTGCAAGACCAACAGACACTGTTAGTTCTTTTTGTTTGCATGATTTAACATAAGAAGGAGATAGAAAGCCTGTCTGAACTTGTTTTATTTAATGAGTGATAAGAACAAATAATTTATTTGCTTACTCATCATTTTGTGTAAATGAAGTATGTGGTTCTAATCAAGTAATTATGACAATATAATAATATTAATTGTAATGTATATAGTAAAGTCATGCTGTCAGCATCGTCATACTGGTATGAAGTGGAACAGTACGATGAGGCGAACCCATCGACTGCCGGTCAGATTGGCACCGCGCCTCATGACCGCGTGCGCCGGCGCAAGGGCGTCTATACGAGAGACAAGAACAGACTGTTCCTTAAGCAGTTCGTGCAGCAGACTAATGGCATCATATGCATTAAGGTACGTGCTGTTTATTAGATAGTAAGGTATAACGTAGATACCTGACATTTTATTTAATTTAATTTATATATAATAAAATTTAACATGATATGCTATAGAATATGACATAGATAATAAATCAAATAATATAATATTGAGCTAAAATGATTGAATTATGTTGATATTAATATATTTTTATTTGTTGGGTAAAAAATTATCCTATTTGGCTGATAAATTGTATACATATTAACTAAATTACAATTAGTGAATGCTCTTCTCTATTTGCTGTGCCTTGTTCAGGGTCTACTATGATCAAAGCAATGTACCTACTAAGATCTAAGAAACATTGTAGAACGCAATAAAGTATTGATTGAATAATTGATTGATTGATTGATAGTGTTACTTTCGTTGATTCCAAGTAACAAAACAACACTGAAACCCAAACTCAAGCTATAATACACCCCTATAAACTTATGGTTCAACTTAAAATCAAACCTTGGATTACATAATTGGCCAAGTATGAAGCAATTATTTTGTTATAAGCCACGGGGAATATCCCTGACTTTCCCTAAATTATTCTGTTAATAAAATTAAAGTCAATAATAATTATTCCTTTTATCAAGATATAAACATCAAAACGCATAAAAGATAATTAAAATTACAGGTTAATTAAATGGGAAACAATAAACAATGTCAAACAACATATCTGCTACAATTTATCTAGGTAAAAAACACAATGTTTTTTTCTTTGTTATATACAGCAAGCTGCATTAGAAAAGTACAACATTGCCAAAGTGAACTTTGAACAAATATTCACGGGCCCGCCCCCGGATTTCCCCTCATCCAAGAAGCTGATGAAGACCAGCCTGTCCCCACCAACATCTAAGAACCAGACTAAGCCCAACTCTGCTTCCAAGCTTAATAAATCTGCTAAGAAACCAAGCCCAGACAAGAAGGGCCGGCAAGAATCTATGGACAAATTCATAAAGAAAACGGATAAATCTGAAGGTAAATGGCAATTTAAGTAGATCACCAGATAACTTAATTAGGTTTAAAATAAATGTAAATCATAAAAATCTTAGTTTGATGATTTAAAGCTATTTCAACTCATTATTTAAGTTACATTGAAAAAACTTTCTTATTTAGTAATTGATTCAAGTTAAATCACCTAATTACCAAACAACTTAATTATATTAATAAGATTGGTAGGTTACTACAAAATTTGAATTCTTTTAACATTTAAAATACACATCAATGGCGAAGAAAATGTTGTTCACTCTGATTTCATGGAAAGAACTGCATAAAATTATGTATTTAAAAACTAGTATAAACCTTGACTGTTTTGTAGAATCTTTTTTACATGAAAACTTTCAATTACCCTAGCAGCAACAGCGAAACCCAAACCTCAAGCGGATCCGGCTGCTAAAAAGAGCGCCCAAGAACTAGCAGAGAAGATGCGCCGCGCTGAAGACCAGATGCGGCAGCGTAAGGAAGAAGAGAAGGCAAAGAAGAAGGAGAAAGCCGCGCGTCTGCAGGCCTATCTCAAGGAGTGGCAGAAGGTCAAAGAAGATCTTGATCTAGAAGATCATAAGGTACATACTTACATAGAATTTCGTTCATTTGTTGACTTACACTGTTTGCACAATAATGGGGCTTCAACTTTGGACGTCTTTTTGCAAAATGAGTCATCACACTGCATGCGTTATTGTCCGTATTTCACCTTCACCTTTCACCCCTCAACAGTACTTTACCCTAAGTACAAACTATTATCAAATTCATATAGTTGAATTCGATCTAGATATACGTTAAATTTGAGCTGATTTTTAGTTCTCGTTACGTCCGTGGAGGCACTGCTGTTCAAGTTTCGCATATTTGATTAAGGTTCAGGTACATATGTATCCGGAAGTATAGTTACAATCCAGCACTCTTTCGCAGGTATTACCTCAAGGAACATCAATAAATATCGAGGGTATTCCCCAAGCACATTTCGGGGATTTCCTGTCCGTGTTAGAATTCGTCCACGTTTACTCGGACGTGTTGAAGACCAAGGATGTGTTCCACAACGAGCTGGACCTGGAGACGTTCAGAAAGAGCCTCACGCAGAAGGAGCACGCTGGAGTGTTTAGTGACCTGGTGCAGATGCTCCTTACCACCATATTTTCCTTGCAAGAAGACGAAGCGGAGGAGCACAACGAAAGTGGAGGCATTCAGGAGTCTACTGGTGAGATATTGTGCTATATTGTATATTTGCTCAAGTCATGGACGTATAAAAACAAGTAGACTCACAATCTCTCTCAAAAAGAGTCTGAAGCTAAATTTCGCACATTCGTCTATTGTGCGTAATTTTTAAACAGTCGTGTTTCGACCGCGTTTACAATGCTACGAAATGACAAAGCGTTTCTTCAAAAACTGTGTAACTGACACCTGATCCACATTTGAAAAACATAGACTGATGTATTTATGGTATATGCCCCTTTAAACTAACAATATCACGCAGCTATCTTGGTGTTTTCAATAGTGTTGCAAATTAATTACATTTTAAAAGCTTAAACAAAAACCTCTGTGTGATGGTCTATCTCTCTCACACCATATTCAAACTCTCTTTCTCACGTAAGCTGCTACTACATAGCGTGTTATTTTGAACAAAGTTTTAATGTTAGATGTATAACATATACACAATGCTGCAATTTTTGATGTTCTATTGTTAGGTGATTGGGAGTCCACTTGTTTTTTTACGTCAATGGATATAAAACTTAGAATATTTTCAACAATTTGATATAAGCTTTACACTAAGTAACAATGCTTCAAACTGCAGTAACAACTTAGAAAAAAATTCTACTCAGCTAGGGCTTGGCTTGAACTAGCGTCCTTCAAAATACATGCGTCTATGTACTTATTAGTTAAAAAACGGTATTTTTTGTTTTAAATATCTGGAAAATTAATGAACTCTTTATTTCTCATGCATCATTTATTGATTGAATATTTAAACAAATACATTTCCGTCGTAGAAATGCAAGAGGTGGAGACTGACATGGGCATGGCCCAAGCAATGGAGCTGGCCACCAAGGCCAGTAAATGGTCGCAGACCTACCTCGGCACGCCTCTTAGCAAGCTGCCCCTGGACCCCACCACAGTCAGCGAAGTGCTCAGGTGAGTCCTCATTGAAGCCTCATGAAGCTGGCACCAAGGCCAGTAAATGGTCGCAGACCTACCTCGGCACGCCTCTCAGCAAGCTGCCCCTGGACCCCACCACAGTCAGCGAAGTGCTCAGGTGAGTCCTCATTGAAGCCTCATGAAGCTGGCACCAAGGCCAGTAAATGGTCGCAGACCTACCTCGGCACGCCTCTCAGCAAGCTGCCCCTGGACCCCACCACAGTCAGCGAAGTGCTCAGGTGAGTCCTCATTGAAGCTATATGGAGCTGGCCACCAAAGCCAGTAAATGGTTACATATTTACCTCGGCACGCCGCTCAGCAAGCTTCCTCTGGACTCCACCACAGTCAGCGAAGTGCTCAGGTGAGTCCTCATTGAAGCCTCATGAAGCTGGCACCAAGGCCAGTAAATGGTCGCAGACCTACCTCGGCACGCCTCTCAGCAAGCTGCCCCTGGACCCCACCACAGTCAGCAAAGTGCTCAGGTGAGTCCTCATTGAAGCCTCATGAAGCTGGCACCAAGGCCAGTAAATGGTCGCAGACCTACCTCGTCACGCCGCTCAGCAAACTTCCCCTGGACCCCACCATAGTCAGTGAAGTGCTCAGGTGAGTCCTCATTGACGCCTCATGGAGCTGGCACCAAGGCCAGTAAATGGTCGCAGACCTACCTCGTCACGCCGCTCAGCAAACTTCCCCTGGACCCCACCATAGTCAGTGAAGTGCTCAGGTGAGTCCTCATTGACGCCTCATGGAGCTGGCACCAAGGCCAGTAAATGGTCGCAGACCTACCTCGGCACGCCGCTCAGTAAGCTTCCCCTGGACCCCACCATAGTCAGTGAAGTGCTCAGGTGAGTCCTCATTGAAGCCTCATGGATCTGGTACCAAGGCCAGTAAATGGTCGCAGACCTACCTCGTCACGCCGCTCAGCAAACTTCCCCTGGACCCCACCATAGTCAGTGAAGTGCTCAGGTGAGTCCTCATTGAAGCCTCATGAAGCTGGCACCAAGGCCAGTAAATGGTCGCAGACCTACCTCGGCACGCCTCTCAGCAAGCTGCCCCTGGACCCCACCACAGTCAGCGAAGTGCTCAGGTGAGTCCTCATTGAAGCCTCATGAAGCTGGCACCAAGGCCAGTAAATGGTCGCAGACCTACCTCGGCACGCCTCTCAGCAAGCTGCCCCTGGACCCCACCACAGTCAGCAAAGTGCTCAGGTGAGTCCTCATTGAAGCCTCATGAAGCTGGCACCAAGGCCAGTAAATGGTCGCAGACCTACCTCGTCACGCCGCTCAGCAAACTTCCCCTGGACCCCACCATAGTCAGTGAAGTGCTCAGGTGAGTCCTCATTGACGCCTCATGGAGCTGGCACCAAGGCCAGTAAATGGTCGCAGACCTACCTCGTCACGCCGCTCAGCAAACTTCCCCTGGACCCCACCATAGTCAGTGAAGTGCTCAGGTGAGTCCTCATTGACGCCTCATGGAGCTGGCACCAAGGCCAGTAAATGGTCGCAGACCTACCTCGGCACGCCGCTCAGTAAGCTTCCCCTGGACCCCACCATAGTCAGTGAAGTGCTCAGGTGAGTCCTCATTGAAGCCTCATGGATCTGGTACCAAGGCCAGTAAATGGTCGCAGACCTACCTCGTCACGCCGCTCAGCAAACTTCCCCTGGACCCCACCATAGTCAGTGAAGTGCTCAGGTGAGTCCTCATTGACGCCTCATGGAGCTGGCACCAAGGCCAGTAAATGGTCGCAGACCTACCTCGGCACGCCGCTCAGCAAGCTTCCCCTGGACCCCACCATAGTCAGTGAAGTGCTCAGGTGAGCCGTCATTGAAGCCTCAAGGTATCATTTAAAAGAAGAAGGGTACAGCGGATTTCTCGTTAGAATAGGCAAGGCGAAAGATTTTGAAATCCTCTTCCGTAATGCAGATAACCATTTACTGTTTACAACAAAACCTTTATTTCGGTAATAAACTAAAGATTTTGGAAGTTTAAAGCCATTTTTATAATCATTTTTAAATATTGCGCGAAAACAGGTCGCCGTGTCATGGCGTCGTGTGTGACGTCATACTTACGTAAACGTCAAATTTTAGACAGCAAAGTAAACAAACATTGCGTATTTTTTGTGTTAAAAATGAATTCAAAAGTTTATAAGTGGTGTGCAGTGCCTCAGTGCAAAAATACATCAATAACGACACCCAACAAGGTGTTTGTACATGTCCCATACAAGAAAATAATAAGAGATAAATGGTTAAAGCTTGCACGGCGAAACCCGAACGATGTAAAGACAAATTCGCCACTTTATGTCTGTGAAGATCACTTTGATGTGAGTATGTTATCATTTATTGATAGATATTTAACTTATTATATTGTTTGTTTGACGTGAAATAGTTGAAAGTAGAGGTTATGGAATAACTAGTCATTTATTGAGGTTATGTTTGTGTTAGCCTTGGTTATCATTCTTATTATCAATTTTAATTGTTAACTTTGCATTTTTCAGTTGCCAAATGACATGGAAAATTTTATGGAATACCATGTGATGGGGTCGGTATCGCAAGTACGTATGAAACCAGGATGTATGCCCACAAAATTTACTTGCCAACCAGGCAGGAAAACACACACATCCAACACAACGGAGCGACCCTATATAGCTAAAAAACGAAGGATGATGATTCTTGAAGAGTGTGAAAAGCAATTTGAAGAAAGTACTATAGTTGAAGAGCCATCAAGTTCAAAAGAAATTGCATCTTGTAGTTCAGGTATAGTTTACTAACTTATTTATTATAATGTTAGTTCAATATTATTGCATACATTGTTGGTGTACTTAGGCCCATATTACAGATTATCTTATATAGCGGTGTTTTAGTATAGACTATGGGTATTTAACTGCACTTAAGACTCATCGCAAAACAACATAAATAAAATATAATTTTTACCTCTCCATGAATTAAGATCAAAAAGACATACATATTTTCTGACATACAGCTGCTATTGTTTTTTCTTCTAGTTCAGTAATAAAGAGGTTTTTAATACTTAAACAAGCAGCATCCCTTTGTATAAATCTCAAGAAATTATCTATGTTTGAGATTCATTCTGTGATACTGGCTATAAAACTACATAGATTTTTTTGTAACCTTGTAATTTTCTATTTGTGTTCATAATAATAACATTGCACTTAAATAACAAAACATTTGTTTTACAGTTCAGCAGATTGTTGAACAAGTTCCCCAATTACCACCAAGAATGTTGCATAAAGCAATTCAAGTACACATATGTAAAACATTTAGAAGTAAAGCTAACCAAACAAAAGTTAATTTGGTAAATCAGATGACATCACCATTGAAGCCGTATCTACAATCTGTTTCTACATCACCATTTAAAATCAAGCATGATGTTAATAGTAACCCATCAAGACCAAGTATAAATGTTTTGAGTAAAATAGTCAAACAAATAGAACAATCAGAAAGTGATACTTCTTACACTCCCTCTGATGAGCCATCATCATCCATAAAATCTCTTCAAATGGAGTTTACATCTGACTGTAGCGAGATGCTAGAGGATGACAAAAGGTCAGAAGATTTAAATGCTCTTGAGTGCACTTTGAAGAAAATTAAAAAGAGCCCCCGTTCTTATATTGGCATTCCTTTAAATTGTTATTATTTAGTTAACTTTATTCAAGAGCAGACAGGCATACCGTTTAACCATATTTTACTCTGTCTAAAAAAAATTAGGTTAAACAATTCATTCCGTGAACTTGCTGATGACTTTGGCATTGATAGATCTTATCCAAGCAAAATTTTCTTTAAAAATATACCTCTTATAGCAAGTGTAATGCGTCCTTTTATTGTATCACTAGATAAGGAGTTGATAAAAAAGATGTTACCTATGGCTTTTAGGCATAAATATCATAAGGTGAGTTGTATAATAGATTGTTTAGAAATCGAAGTACAAAAGCCTTCGAAGGCCATAAATCAAGCTCTTTCCTGGTCTGATTACAAGAAAGCCAACACAATTAAGTACCTCATATCTTGTACCCCTAATGGTTTAATCAACTATATTTCATATGGTTATGGAGGCCGAATAACAGACACATGCATTGTGGAAACTTCAGATTTCTCTAAATGTTTGCAACCTAATATGTGCGTTATGGCAGACAGAGGATTTAAACATGTGGAAGTGTATTTACGTAAAATGGGTGTGCTATTAGTACGGCCTCCAAGTGTTGTATCTGGAGCCAAGTTAACAAAAGCTGAAGCCAAAGAAACTAAACAAATAGCTAGCTTACGTATTCATGTTGAGCGGGTAATACGTCGATTACGTGAATTCAACATGTTAAAACCACATGCATGTCTTAACTTAAGTTTGGTTAAAGTTCTTGATGATGTAATAACTATAGCCTGTGGTTTAATTAATATACAAGATTCTCTTATTAAATAAAACAATGATTAAATTTCTGCATTTTTATTTCCTATTCTACACTTTTATATAACAATGGATATACATGGGATTTCCAAAATTGTATAATACTTTCAAGTAAACTTGATAAATATTCATCATCTAAGTTTATGCATATAATTTCTACATTTTTATTAATGGAAAAATTGGGATCTGCAACACAAAAGTAACATTTTTTTAGTCCACTTAGGTACATTTGCATTTGTATTTGGGCAAAGCATTTCTTGCTGGGTTTTCCATTTTTTACATAATTTACATAAGTTTTATTGCTTATAGGGCATTTTATCTCCACAATGCTATCTTGACATAACCCATCAGGAGAACCTGCTAGCATTGGGTATTTTTGAGAAATGAAGAGACCACAATTCTTGATATTTTTCCCTAGTTTCTTGCTAACAATTTCTCTTACCTCATTTTCTAAATATCTACCCCGTTTCATGGCTGCTGTATCTGGTATCTTACCCCCCATGATAATAGAAATCAGAGTCTCATCATTGGTCTGGCACCGACTCACTTCATAAGCTTTAGAAGCTGTTACTCTGCCATACCTGAGTTCGTACCAGAGGTTATTTTTGAACTGGTCCCTGGTTTCAGCTTCAATTTTATTAATAAGGTCTACTGTCAAATTGACTTTACCTAAAAATAAGTCACAACATTCCGTTTTATATTTAAAGACCAGTTGGTGCATTGAGACACTAAATAATTCATCATCATTATAATTGTGTTGGTACTTTAGTAGCTCGCAGTTACCAAGATTTCTCTTTTTTCCTTCCTCTAAAAATTTTTCAAGGACTGTGTAGTTAGAAGGCAACATAGGGCTACCTTTAGATAAATCTTTGGCAGATATAAATTTCAAGGTAGTGCCAACTCTTGACAGCTTTGATTTCTGCCAGTAGCATTGGACTTCTGTGCATGAAGGTTCTTCACTTCGTCTATGGACCCACATAAGTAGAGCTATGGCATGTTTGCACCCACCCTGGGCAGCAACACAATCATGACATTCAATTGATGTTACTTTTTCTTCATCTTCATCAACTATCAGTGTAACAGCATATAGTTTTGCATGGACTTTATGCTCGGGGCAAATCTTGCATTTGACTGTGCAAATGTTTCCTTCCCGTTTTAGTTGCACATAACTAATTGCATCATCTCCATATGAAGGTCTTGAAGATCTGAAATAATAGAAATTAATTAGAACAAATACATACATACTGTCAAATCAAACATGTTTATTTTTGAATGTAGAATTATTTAGAAGTCAAAAATGTTGTGTGTCAACCTAAAGTCTAAAACTACCATCACTTCTCATATTTAGGTGTTTCGAAGTTATACAAATTTTCTCGTTTTGTTAGTTAATAACTGGTTTAGCAAACATACCTATACTGTAAGGGAGCTAACCTCATAAACGAAGACAAGTTTATTGTAAAAATAACCTATAAAAGTAAAACGAAATAAACTTCTACGAGTTTAAAACGAGTCTGATTGCTATTTAGTCATATTTGTATCTAGTGTTAAAGATAAATACAAATAAAATATACTTACAAAGAGGTTTTCACGTTTCTAAATTCGGAAGAGCAAAATTCTTTATTATTTGCAAGGAACTCGCCCAACATCAATAAATCGATCCTGGGCAAATTTGCACTGTTTGCCTTAACAAAGCCTGGTTCCATTGTTATAGATAGATTCGTGTTGTAAAGTCGATAAATCACAAAAACAAATATATATCAATCGTAACGCGCAATCAGTATGTAAGGTAATCAAAACACAGTGAAGCTTACATAAGTATGACGTCATGCGCTGTGATTGGTGTTTCATTCAAAATGGCCGGTTGCAGTATTTTACTCTTTTATTTTATTGAAAATCTTATTAATCTCAATTTTTTAAATAAAACTAAATCAGTTTTTTAAATCCTTTGAATGTGTATTTTCCTCTAAAGTCATTAAATCTTTGATAATGTCATACTGTCGACACGCCTATTGAAGCGCCCGTTTGGGGAAGCAATCACCACGTTACAGAAGACAGTAAAATAACACTACCTTTTGGTCGTGTTGCGTTTCTGATATTGAGTAGGATTCCAGGTCTCTGCGGCATAGAGAATTGGGCTTATAGCGGCAAGGGGAGGATTTATGGAGCGGCACACCTTTCGTGGCATCGTCTTTCTTCAAGCCTAACTCCACTTACACTTAACATTAGATGGGGTAATTTTTTGCGCCTCGTATAAAAAAATCATCATCATCAGTCTATTAATGTCTCCCGCTGCTGAGACACAGGCAAGACAATAGAAAGTTTGGGCCATGACTCACCACTCTTGCCCAGATTAGAGCAGTGTTGTAACGACTGCAGATACATATTTCCAAATCCCACATTCAGTGGTTTCTTATTTCCGCAGAGCGCGGGGTAGGGGGCGAGGCAATTGCTATTCTTAACTATCAAAGTAAAAATTAGTACTTACTTTTTTATGTATTTACTTGTAAATTTGTTGAGCTCTTTCTAGTTTTCCTGATGTTATTATTTGTACAGATTGCACCTGCTAGCGTCAGGCGGGGCGGCCGGCACTCGTTGCGCTACCTGGAGATACCACCAACGAGGCGGGTACTCCAGCAGGGACGACCCCGGCCTGAGGCTGCGGATATCACACCCCAGGCTACTGCGGGCCCTGCACGCCAGGCACGTGGCCGACCTGCAACTAGGTCAGTATACAGGAGGCGGGTGATGTGTGGCATCAATATATGCCACCACCAACGAGGAATCACAATAAAGGAATCGAATTTCAATAGTTTGAGCTATTAGTCAATACCAAATTGCGTCTAAGTTAATGACGTTTCTTAATACGCAGATTTTGATCTAGATTTTTAGCCATTTTTATTGAATTTATTTGAGATTTTGATGACTGAGTCTTATTAAGCGTAATTTTAGATGCTTTTTTTATACTGTGTACCAAGATACACCCTAGGCTACTGCGGGCCCTGCACGCCAGGCACGTGGCCGACCTGCAACTAGGTCAGTATACAAGGGGCGGGTGACGTGTGGCATTAATATAGGCCACCTGGCGGCACCATCAACGAGGAATCACAATAAAGGAATCGCATTTCAACCAATAGTTTGAGCTATTAGTCAATGCCAAATTGCGTCTAAATTAATGACGTTTCTTAATACGCAGATTTCTATTTAGATTTTTAGCCATTTTTATTGAATTTATTTGAGATTTTGATGACTGAGTCTTATTAAGCGTAATTTTAAATGCTTTTTTTATAATGTGTACCAAGATACAAAATTGGGCAAAAATCGAAGGTCTTCTTTTAGATGTGGAAAATTGATTTTATAGATGTTCTATCATTGGTTCATTCTGCGTCAATTTCATCAAAGTTGGTGTCCTATGCACAACCCGCCAGGGTTTAGGAGTGCAACTGACTGAATTAGATAAGATATTTGAAAATTTTGTTACAGAGGACAAATTCCTAGTTCTGCAGTGCTTGATGAATCAAATATTGAGCTATGCGACAGTCCGCGACATCATTGAAGAAAAACTCGACGAGTTGAGGAACACAAAACAGGCACTGAGGATGCTTACGGTGAGTCCAAGTTTAATATTATCTATATTTCTTTAGGAGCTTTGTGTCCACGTTATATTCATTTATTATACGGCTCGAAGGACCAAGCTTAATGTGCCATCTACAACAATCGTTTATTTAATGCCATCACTTAAATTGACTATTCGTGTTTGCTATTTGTAAACTTGACATCAGTCTGTCCTTTTCATTCTTTATAAGTTTGCAAAAATCAAATACGGATAGCCAAGTGAAGTGGCTGCAAAAAGTTGTTTTGATGTTCCTTTAGTTTCGAACTGTCTCGAGGCGAAAATGGAATCTTTTCAATTATTGTAATTCCTACCATGTCTCAATTAATTCTTTAGAATTAATTTAAATATAAATATAACGCAGATCAATGAACGCAAACGTGAAATGCAAGTCGCAGCGGCGCGACAGGAGATTAAGAAAGAAGCCGCTGCTAAGAAAGAAGAGCTCAAACTCACGGGAGATAAGGCCAAAGCTCTGGACGAAGAGGCCAAAGCGTCCATAGAGAAACTCGCCAAAGAGAGTGAGCTCAAGAAACAAGAGTATGAGAAGAAGCAGAAGGAATTGCAAGGAGAGCTTTTTGATTATATGTCTTACCTTGGTGAGTGCTTGTGTTTCATAATTTTGTGAAGTTTCCGGTTTTTTTATATTTTGTGATATTATTATTATCTTTTTGGCATGCCCTGTCGGTAAACATTTGTGGAAACTGGATTTATTATAAACGGATTTCCTCATTTCTTTAAGGCTGTAAAAACTTTATTTTATCACTTATTAGCTATCATACTAACAACGGTATTTATAAATTAATTTCACGGGTCTCATCTCATCTAAATTGGCACGAAATAATAGTAACAGATTGCTAGATCTTAACTTGTTAACAGTTTTTCACGTGTTTATATCTACGGTGTTTTTTTTTTGTTGCTTATATATTATTTAGTATGTAGTTACTGGTCGCGTCATGTAAAAAGAACGCTGCAAGAAAGTGGTGGCATGTCTACACTTGCGCACCAAAGGTACCAGACCTCTATACTAAATTGCTTATCGATAGAAAATATCGATATTTTCTATAATCGATCTTATCCTTATCACTTCGATGCACTCAGTTTATCATCTGACCTTGACATGTCCAATCAGAACGCGGCTACCCTGCCCGCACGCCGAAGACTGGCGATTTTGATTCCAAAAAAATTTTGAGTGGTGAGGACTCTAGGGGGGGGTGTTCCATGGATAATTGGTTTAACAAGTTTTCTGGTATAAACGTACGACTGATAGATTAAATAAGGCGATCTAAGACACAGAGCGCCATCTATTTTGATCAGGGGGCGCTAAACTACTACTACTTACACCTTAAAGTAGAACTTTTTATTAGCTGCAGTAAAATGACGTTTTGTGGGTTACCGCTTTTTGAAGAAAAATAAATAGGGATGTAGCTAAGTGAGTAAGTGAATCATTCAATAAATGAATGATCAGTTTGGTTTTGTCTAAGAGATTTAATATTAAGTTGTAATGATTTTTTATTCTATTATTATTACTATAGTAAAGGATTCATCTTTTTCATTGGAAGTATCGGGACGTACATCCAAAATTAAACAAAAAGTCATAACAATGTTATTTATTAATCAAATATTTTCAAAATCACTATCGCTGTCGCTTTCAGTCACACTAATGACAAATCTGTCTGTCATTTCATCAATAATATGATCGAGGTGGCACTCTTTTATAGTGTTAGACACACAGTCACTCCACTTAACCGGTGTCACTTTGTTGATTCCTTCTGGGAATAAAGTTTTCACTTCTTGCATTTTATATGTTTTATTAATGTTTGCGACGTGCCCCTTTACCTGAGCCCAAACCAACTCGATGGGGTTTAATTCACAGTGATAAGGGGGCAGTCTTAAAAGTCTGATACCTTTTTATGCAGCAATCTCGTCCACGGCATATTTCTCAGTATGATTTTGTTGTTTCACAATATCTATAAGAGTGGCCTTCACTATATTTGGTTCAAATGTAATATTTTTAGTGGTCAGCCACTTTTGAATCTAATTGGTTAATATTCCACATGGGGTGGGAGAAAACATATTATACCTAACATATAATAAAAAGATTAGTGATGACAGGTAAACTAACCTTTGCGATGGTGGGTACTTCATTTCTATGAAAGAACTGATGTACAATTCCTCTAATAGCGGTGAATGTGAAATCATCAAGTTTTTCTTTAAATGTAAGTTTTGGGGCCAGGTTTTTCGGGAGGTTTTGGTGATTTACAGACGGTCTCCTTGTGCTCCTTTAAAACAAAATAAACAGTGCGGACAGATATTCCCAAGACTTCAGCCACCTTGTTGACGCATTCACTTGTTTTTGGAACTTCAATATTTGATTCTGTAGATTTCACTTCAAACACATATTTGTAAACGATTCTGACCCAAAGTTTCTCGGTTGCACTTAGAGCTACACATGGCCTTTTTTTCTTAGATAGAAATGTATCTCCATCTTGTGATATGCTCAACTGAGCATCGATGTCTTCGATGTAACAAACAAAAAAAAGCTGACACGATTAAGAAAAGGTAGGTAACGAAAAACAGACATAACGTAACAAACATTTAACAATAATGATAACTAAAACAACTCGCAGTGGGCAAAGCAAAGTTATTCGTGCACTCAAAACAGAAGTTAGAAGCCGAATGAGCAAATGATAAATGAAATAAAATGGCGGACAAGCGTCATCGTAGCACCGTAACTAAAAACCAGTACCAACTTGAGATTTTATATAGCCTTTTATTTATATGAATGATAAATAGAATTAAGTAGTTAGTTATGGAACTATTAGATTTTCTGTGAACCTAATCACATCCCTATTGAAATGAGGTGGTCAAAATTATTTTACGGAATGACATTTTGAAACGTCATTTTACTGCAGCTAATAAAAAGTCGAAGTATAGTTACCTTTATGATATCGAAACAAATAGCGATCTAATGTCAAATGCAACCTGCCAACACGCCACATTTTTTTTATTTAGCTGAAACGTTAAGTCTATGAGGAAGCGTACGCTCGAACGTTGCATTGCTTCTATACTTTAGTTCTAGTTCTAAAATTTAAATGTCAAAATTATTACGGGTCTACCGAAAATGTTTGTTTCGACACCTCTGTTATTTATTGCGTTTACAGGGTCGGATCGCGCGTTCCGCCGCTACTGGGTCAACCAGCGGGTGGCGGGCATCTTCGTAGAGGCCGGCGCCGAACCACGCGGGCCCTGCCGGCACAAACCCGTGCCGCCCGCGCCGTCCCACGCCTCGCCCGCACGCGACCCGCTCGCCTACGTGGCGCGCCTGCTGGACACGGAGCGAGGTCAGTGACCCGACTACTCACCCGAACCACGCGGGCCCTGCCGGCACAAACCCGTGCCGCCCGCGCCGTCACACGCCTCGCCCGCACGCGACCCGCTCGCCTACGTGGCGCGCCTGCTGGACACGGAGCGAGGTCAGTGACCCGACTACTCACCCGAACCACGCGGGCCCTGCCGGCACAAACCCGTGCCGCCCGCGCCGTCACACGCCTCGCCCGCACGCGACCCGCTCGCCTACGTGGCGCGCCTGCTGGACACGGAGCGAGGTCAGTGACCCGACTACTCACCCGAACCACGCGGGCCCTGCCGGCACAAACCCGTGCCGCCCGCGCCGTCACACGCCTCGCCCGCACGCGACCCGCTCGCCTACGTGGCGCGCCTGCTGGACACGGAGCGAGGTCAGTGACCCGACTACTCACCCGAACCACGCGGGCCCTGCCGGCACAAACCCGTGCCGCCCGCGCCGTCACACGCCTCGCCCGCACACGACCCGCTCGCCTACGTGGCGCGCCTGCTGGACACGGAGCGAGGTCAGTGACCCGACTACTCACCCGAACCACGCGGGCCCTGCCGGCACAAACCCGTGCCGCCCGCGCCGTCACACGCCTCGCCCGCACGCGACCCGCTCGCCTACGTGGCGCGCCTGCTGGACACGGAGCGAGGTCAGTGACCCGACTACTCACCCGAACCACGCGGGCCCTGCCGGCACAAACCCGTGCCGCCCGCGCCGTCACACGCCTCGCCCGCACGCGACCCGCTCGCCTACGTGGCGCGCCTGCTGGACACGGAGCGAGGTCAGTGACCCGACTACTCACCCGAACCACGCGGGCCCTGCCGGCACAAACCCGTGCCGCCCGCGCCGTCACACGCCTCGCCCGCACGCGACCCGCTCGCCTACGTGGCGCGCCTGCTGGACACGGAGCGAGGTCAGTGACCCGACTACTCACCCGAACCACGCGGGCCCTGCCGGCACAAACCCGTGCCGCCCGCGCCGTCACACGCCTCGCCCGCACGCGACCCGCTCGCCTACGTGGCGCGCCTGCTGGACACGGAGCGAGGTCAGTGACCCGACTACTCACCCGAACCACGCGGGCCCTGCCGGCACAAACCCGTGCCGCCCGCGCCGTCCCACGCCTCGCCCGCACGCGACCCGCTCGCCTACGTGGCGCGCCTGCTCGACACGGAGCGAGGTCAGTGACCCGACTACTCACCCGAACCACGCGGGCCCTGCCGGCACAAACCCGTGCCGCCCGCGCCGTCCCACGCCTCGCCCGCACGCGACCCGCTCGCCTACGTGGCGCGCCTGCGAGCACACGGAGCGAGGTCATTGACCCGACTACTCACTCTTTTTTTTATTGTTAGGAAAATGCGTGACGCATACATCGCTCCTGGGTGAGAGACGGGGTTAGGTTAGGTTAGGTTAGCACCCAGGCATCGCCCCTCGCCGGATGAGACTGTGCAATGTGGACGACGGACCACCCTGACTGCCGTCCGCTAGCCTCACTAGGGTGGAAAAACCCCGCCGTCGTCGGCGGAGAGGGTCGGCCCGGGCGTCCTCCTTGCGGGCCCTCTCCGCTGTCTCCTTATGGAGAATGACTTCCTCACAGAAGGAGACTACCGGAGTCCAGGATCTGTCGCCGTCCAGCATCGCTCTAACGACGCTGGGCAGCGAGAGTTCCCGTCCTATTGCCATGACCATATCATTGCGCTGCCGGGATCACAACGGGCACTCCTCAAGGGTGTGCTGCGCCGTGTCCCCGACAGCGCCACAATGATGGCACGACAGGGTCGCTTCTCTCCGTATTCGATGCAGGTAGCTGCCAAAGCATCCATGCTCTGACAGCACCTGCACCAGACGGAAGGTCAGCGACCCATGCATCATCTCCCTCCATTGGTCGAGCACTGTTCGCAGTGCCTCCAGGGTTCTGGTGCCATATTGCTGTGTGCCGAGCTCCTCAATCCAATAAATCAGTGCTAATCGCTCCCCTCGCTGCCGGGCCTCCGCCCTTTCCCAATATCGGCGGGACAGTGCTTTCACTTCCAGCGCCTACGGGGGAACCCTGTTATTGCGCAAGCAGCAGCAAATGACGTGGTGCAATGGGCTCGCGCAGCCCTTTAAGGTCTCGCTCCTCGCGTCTATACACTCTGCCCATATGGACGCCCCGTAGAGGCCCTCATACTCATCACACAGGAGCACAGATCTTTCCTATGGTTGGAATAGGGAGACAGGGCCGTGACCCACCACGCGCGCCCAGTGCAGATTGGTGGGTGCTAACGATTGCAGAGGCAGCGACTAAGTGTAAATGCACAGAGTCGAGTACGCCCGTATTCGGGTAATTTTAATTTTGGTTACTCGACACCGTATTTTAGCCTATTCCAGTGTAAATATTGCTTCGGGTGTCCGGATTCGAGTAATGTCTTTCGTGTATACGAAACTTTCGTGTATGTTAGCCCTACACTTAGTCGTTAGCCCGTATTCAGGTATCTGACTAAGTGTAATTGAGCCATCATAAAGCATGATAAGGACAGGCTGTTGTCAAGTTTACAAATAGCAAATACAAATAATATTAACATATGCCATCATATATTGGATACCCATAGCGAGCAGCGACAAAGAGAACGATTCGGGCCCCAATTCCCGCGGGAGCTCCCCCAAGAAGCCGCTGGCGAGTCTCAACGGGCTCAACCACAAGCTCAATGGGATCGACAACACCCCGCATCTTCGGGAACTGCTGGTCTGCACCGGCGACATCTCCACGTGTCTAGCGCACGGAAAGGTAACTTTTATTAAAAGTTATGAAACAGCTATAAAGCTGTTTTATAACCAATTAATCTATACATCTATATATATAAACTCAAAGGTGACTGACTGACATAGTGATCTATCAACGCACAGCCCAAACCTATGGACGGATCGGGCTAAAATTTGGCATGCAGGTAGATGTTATGACGTAGGCATCCGCTAAGAAAGGATTTTGATCAATTCTACCCCCAAGGGGATAAAATAGGGAATGAAAGTTTGTATGAAACTTTGTCAATTTTAAACCGATCGGGCTGAGACTTTGTATGCAGGTATAAGAAGAATCATAGATGAATATCATTGTGTATAATACAAGCCTGATAACAAAAACTGTAGTCTACACTTCAGCTCTACACTGAAGCGAAGCGAGGGCGGGCCGCTAGTATAATCATAAAATTAGCTCAACTTTTTTTGTACATTACCTTTTATATAAAATTCTCGTGTCACAATCTTAGTAACCATACTCCTCCGAAACGTCTTTACCGATTTTTATGAAATTTTAAAAGCATATTCTGTAGGTCTGAGAATATCTATTTTTCATACCCCTAAGTGATAAGGGTTGTCCACCCCTTACATTTGGTTTTTTTTTATAATGTGGCATTAAAAACACATACAACCTAAATTTTCACCCTTACGAAGTTCGCTGGGTCAGCTAGTTGTTGTATATGTTATATGTAATTTAGCAATTTGATGGAAAACGCCAAGGTATTTACCTAATATTATTAGTTAAAGAGACACTTACCTGAAATAAGTGTGAATCTGGTCTCATTTGGATATTTTTTAACGGAACATTTAGTGAATTAGTGGCGTTGTAATCAACGCGCGGTTGAAACACTACTGTTTAAAAATTACTCACATTAGACGCGTGCGCGTAATTTTGCTTCCTAAACTTTGTGCTTGAAAACATAAGAAATAAAATAAATATCACACCCAATGTTTTGGTGAAAAATATTAAGTATTTCGTTTCTATTTTTATACAAACTACAGTGTTAATCTTACAGGGCGATCGTCCCAACTGGGTGGTGTACCACACTGAAGAACAGCTGGAGGGGCTGATCCAAGCCTTGAACAAGCGCGGGCTGCGAGAGGCCGAGCTCAGGCAAGCGCTGGAAGTGGACAAACTCAGCCTTAGAGACTACATCGCCAAGTGTCCGCTGCATCTGCTGGAACCTTCTGCTGCCCCGGTAAGTTTACTACGGAGCTCGATGGCGCGGATGGTTATCGCGTTCTACTGCGATCGTTGAAGTTAAGCAACTTTCACATTGGTCGGTCATTGGATGGGTGACCAAAAATCTTTTATCTCGAGTTCCTCCGTGCTTCGGAAGGCACATTAAGCCGTTGGTCCCGGCTGCATCTGCAGTCGTCATAGTTCAATCTCCCTATTTCATCCATAGGGACGGCCTGTGCCCCAGCAGTGGGGACATCAATAGACTGATGATGATGATGATATCAATGAGGGGGTTTAATTGACAAGCAGCTATACTCTATTCCAGTGGTTCTCAAACTTTTTAAATGACGGAACCCTTTTGGGAAGCAAAATACTTGATGGAACCCTACAATAAAACAATTATTTTTATAAGTGTATTCTATATTAATCAGCATAATAAAAGTACAATGTATCCGTTACTAATTATTATTTACTTCACCACTTGGTAAGGACAATAATAGAAAACATTAAAAAAGAAAAAATCTAACTAGTGGGAGGTATGAAACTGTTTTTTATTTTTCATCAATTGCTTGATATCAGGTTTGATGGAAGAAAGTTGGAGTCTCATATCAGCTTCGGCGTCCAGTCTATTGCGATATTTTGTTTTCGTGGCTGCGTAGGTAGAGAATCCTGTTTCGCACAAATATGTAGTTGGGAACGGGAGAAGAATATCCAGAGCCATTTGGCCAAGCATTGCATATTCATCTTGGATTCTGCACCAAAAATCATTAAGAGGCGTCGTTTTGAACAATGACTCCATACTTGTGTCTGATGACATTTCTAAAAGAGATTCATATATCTCATTTGACATGTTTTCAGGCTTTTCCAAGTTGGGTAAAAAAGGATTATGAATCCAGGAGTTCACTTTAATTTTTGTATTGTGTTCTTCGGGAAAATACTTTTCAAAAGATGCGCGCATCGAACTGAGATATTGGACCAATTCTTCAAACACATTATCTTCAAACATTTCTGAGTCGTTTTCGCTAACAAACTCAGTGAGTAACGTAAAACTTTCTATTTCTTTCTTACCAATGCAAATGATCCAAAAATCTAATTTTCTTTTAAAAGTAGTTATTTTATTATAGGCCTGAAACACTGTTGTCTGTTTACCTTGCAATGATAAATTTAATTCGTTAAGTTTTTGAAAGATATCCGCCATAAAAGACAATCGGAACAACCAAGTTTTATCATACAAACGGTCCTTCAAATTAAAAGAAGTATCTGCTTAGGGACACGATATCGAATAGAAAGTATCGATACTGTACTCATGAGTAGTATCGGTAAAAAAGTATCGTACTCGTAAAAGTATCGAAACAAAAGTATCGATACTTCAAAGTATCGAGTACATTTCATAGGGAATTATCGGATCCTCTGTGGCCTGATGAGCAACCACCCACCCCCCCCCCCCCACGGGTTAAAAATTGAAAGAAAAACAATCGAATTTTACTATAGTACGTATAATCAAAAACAGAAAAAGGACATGTTAATTCACAAATTGCTATATTATATAATGAAAAGAAAATAGCTGTGATTTCTGACACTTAAAAAGTGTTCATTAATATCACATTAATAATTAAAATGTTAACTTGAATCTGACACGCAGTTAACGGCGGCCATTGGCATGCTTCACTCAATATTATAATTATAGAAGAGGTTACGTCCGTCTTTTTTTCAGGTCCGTGGTTTCAAACAGGTATACACAGCACAGACAGAATAATAGTGTTACACTTGAATACATCAAATGCAGTCAAGCGAAAAGCACAATAAACGGCGAATCATCAATCACAATTCCTAACAATATGGTCTCTAAATAAATAACTATGAAACAAAACAAAGCGCAAAATAAACACAGTCACAGATTGGAAAGAATTTGAATATGTCATAACAATATCAGGCGCTTATCCAAATTTTAAAGGTATCGATACTTACTTGCCAAAAAGTACTCAATAAGTAAATGTATCGAATACAAAGTATCGAGTACAAAAGTATCGGTATCGAAAGGAAAAGTACTCGATACCACAAAGTATCGATACTTTTTTCGTGTCCCTATATCTGCTGAAAGAAACATTTGTAACTCGGCTCTAAGTTCAAATAGCCTTGTTAAAGTTTTTCCCCGAGACAGCCATCGCACTTCTGTATGGAGCAGCAGTGTTTTATGTTTGCTGCCATAATCTTCACACAATAATGAGAACAATCGGGATTGTAGTGGTCGTGATTTGATAAAATTAATTATTTTTACCGCTTCATCCATAACTAATTTTAGATTAGACGGCATTTGCTTCATCGCAAGTGCTTGTCTATGCAGAATACAATGACTGGAACTACAATTAGGCGCTTTATTTTTCATTCGTGACACTGCTCCTGCTGTTTTACCTGTCATCGCCTTGGCCCCATCTGTACAAATGTCAATGCAATTGTTCCAACTGAGATTATGTTCTTCAAAAAATATATTTATTTTATTAAAAATTTCTTCCCCGGTAGTGTTTGTAAGCAGCGATGAACACATAAGCATGTCTTCTTCAAAAGAACTTTTATATGGATATCTCACAATAACCAGCAGGATAGCCAAACCAGCGACATCAGTCGACTCGTCCATTTGCAAAGCGAATCGTGTATTTTGTAGACGTGTAACTAGTTCTTGTTTGACGTAGCTTGCCAGATCATGGATTCGTCGTGAAACAGTATCGTTTGATAGCGGAACAGTAGAAAGATGCTTTGCAGATTTTTCATCAAGCATACATTTTGTTATGTCTAATACACATGGTTTTATTAATTTCTCAGCGATAGTGTGCGCTTCACCTGCTTGTGCAATGCGATAGCTAACTAAGTATGATGCCTCCGTGGCCTTTTCGTTGGTAGTTTGTGTTACATGCATCATATTTTTTTGACTTTCTAATAACTGATCTTTTTTGCGAACAAAAAATTCTTTATTCTTGTCTTTAGTCTCGGGGTGTACGGTTTCTAAATGTCGACGCAATTTGGCAGGTGCCATGGAACTATTAGGAAGCAGTTTACTACAGAGCATGCAGAGAGGTGAGCCGTTGGAATCAACAAATCCGAAACTGATATAAGATTCATCATACTTCCTTTTTTTCGTCTTTGAAACCGTCGAGCTTGACGTCGTGGCACTCGTGGCATCATCTTCTGGATCGGTGATTGCTAAATTCTCCGCGCGCATTGCTTTTGAACATTCAGCGTCATTAGAAGATGTTGTTGGAACACGTTTAACACCTTTAAGCCAACGTTCCATTCTTCTTTATTTATAATGTTACAAGTCAGGATAGTGGGGTTTAAATAATGCACAATCGTTACTGCGTATAAGAGACTAAATTTAGAACCTACAGGGAAGAAATGTATAAAACTGAGACAACAGAATACAGCAGGCAGTAAAACAATGAACACCAGTTTCTCGCTAGCGAGCTTGTAAGTAGGTAGTAACTTATCGCTCCGAACGCTAATCATCAACTGACGACGCCAACGCGCGATCGCCGCTTTTATACTTAGTCCTAGACTCGATCTCAAATATTCTCGAAAATACTCGAGTCGGCACCTTTGATAAACAAAAAGCAAAAATAAAAACAGAAATTTAAAAATAGCGTTGTAAACAATATCGACTTTATCCTTTGAAGTTAGAGACGAAAGTCGCTAGTTGACAACTATAGCGTCTAATTCAGAGGCGGCTTTTATCAAAGAGACTGAGCGCTTACAAGTATACTACCCGCTCGTTTTAAGTTTGCCGCTGGCGATAGGTATGAGTGTATGACGTTCGAAATTTTTTATTTAATTGTAACAATAAAAATTGTGTACGTTAGATATTTGGGTAAAACTATGACACATTATAAGTTTTGTTGTCACGTGGGGGAGGGTACGCGCATTCCACAGACCGGCAAACTTAGAGCGAACGCGTTGTACAAGTATAAAATTGTTGAGACCAAACTTATGAGATATTGTACCAGCTAATGTAACACAAGCTTATACAAATACAAATAAATAAATAAATAACATTCATAGCGTTTTGTCTCCGCGCGGCCGCGGAGTCCGCACAGCCGCGGAGCGACCAGAGAGAGGTGTTTTGATTTTTTTATTTCTAAATTCTTGCGGAACCCCGACAGAGGTATCACGGAACCCTAGGGTTCCGCGGAACACACTTAGAGTATAGCTGCTCTATTCAACTTCCTCTGAGATAAAAGGTAAACAAATAATATTTCTAAAACTTTTTATGAAGAGGAAAGATGGCCAGTGTAACCAGACTGATTAAAAAAGCTCAGATTTCAGCGTAAATTAATTGCTTAATCAATACTCTTCAATTCAGTAGACGTATAATGTGTTGAAAGTTTGGGAATAGCTACAGTTTTGGGTTTTTTTAATATCACTTTTTTAATTATGATTTTATACGCGTATCAACGTCAATGATTAATGGGCAAACAGTGTATGTATAAGGATTTTTTTTAGTATTGTCATGTTATTGTTAGTCCCAAGTAATTTAGAAAGTATACTACTGAATTATCATAAACCTTGCACAAAGTTTAAAATTTGGAATTTGAAACATTGAAACCTGAAATTGGCATTGCGATATTTAACTTACCTTATTTATTTATTTTGTACACACACAATAAAATATTTGAAAAGAGAGAAACAAGAGACATGTACAAGGGCACTGCTTATTTCATAATAAAATTTCTTCCAGCAGGCCCGCGAAAGGAAAGAACATAGAAAAAGGCAGTCAGTGTGTGCTCCTGAATAAATATAACATAATACATATGCAATACATACATAAACATACAATACATATATATACAATATTAATAAATTAATTAATACTTTTACCTTGATTAGAAATGGATTGTAATAGGCTGTTGGTTTCAAAAAATAAATAAATCAAGCTCGACCTATTGATAAACCTGTTTATAGTTTGTTTAGCTTTTATCTCAGAGGAAGTTGAATAGAGTAAAGTATCTTGTCAATTAAACTCCCTCATTGATATCTAAAGAATTATTTGTCGTTGGTCATATTGTATTAGAGTCTGTGCGGAAAGAGAATGGGATTTAGATTGGAGGGCGCTGTAGTGCTTTTCTACCGTATTTGTAAGGTTTTACCCCTTTTTGACATGATTAAATACAAAAAACCGCAAGAAATCACAACAACAAACAAATCCGTATCAATACAAAACTTTGACGTTTTACAGATTGCTGGGTTTGATTGCGAAATAAAAATCTTAATGTTAGTTCCGTTTTTCGCCACGCCCATTCTCTTTCCGCGCAGACTTTAATCTAGTTGCTGTGACAAACATAAGCCCCCTTTCTTGAGTGGCGCAGTTTTCCATGCTGCCTTTTACTAACGATTGTGTGATAAAGAAAGCGTATATTTATTAGCCCCCAGTTTTGTGACCAGTTAATAGTACATTTTTTTATGAATGCGTATAGTTTTTAAATTTACAACAATTGTGTGATACTTACGTAGCCCCCGCCCGTGCATCAAACCCGCCACAAGAAGGTGCAAGTCTCCCTCCACGTGCCGGCAGATTGCTCGCTGAGCGAAGCACTAGAACTGTCTCTACGGGACCACATCCTGGAGCTCGAAGAGAAGATCTTCCACGGTTGCCTAGGAGTGCTGAAAGTCAAGGTAAAAATTACCTTATGAACTGGTTATATGGTGGTGAATATGTTGGTTAACATTTTAATTTGTCTGCTTGAATCTGCATCGCTGCAATTAATAAGTATGGAAGCCTACATCGCGCAAGTGAAATTCGGAGGCTAACACTCCAATTATACAATGCCCGACCAACATCAGTTGGGCCGCGGCCCCCGATCTACCATCACCAAGCTCGGAGGAAGATCTTTTCCTTTGGTTTCCACAATATCTTTTATCATTTATTTATTTGTGGTACATAGGTAATACATGGTTATTATGCCACAAGAAGAAATATACAGTCCAACTACGACCAGCCATCAGGCATACAAATATAGAATTAATAACGGTACTTTAAATTATACTACATGAAAAAACAATTAAATATAAATTAAAATTCAAAATAAAATGTCATCATAATAATAATTGTCAGTAATCTTAATTAAACTTCTTACCATTTATTTAAGTCCTTATCCATCAGATATTCATTATTATAATACATAAAAAAAATAACAATTACAATAAAATTAAATTCAAAAGTCATCACAATATTAAATGTCATTCATCGTAATCATATTTATATGTATATTACTGAATTAAGTCCTTATCCATCAGAGATTCATTTATACATTAATAAGATTTTCTTTTATTATTGTTATTTAGTTTCTCTTTATTATAGTATAGTATTGAAGGTTATTTGTATACGTTAGGATCGCGAAGCGTGGCGTGGAACATTGATGCTGCGGGGATACGACAAACAGGCAGACTATCTCACATGGGGACCTGCACATAAATACAGAGATGACTGCCATCTGCCAAACGGAGAGCTGCGTCTGCCGCACGGTAACTATTAATATATATATATATATATATATATATAATACACTATAACTACACTAGCAAAATAGGGTATTTGACAAGTTAGAGAAAAATATCTCACTTTATTGACTAATGTTTATGGAGCCCGAAAAAGTGGATATTCATCATTCTGTTGTGTATTTCAGTAAAAATAACCAAATTAAAAACACCATTTTCAAGTTGCCGCGAAAACGTTTCTCTGGACAATATGGCGTCTTACTAGTGTGTGACGTCACACGACTGTTGTTAAAACGTCAAACGATACAATTTAATGTCACTTCAACCGGAAGTTTACTTGCGTGTGACGTCATTTTAGGCTCCCAAGCGTTTTGGGTCACGTGACAATAGATAAGAAAACTATTATCTTTTTCGTGGGTTTTTTAGTAAAATTTAGATTTTTTTTTTGTAAAATTAGTAAAATCCCCTGCCAATATTCATTCTAAACACAGATGCTATCAATTGGCACTTTAGTTTTAATACTGTCAAATACCCTATTCAATGAAAAGAGACAAAAACTAATCCAAGCTTATTCTTCCTTTATTCATAAGGGGGTTAGAGCTGTCCATGTCCAACTGTAACGTTTTATACTTATTATAAGTGCCCGATGTAATGAAAAAATAATACAATAAGTTTCCCTCCTCACACTTAGGGGTATAATTCAAATATAATATCATCATCATCATAGCCTATTAATGTCCCCACTGCTGGGGCACAGGCCTACCATATGGATGGAATAGGGAGACTGGGCCGGGATCCACCACGCGAGTCCAGTGCGGATTGGTGGGTGCTAACGATTGCAGATGCAGGCGGGACCAACGGCTTAACGTGCCTTCCGATGCACGGAGGAGCTCGAGATAATAAGTTTTTGGTCACCCATCCAATGACCGACCATTGCGAAAGTTGTTTAACTTCCACGATCGCAGGCCGAAGGCGCTAACAACCAGCGCCATCGAGCTCCTCCTCCAAATGTGTAATATACTATACTCTATTTATGAAAACGAGTCAGTGGAGCGCGTTCACATAAGGGCTAAAAATTTATTCGAACATGCATCTCCGCTATAAGGTCGGATGGACCGACCATTCTGCTACCGCGGCCCTGATGGCCGCGTCAAATTCTTTCTAGTATTTTGTAGGCTGCAAGGCAGCGCCATGTCTTAGCATTGTAGGTAACCCACAATGTCAAATGAATACCCACATTTACTAGTACTAAACATTTGAATGAACGAAATAGCAATTGTAGTATATTATTTATTTCTAACGCATTTAACTGATTTTAGATTTAAACTTATTCATCTTACCTCTAGGTTTAGACACATCTGAGACTCCAATAGCCGAGAACAAATACCGAGACCCCGGGTACTATTTGGAGCCGGTCCGAGTGAATGGGACCACTGGGCCCGGGCCGGACGCGGACAAGGGGGCCGTGCCGAGCGTAGTACGCGGCCTCGCCAGCGCCTTACTGCAAGTGGAGCAAGCTATACACCACAAATACATCAAGAGGCCGCTAGGTAAATATTCTTATCACTAAAGAAAATATAACTAGAAAAAATTCCACTCGAACCCGCACCCTTAGCAATCCGGGCGAATGCACTGACCAATTATGCTACCGCGGCCCTCACCATTCTAGCCATTCTTAAGCTGCAAGGCAGCGCCATCTCTTCGCATTATAGGTAACCCACAATATATATAGGTCCGCGTGGAATTTTCTAGATATATTTTCTTAAGATTTAAACATCAAGCAGTTACATGCTTTAAAATAATAAAAATTATAATTCTTATCACTTTTATGAAACTTGAGTTAACGCACATCAGAAATGCTAATAGCCGATCTAAATCGTTAATGTTTTGTAGAAAGGACGAAGAAGTCATTCTTCGGCAACATAGTTTTATGTACTTTACGCGTAATATTATAATCATAAATGGGAGAGTGAGTTTGTTTGTTTAGCTTTCACGTCTAAACTACTCAACGGATTTGGATGAAATATATTTTATGACCTGGATTGAAAGTTAGTTTGGTAGTGTGTTATTGTGTTAGTTACCTAAGGGATTTACAAAAACTAAAGTTTTAATTATTTTACGAAAGTTGATCACACGTGTGTTATGAATTCTTTGACGCATACAATGTTCGAAATTACGAGACAGTAAAGTATAAAGTAATTTTATTAACATAAATGCATACAATTAAAAAACGATGAAACGGTCCCAGTAAGTACTTGTGTTGGGCCTGTTTCGCTCCAAAACCTTTGTCGCCAGTTAACAAAAATATTAAGAAGAAAAAATATATATATATTAATTGCACAATTTAAAACAAGACAATCATCTTTATGTGAGTAGGTAGTTCCCACATTTAGTGCATGAGAATGATTTGTTGAGAGTGTGGTGTGAGTATGTGTGAGAGTGTAGTGTAGTTAAGTATATTTTATTATGTGTATTATGGATTAAAAAATAAACAGTTATCTAATTCCTAGAATCCCCCCTAAATGAAACCCCATTTACATTGGTTAATCCTAACTTGTTGTCCATAAACATTGGTTTATTCAAATCTTGTATTTTGTAATCTACTACAAACAAGGTTTGATTGTTCAATATTTATTGTCACCCAGGACTGGATGATAAAGAGCGAAAAGACCGTGAAGCCAGAAACAAGCCTATGGACCTAGAAGCACTGGAGCGTTGGGAAGTCTCACTCATGGAATGTCGAAGTTTTGCACAGGTATTATTTCATGAAAATACTTTTTAAAAACATTATTAAATGATTAAAAGAGTCCACTGTAATCAAGGACTTTTGGTTTAGGTTACAAGACTTTGTCATTGCTTTTGTTCATTTGAATAAGTTTCATATAGCGGCGATTATAAATTCCCAATAATTAAAAGATTGATGGCTAAAAATATCTTATTTCGAGGTCATCTGTGCTTCAGAAGGCACTTCAAGTCATTGATCCCGGCTATATCTGCACTAGTTAAAATCCTACAATCCGTATTCGGCCACCACAGTGAAACCTCGGCAGATTTAAAATTTACTAAAAAATTGGTTGACTGTCTGTTTACGGACGATAATTTTACGGTTTCGGTTTATTTGAGACCTAAATCGCATATCTGTAGCTCTATGGGTGGCCGAGTTAGACTCCGCGGGGGTGAGGTGCTTCTCTAAGAGGAAGGGGGGTCACGTAACGCGACTCGTGATATGACGTCACACTTTCTTCGTGCGGGCAGACGGTATTAATCGTTTTATAAGCCGTTATCACGTCAAAGGTATATTTCGCTTCTGGAAGAAACGATATTAAATATCCTAGATACACGCAAGTGCGCTCAAAATGTATCCCAATCAAGAAGCGCTTGAACACCACTCAAGCACTTCTTGGATCATATTCACTCGCGGACCGTTAAAAAGTCAAAATGCCTCAGAGCTCCGTGAAAAAATGCGATAAAATACTTATAGTACGTAAAGTGTCGTTTTTTTCGACAGGTATCTAATCAATGTTTGTTAATTTAACGCGTATGAAGCAAATTTTGTTCCAATACTTATTATAAACTGATTTAATAGAAAATACTTGTGATACTCAAATGCATGGTCGGTAATATAGCCCTCTCTTTTCCTCGTGGTCCGTACCTGCTATATTGGTAACAGCGCATTCAGAATTACGCTTACAGTCAAAGAAATAAGGTCTATATTCTTCCGCATATAGCAATAAGTAGTATAATTTTACGAGTTTGCATTTCAAACTGACATAACTCTTTGACGCATGCGTTTTAATTAAGACCTTAACTAGTACGCATTAATGGCGACTTTAAATGTTTAAAGAATGCCTTATATCGTTTTTGACTACGCGATCATCTTACGGAGCTCCTTAAATCGTATAATGTACCTTTTGGACAGGTTTCGGCCACGATTTTGATCGCGATGTTGTATCTAGGGTATATAATATCGTTGTCTGGAAGGCATGATATCAAAGTCGTACGTTATTATCAGGTGGTGCTACACCTATTCACATTGGATTCGTCCGTCGCGTGGTCCGCGTCCATATTGAACGCTAGCTGCCGTCTGTGTCGTCGTAAGACCGATCCCGACAATATGCTGCTATGCGACGGGTGTAACAAGGGGCACCATCTCTACTGCCTCAAACCCAAGCTGACGGTGAGTAATAATATTGTTCGCGCCCGCATCAGCTTTATACAGGGTTAATTTTAAAACACCAACAACCTCTTAGGGGGTGATTCTACCCATCAACAGGGACAAGTTTTATTATGGGATCAACTCTGAAAACGCGAAAAAAAATCAGCTGTTTCATACATTTCGGTCGATTGGCGGTTGCATTTCTGTATGAAACAGCCGTTTTTTTTCGCGATTTCAGCTTTGGTCCCATAATAAAAGTTGTTCCTGATGGTGGGTAGAATCACCCCCTAAGAGGTTGTTGGTGTTTTATAATTAGCCCTGTATATAACACAGAAGAACGTACAAAATTGTATCAAAAACTTTGCACAAGCGAATTTTATCACCGGGTGGCGCCATCAATTGGATTTTATAGATATTAACGGGATTGTTACCATGTACCTTGTTTTTTATGAGTCTCCGATATTTCGGCACTGTTGCAAGCGCCATGATCACGGAGTAACTGAAGTAATTGCGGGTAGATGTTATTGGCAGACATATCGGTCTACCCTCTGACGTCGTCTTTTACTGCGTTCGATACTGCCACTACCACTGGTCACATTCTCACTATTCACTCGCATTTGTTCCCGGCACACAATACTCACAGTATCAGATCGCGGAACGACACTTTTTTGATTTTTGCGGTTTTTACACATACGAACCACTGGATTCCACACACTAGACAATTTAAACCCATCCTCACGATTGAAATTCTTATGTTTGGTTATTTCATTCGCTTCCCTGACCAATCTTGGTATGTAGTGGCGTTCTGTCGAGATAATTTGTGGATTATGGAGCTCAATCCAGTGATTATTACCCGAATCAATTAAATGTTCCGCGATGGCTGATTGGTAACAATCCCGTTAATATCTATAATGTTAGTGACCATGAAAGTTTAAAACAATATATCAATTGGATTGTTATATGTAGCGCCCCCCCGTACCAAACTTCAGTCGCTGTGTTCCAAACCCACCATGTGGTTCGAGGATTCGTCATAGATGTCGCCTTGGTACCTATTCTTTAACTGCTTTATCATCAATACTGTAATGACTTAACAAGTATATCTTGCACTGGTAAATTCACTCCATCATTATATAAAGGGAAATACGAGAAAACAGAGTTTTTATTGAAGAACACTCCTTCTTCTATGCCCAAACGAATATAAAAATTAAACGTGAAAACATGATTCCATACTCGTACAAGTGAACTTCAATACTAACGCGACACGCACACAGACAAAACAAAAAACTTTGACATTGATTTAGTAAGTATCGCCGCACACGGGCCACCGAGTACAACCACAAAACGCCGCCACCGGCATATTTCTTGTAGTTTTCATACATTTTATATAGTCTCGCAACACACGGTACGCCGGTGGCCGCCACACGCTTCAAATCGTCGTTGCTCGCTTCTTATGGCCCGCACCGGCCACTTAATGCGCCGATACAAAACGACGCCACACGTCACTCGCGCGATTCCCCACCCCTCTCTCCCTTACCTTAGTCGGCCGCTGTCGCGCGCTTCAGTCACTAGTGTTGGGTAGGACACGACTTGAAAAAGAGTTTGTAAGAGTAGCCTCTTTTTTTGTACTGAGCCAGTACAATGTCCCACTTCAAATGAGGGGAGGCGTAATGAAACTCTGCAATACATTTGAAGTGACGAGTACAAATATGACATTGAGGCGTACAGAAGCTCGACATTACGTTTGTGTGCACGAATAGCACCTGGAGCGTAAGTTCTGAACGCAACCCTGGGCTGCGTTCAATGCCTACGCTCTGAGTGCAACTTTTACCCTGACGTTTAAATTTTGACATAAAATGTATGAAGCTAATGTCAAGTTAGATATTTGTTGCACCTAGAGCGTAGGTTTTGAACGCAACCCAGTGCGAGTGACAAGGACTAGGAAGGAGAGATAGAGATACAGATGGATAGTGCGTAGAGGACTTAAATGAAATGTCATGCCTCGCTCTCTCTCAGATTTACGAAGAGTGAGTGAGTAACGAGACGCGACTATCGCGACATTTAATGTGAAGTAGTACATTTTGAAATTTTGAGCCGCTCTTACATTTTGACGTCATGTCCGGGACAAATGTACCGTCTCTTGTAAGTCCTACTCAACACTATCACTTAAGTAGCCGCTTCTAGCTTCTCGTGGCGGCGTTTGTGGCTGTGGCGTGTGGCCTGTGTGCGGTGACACTAAGATAATGTTAAACGGAAATCGGACGGATCGGATCGAAGCGGATGCACTAACCTAACCTAACCTAAAGCACAGCGGTGACACTCTCTGTACGTGAGAGTTCCAGCGTCAGTGACCTTGAGCAGGAGCGTGTATGCGCTAGGGTTGAACTTGGAATTTAGACTTGTGCCCATGAATATTTATGCATACTAAGTTAATAAATGTAAACTGATTCAAGGATACTGGGGTAAATAATGAAGGATAGGTTTGATTTTATAATCAATTTTTAACCTTTTAATGTAGGCACTATAACAAATTGCTAACTTTTATATATTTTCTCCTTTTTCGATTCGTTTTATAATTCTTATTATTATCTAAATAATAATAAGATTGCGTAGCGTAGTCAGTCTGTGCGTGCAATGCAGTGCAACGCTATTATTTTACTATTTCGCTACTGCCATGCCTTCGGACGAGGCAGTCGGCGACTGCCCTTTCCACGCCCCGCGCGCCGCGCGACGCCCCCGCGCACCTCCAGACACCCACACATAGCCGCGGGCGATTTTACGAGCACACATGCTTAAGTGTCGCTTCTTTTCGCGTAGTGTATATATTCTGTGCCTAAAGTGCATCCGCCCGGGTAGCGGAGGGTGCGGGTATATATACTTTCTTGTCTTAAAAGTCAAAGATGCACGTAAATTGAATAATGAATGAATCTTTGTCTTAATTTATATTATACTAGCGGCCGCCCGCGACTTCGTACGCGTGGAGTTAGTAATTCGTTGATACAGAATGCGTTGAAGAAATAAAGGTTCACTGCTCGTTCCCCGTAAGTGATAGCGTGATAATATATAGCCTATATGTTGACCCGACTTCTTAATAATATTCTTGCCAAATTTGAAGTAAATCCATGCAGTACTTTTTGAGTTTATCCCGGACATACATACAGACAAACAGACAAAAATTCTAAAAACTATATTTTGGGCTTCGGTATCGATTGTAGATCATATCCCAAGTATTCTTTTAAAAAAATATACAATGTCCAGTTTTGACTTTCCTACCATTTTATTATATGTATAGATTGAGATTCAAAGAATTTTATGTACTAATTTTTGTATCTGTCTGTCAAACACAAATCTGTTACTGTTAACTGAATTAATTTTGATCTTTCACGCGTACAGTCTGGATTGACGAGAAAGGTAATCGAGGTAACACAGTCATTATGATTTTTTCTTTTAAATTTGAATTGAATAAAAAACTCATTTTATTTTTATGTAGTACACACAAGCGACAGGGCAAAGCAGTGTACATTGATGCATCTAGATTCATGAATTACTTATATGGTTAAAAATTCAATGAATTTTCGGTAATGAGAGACATCCTAATGTTCTTTATAAATAACAAAATGCCTTACAGAGATTGTACATATAGGTCAGAGGGAATATTTCATCGTTTCCTGTTGATATTATAGAAAGTACCTGACGGCGATTGGTTTTGTGAACAATGCAAACCCAAAGAAAGAACACCTAGGAAGAAAAGGAAATTGTTCTCCGACGACGAAATAGAAGATGTACTTGATGATGACAGGTAAGGGAACCCTTTATTTAGATATTTATTTTTGAATACAGATTTCCTAATAGACGTTGGTCAAAAAATAGTGCAAAAGTACACTAAAGGAAGTCGACGAGCCAATTCCTGGTAGTAAAAATTAAACGTAAAATAATATAGAAAGATACACAACTCACGTGACAGTATGTTTAACCTTCTGAAACTTTTGTCGGATGCGCTTTTCTTTCCGAATAATGGCATGACTACACTTGGTCGTTAGCCCGAAAACGATTGCCAATGGAATTCGGGTGAACGACTTGTAAATGAACGGAGTCGAGTACGCCCGTACTAGGGTAGATTTCCTTTTATTTACCCGACACCGTCTTCCAGTTCGTATTCCAGTGTAAAAATTGCTTCGGGTGCCCGAATACGAGTAATGTCTTTGGTGTGATACGGGTTACCGACCAACATGTAATTGCAGCATGAAGTTGATAACACGGACTAGCACCCGTTGCAGTGGCAGCGGAAAAGCTGTTTTGACTCAAAATTCACAGCAGCCGTCGCATTTGCGTGAATTTCCGTTACAAATCCAGCGATTGCGTCCGCTGCAAAATTATTTCGATTTCTGCCTAGACAACTCCGCCCACAACGGGCGTGAATCGCTTAGTGAAATTTGGTAATGTTCACAATCGTCATTTTAACGTTCGTTGTTGAGTTGAGAGTAACAGTCGATCTGCGGCAGGCCACATGTAGAAATTTCTCCGTAAGTTTTTAGTCTATGAAAATACACGAGCGATCCTGTTCAAAAGCGTCAGTGCACATAAAATACGACAGAACTAAACATCCTATTGCCATAGAAAGTGCGTATGATTCGAAAGATAATATTTATTTATTTATTTAATTTCACATTACTATAAATAATAACAATACATTTAGCCAGTGCTACAAAAACCTGTGTAGGTTTTGCCAAGCACTGGGATATGTTATCGTTAAGATCACTTTTTGTATCTGCATCTATCCACTTTCTACGAGTTGTGGGCAGTCGCTCCTAACAGAGTCATTGCTCTGTTCACACGGGTGGGTTTCACATCAGACTTTTTAATATCATTAACTTTATGTTGTAGCGAAAGCGGTTCGGAGTCCGGATCGGTGGACGTCGGCGTCTGCGGCGAATGCGGCAGCGGCGGGCGGCTCGCGTGCTGCTGCAGCGGATGCGGCGCCAGGTACCACCTCGAGTGCAGCCGGCCCCGCCCCGCGCGCACCTCGCGCCGCTGGCTGTGCGCCGCCTGTCTGCAGCCCGCGCGAGGTGAGTGTGGCCCCGCCCCCGCCCCAGGTACCACCTCGAGTGCAGCCGGCCCCGCCCCGCGCGCACCTCGCGCCGCTGGCTGTGCGCCGCCTGTCTGCAGCCCGCGCGAGGTGAGTGTGGCCCCGCCCCCGCCCCCGCCCCAGGTACCACCTCGAGTGCAGCCGGCCCCGCCCCGCGCGCACCTCGCGCCGCTGGCTGTGCGCCGCCTGTCTGCAGCCCGCGCGAGGTGAGTGTGGCCCCGCCCCCGCCCCCGCCCCAGGTACCACCTCGAGTGCAGCCGGCCCCGCCCCGCGCGCACCTCGCGCCGCTGGCTGTGCGCCGCCTGTCTGCAGCCCGCGCGAGGTGAGTGTGGCCCCGCCCCCGCCCCCGCCCCAGGTACCACCTCGAGTGCAGCCGGCCCCGCCCCGCGCGCACCTCGCGCCGCTGGCTGTGCGCCGCCTGTCTGCAGCCCGCGCGAGGTGAGTGTGGCCCCGCCCCCGCCCCCGCCCCAGGTACCACCTCGAGTGCAGCCGGCCCCGCCCCGCGCGCACCTCGCGCCGCTGGCTGTGCGCCGCCTGTCTGCAGCCCGCGCGAGGTGAGTGTGGCCCCGCCCCCGCCCCCGCCCCAGGTACCACCTCGAGTGCAGCCGGCCCCGCCCCGCGCGCACCTCGCGCCGCTGGCTGTGCGCCGCCTGTCTGCAGCCCGCGCGAGGTGAGTGTGGCCCCGCCCCCGCCCCCGCCCCAGGTACCACCTCGAGTGCAGCCGGCCCCGCCCCGCGCGCACCTCGCGCCGCTGGCTGTGCGCCGCCTGTCTGCAGCCCGCGCGAGGTGAGTGTGGCCCCGCCCCCGCCCCCGCCCCAGGTACCACCTCGAGTGCAGCCGGCCCCGCCCCGCGCGCACCTCGCGCCGCTGGCTGTGCGCCGCCTGTCTGCAGCCCGCGCGAGGTGAGTGTGGCCCCGCCCCCGCCCCCGCCCCAGGTACCACCTCGAGTGCAGCCGGCCCCGCCCCGCGCGCACCTCGCGCCGCTGGCTGTGCGCCGCCTGTCTGCAGCCCGCGCGAGGTGAGTGTGGCCCCGCCCCCGCCCCCGCCCCAGGTACCACCTCGAGTGCAGCCGGCCCCGCCCCGCGCGCACCTCGCGCCGCTGGCTGTGCGCCGCCTGTCTGCAGCCCGCGCGAGGTGAGTGTGGCCCCGCCCCCGCCCCCGCCCCAGGTACCACCTCGAGTGCAGCCGGCCCCGCCCCGCGCGCACCTCGCGCCGCTGGCTGTGCGCCGCCTGTCTGCAGCCCGCGCGAGGTGAGTGTGGCCCCGCCCCCGCCCCCGCCCCAGGTACCACCTCGAGTGCAGCCGGCCCCGCCCCGCGCGCACCTCGCGCCGCTGGCTGTGCGCCGCCTGTCTGCAGCCCGCGCGAGGTGAGTGTGGCCCCGCCCCCGCCCCCGCCCCAGGTACCACCTCGAGTGCAGCCGGCCCCGCCCCGCGCGCACCTCGCGCCGCTGGCTGTGCGCCGCCTGTCTGCAGCCCGCGCGAGGTGAGTGTGGCCCCGCCCCCGCCCCCGCCCCAGGTACCACCTCGAGTGCAGCCGGCCCCGCCCCGCGCGCACCTCGCGCCGCTGGCTGTGCGCCGCCTGTCTGCAGCCCGCGCGAGGTGAGTGTGGCCCCGCCCCCGCCCCCGCCCCCGCCCCCGCCCCAGGTACCACCTCGAGTGCAGCCGGCCCCGCCCCGCGCGCACCTCGCGCCGCTGGCTGTGCGCCGCCTGTCTGCAGCCCGCGCGAGGTGAGTGTGGCCCCGCACACTTCACAAAACACTTCTATTTTTGAGAGATATTATGTTGATATGTTTTCCCGATCTTTGAATATGTATAAAAAAATGTGGACGAACATGTAATGCGGTGAGCGAGGGGTCGGAGTATTGGTCTGTTGAGTCAGAGACCAGCACCAGATAATTGATATTGCGGATTGGTGGATTGTCCCTTCGTTAATTGCATTATATACCTATAGCATTTGGCTCAAAAGTTGTACTGAATTTCTTTTCCAAATTATGGTGTTATTCCTCTTCTATTAAGTTCATTATTATATAAGTTAGTTTATATTTTATGGAACCATTAGGTCAGTTTGTTACCATGAAATTGTCACATATGTTATTATGTATGACTGTTTGTTCCTTAATAAATAAATAAAACATTTATAACGCCGTTTATCAGAATCAGTTCTAACCGTAATATATTTAAAAAAAATAAAAAAAAAGTTATTTTTGTTTTGTTTTGTTGTAACAAGATAGAACTCGCTGGAATTCGGATATATTTCAACTGTTATGTTTGAAAGCTAGAGGCAAGACACTGGTGTCGATTCTGGCAGGATTCTCTAAACTTAAAACTTAATTTAACATCAGTCTGTCCTTTTCATTCTGTATAGAGAATGACAAAGATACACTGTTGTCAAATTTAAGTTTAGCTTTAGAGAATCATACCAGAATCGACATCATTATTATATGTTTTGCGTGGCGCGGTTTGTTTTGCTACTATGTACCTCTTTTATTGTATTTAGTATTGTAGAACTGTGCTTGGTAAACTTATAAGGTTTATTCTGTGTGACGGTTCGTTTTTCTTTATTACCAGTCTATGTCCGATTATCCGAATCGACCCCGGTCCCAATTAATTCGGATAATCGGCGTTCTACTGTATTTTTAAATAAGAGTACTTTAAGGTAGTCTATATCTAGTATAAATGACGACCTCCGTGGCCGAGTGGTTTATACGCCGGGTTTCATGGTGTCGCCGACTCGGGAGGTCCCGGGTTCGAATCCCGGTGGGGGCAGATGTTTGTGTGATGAATTCGAACATTTGTACTCCAATCATGGATGTTTAAATATGTATTTCTATATAAATATACTTATATATGTACGCTATATGTATTCTATCCGTTACCCTAGTATCCCATAACACAAGCCTTGCAGTGCTTACTTTTGGGCTAGGCTAATTGGTGTGAGTGTTGGAAATATTTATATTTATTTAAATAAATGAATAAACACATAAACGTTGGTTGTGTTATGAAGAAGCAAGCGGACGACGCTGCGCGGCCGCGGCACTCACTACAATCCACGAGTACACCCGCGCGCTGCACGCCAGCAACGATGACGGTCGGTCCTACCGCCTGTGCCTTATTATGTACATTGTAAGGCTCATATTCCATTCACGCCACTCGGGGTAAACGCGCGAAAGTTTAAACTCGTCAAATGAAACAATATCGCACATTGAAAACAAAAGTCACTTGGTACAGTGCGTTTATTACTTCTTTATGCAACGCTGTTTGCAATGGATAAAACTTTGGAATATATTTTAAGGTTGGTTTGATTTGATATATATGCTGATGACAGACAACCCCTGATAGCTTCTAATTTGTAGAATCTTAAAAAGGGTGCAAAATGTCATAATTTATAGAATAATTTAAACAATGATCGTTTCTTAAAAGCGCATATCTCCAGTTTAAATAAAATTGTGTTATACTCATGAAACAACGGACAGTACCATGTTCTAAATCTAACTTATTCTTTTATTAAGTAAAATCTAGTAAATATATATGTACTAAGGTGTCTACATTTTTAATTTTATTATGGCCACGTCCGTTTTTGCCTCAGATTACAAAACAAAAGGCAGATAGTTGGAACCCAAGAAACGCACAAATGCGGCCACCAAAGCAAATATAAAGTAAACAGTAAAGACTTTTTTGTCTTAGTGAATAATTTTTACATTGATTGGACAGGGCGGCACAGTTTTGATAAAAACTTTATATTCACGGGACGTATGCACAACACAATGCATGACATTGACGCGAGTTTGTATTCGCTTTTAACACGGTAATAATATCATACAGTATTCTATCTTCATACAAACGGTCGGAAAGCGAGTCATACCTACGCCACTCGAGTTCGATGTGCTCTCGGCGTGCACCCAGTCGCGAATGCGCCGCCGCGCCGCAACGACGACCGAACGGTCTGAATTGTTTTTTATGCAGTTAGCCGTGCTTAAACGTGCGTTTTGTATTGTAAATATTTGATTTAATTAAGTAGATACCTACATAATTTAGTATGGAAAAGAACAAACGACGATCAATATCGTACAACAGCACAATTGCTGTTTTTGGTTGCTTTAACTCTTCAATAACACACCCAGAGATATCATTTTTTAAATTACCTGAAATATTGGAAAGGTGTCTTACCTTTATAGAATATTTTTTATATACCTATCTACTAGTACGTAATTTGTTTCTAATATTTAGGTATTTCGGTTTTTCCATCGGGCAAAATATCTGGAATAATATATAAATAAGTGGTTAGGATGAAAAAAGAGACAAACGAGTAATCTACCTACACTCGCGTTAAAAACAAAACTACATAAAATACTGTAGGCGGGCGGCCCTACCGCGTGCCAACGCAGCGCTCGGTGTAGGCATTTATTTTCAAGGACAGGGCGGAGTCACAATACTGTATAGATAATATTACCGTGCTTTTAACTTCATATTTTGCACACTTCATTCGCACTTGCGTAATCCTTGCGCTCCATCTGCCTTTTGTTTACTAATCTGAGGTTTCTGTAGTCAAATCGTTTATCGGTCCGTGAGCACCGTTTTGTTTTTAAAGTGCGATATATTGACTTATAAAACCGTATAAAGATATTACCAAATAAAGGTTGTTATAAAGATACGGCGTGTCAATGGAACGTGGGCTTCACATTCATTCGCTGCGATAGCTCGTGCTCTTCGTCATCAGCTTTCCTCCAGACTCGTCAAACTAACCTCCATCGCATTGCAGGCTCGATCCTATTGCACACTCTATAAGGTTCATTTTTCCTTCTTCATAGAAAGGGTTCACTTTACGAGATGTCAGGTTGTTGAGTAAGTACTTTTTAAAACTGGCACTCTTTTTTCTTTTGTTAGAGAACAAAATGTTATCGGTTTTGTGGTGTCGTTACTTTGACCTTATTATAAATGCTATAAAATCATTTTCGATTAAGTTCTGATTATTTGTGAAATTCAAAGAAAGACTTCAATGGAATAAAATAATGTTTATGAATTGTTATTGTTCATTGAGGTTTTCTTTTTTTGAGCCTGTTTAAACAATTTTATTGTTATTGACTTTTTTGCGACTAAATAAATACATAAAATGCAAATAATTATAATGGAAATGATTACAAAGAGAGTAAATTTAAAAATAAGCTAATAATGTTGTCAGTTTTTATTTATTTGTTTCTCAGAATAAGGATATACAGTTCAATTTCATTTGCAGTAGTGCAAATTATTTGTTTAGAGCGTGCAACATTGTCGAGCACATATGTCCTTCCATCAATTAGCTTGTGCTTATATTTTCCATTGCAAACGAATCGACGCAAATTTTCAAAATATCTTAGAGTATATTGAACTTTATCTCCACAAGTTAAAAGTCCTAAAATAAAACTGTCCTTGTTCATAGAATCCACTTATACTTAACTCAGTGAGTTGGAATAAATTGCTGCGTGTTTTGCATTAGTAAAACTTTTTATAGGTTTGTATATATCAACTTAACAAAATGTTTTGTATTTTAATAATATTATGTTGTAAATTCGAAAGTGATGTCTGCTAAAACGATTTTGCACGAAGATGCACAATGAAATTCGGGTAAGTGACTAAGTGTTAATGAAAAGAGTTGAGTACGCCTGTATTCAGGTAGTTTTTGTTACCCGACACCGTTTTCTAGCCCGTATTCCAGTGTAAATATTGCTTCGGGTGCCCGGATTCGAGTAATGTCTTTCGTGCACCCGATTACGGGCTAATGACCAAATGTAATTAAGCCATAAGGGAAATGACGTGATGTCGTCTAGTCGAAATCACTCATTAATTTCTTATAAAGCTGAATAGAAACACGCTAAAATGTGTCTAAAATTCAATCGAATTATTTAGATTAATCGTATTTTTGATGTTGTTTTTTTATTCAACACTAAAGTATCAAAAATACCCTTATATGTGGAGGTAGTTATCAACTTGCTGTAATCTGAAATGGTATTAGAACCATCATCGGATGGACGGATCATTGACTTGGCGGACATTACTATCCTTTGGAGCTTTTCGAAAGTTCTCAAACCCATCTTCGGTTCGTTTGGTTAACAACTTTAACATTTTTTCCTTGTTTTATTTCATTTGGTGTTTCATCTTGGTTTCATCTTGCTTGCTTTTATGATTTTAATTTCGTTATAACTAATCATAAGGTATGGTAGATCTGTGCCAAAATATCTAACCAGATTTAAATGGATTAATTGTTACCAAAAAAGTTATATCATGCGCTCCAAATTCTGAAATCCAAAAAGAATATTTGCAGTGTATGAAAGTGCATGATATTTAATTACCCCCATCGAGAATCGAAGTGGGGCTGATGAAATTATCAATTTACCATTTTACAGATTTAAATACAGTCAAAAGATATACATTATCGCAGCCATATAATCATCAATAAATATTCTTCTTTTTGGTTACATAAAATAAAATTTGTATATGTATTTTAGAATCGGACGACAGTGAATACAACACGGCATTAGTGAAGCTGAAATCTCGAGGCTCGCGGCAGAACAGCCGGTCGCCGCTGCCACAACTCAAGAAGTCGAGAAGGTACGTGTATTTTTAAAACACCAATACGTTAATTGTTTAGGATTCGATGTTGAAGGCTGGAAGGGAAGAGTAACCAGTTGGCGTCATTGTAAGGTCTTTTGTATAAAGTTTTTACCGCGAACTCCATAGACCAGATCCTTATAGACCATGGGGGTTAGAGAGAATGAGAACGATCGCTACGTACTAAAGCATTAGTCCGCCTGCCCTGAAAATTTGTATTATTAATAGTTCATTTTTCAGCCACCAGCCGCGCTGTCGTCGCCGTCGGTAAGTAGTATCTGTAAAGTTAGCTGTTTATAGTTATGATTTTATTTATTTTTAAGCATTTAACTGCTAGATGTTTAAATCTAAAGAAAAGTTTACTAGAAAAAAAAATCCACGCGGATCAGGCAGCGGACGGGACTCGAACCCGCATCCTTCGCAATCCGGGCGAATGCACTGACCATTATGCTACCACGGCCCTCTTAGCCGCGTCGAAATTTTCCTAGCCTTAGGCTGCAAGGCAGCGCCATCTCTTCGCATTGTTGGCAACCCACAATGTCAAATGAATACTATTTAGCTGTTTATGAGTACAAGTAGATGAAGTTAGTTGAACAATGGTGTCAATTCTGACACGATTCTCTAAACCTAAACTTAATTTTGACAACAGTGTATCCTTGTCATTCTCTATACGGAATGAAAAGGAGAGATTGATGTTAAATTTAGTTTTAAGTTTAGAGAATCCCGCCAGAATCGATACCATTGTACAAATTTTCTTGCCGGCAGTGGTCATTTCAAATAGCCCGCTTTTATTGAGACAACTTAGCGATCACAGCCCCTAACTTATTTTGTCTATATTTCTGGGACACTATTTTCTATAGCGGTCGTTCTCTTTATCCGCCTCCTTCTTAACCTACATGATATAGATTATAGACTATGAGGACATATGCGATTTGACGGATGAGGAGAACTTTCGCCTCAGTACTGTCCGTCATTTCAGAAAACCCTCAATGAATGATAGATCGGGGTAGGATGAAGAAGCATATGTGGCGGCGACATCTATATGCCCCACAGATATACAACGGATGTAGGAAATCATTACTCACCATCCTCAAGAGATGGCGTTACCTGCACTGCGATCAATAATAGTATGGAAGCCTACATCGCGCAAATGAAATTCGGAAGCTAACTCTTCATATATACGATGCCCGACCGACATCAGTCGGGCCGCGGCCCCCGAGCTAACATCACCCAGCTCGGAGGAAGATCTTCCCCTTTGGGCTTCCTACCCATAGCATTTGAGTTTGACTTTTGATTAATTCCTAAATGTTAATTTGGTAGAAGCACAAAATAGAAATTAGCCAGAAGCACAGCTCCCACCATAGAAATAATGGCCTACACGAAACTTGGTTTTATCACACTAATATTAAAAAGGCGAAAGTTTGTGAGTGTATGAGAATGTACGTTTGTTTGTTCTTCACATCTAAATGGCTGGAGCGATTTTAATAAAATTTGGTATGGAGTTAGCTGACACCCTGGATTAACACATAGGCTACGTTTTACTGCGGGAAAATAACCCTAATTAACCGCGGGTAACACCGCGGGGCACAGCTAGTTAACAATATTTGTCATTAGTTGTGCATAAATTCTAATCGAAACCTTTTGAGGTTACAGGCAAACAGAAATGCAGTACCCCTATTACGAATCATTATCGAATTCGAATAGTTTGCGAGTGCGAAATGTAAATGTCAAATATTATATGGAAACTTGAATAGCAGCGCCACAAAGTACGTAATGAGAACTAAAAATCAGTACATATTTGAAAATGACATTTCACACTCGCAAACTATTCGAATTCGATAACGGTTCGTGCTAAGGGTACAAGGTGTGCGTAGTAGAAATGGCACTTTAATGGCAAATGGCAATTATAAGACTTGTATTAATTTCAGATCTAAAGATGAGACGGCCAACACCAGCAGTAGTTCTAGGAAATCGAAAAATTCTCTCACAAACGGCGTTCACGGTATGTGTCAATTTAGATTATCTCTTATCTATTAGACAAGTCCGTCCGTCCGTCCGTCCGTCCGTCCGTGGTGCTGTTTCAGCGGCCAAACCGTAAGAGATAGATAAAGAGAATGTTTAAGTTATAAGTTGAGAATAGTCTGATAAGACTACAAACCGGATGTGAGTAACATAGCACTTCCGGTTTTCGTGAAATCACGTGATTTCTATTTCAAACGAAACCACACAAAATCTCCGAAGTTCTCAATTAATTAAATACATTTTTTTTTTGGTGAACAGTTGGTTCACTGGTTTGCTAGTAAGTCACTATTGTATGCAAGGAATGAGTTTTACCGACGATAAGAGAAGTAGGACAAAGCGGATTTTCTTGAAATTGAAGCGCCCGTCTAAGGAAGTAACTTCCACCTTACGCGAGACTACAGTAATGCTGGCACTTCACTTGGCTATTCGTGTTTGCTATTTGTAAAGTTGACATGAATCTGTCCTTTTCATTCCTGATAAAGCGTGATAAGATTGGAGAGAAAGAAAATTTGCGCGCGTACTGCTTTCTCTAGCTTATATCCCCCACTCAACTCGCATTCGCCGCGCCCGAACAATCTTTTCGTAACGCGTAACGCATTCGCCAGTTTACCCCCCAAGTCAAGTCAAGAAGTTTCACTTCAAAAGTCATTCTTCTATTCAAGGAATCGAGTTTTATCGCCTTAACTATGAATGTGTTGTTATTTCGTCGATGATCTCATCATCATCATCAGTCTATTAATGTCCCCACTGCTGGGGCACAGGCCTTCCCTATGGATGGGTTAGGGAGATTGGGCCATGACCCACCACGCGGGCCCAGTGCGGGTTGGTGGGTGCGTACGACTGCAGATGCAGGCGGGACCAACGGCTTAACGTGCCTTCCGAAGCACGGAGGAGCTCGAGATAGTAAATTTTTGGTCACCCATCCAATGACCGACCACTGGGAAAGTTGCTCAACTTCAACGACCGCAGCCGAACGCGCTAACCACTGGCGCCATCGAGCTCCTCACGGTCCTCATCCGTCGATGATCTCATATTATAATAATTCAAAATTATTTGTACAGTCTAGGTTGTTACAAGCTCTTGTGAACGTCAACTCTATGCCATCGGTTTGTAAATCTACAGCAGGGGACCTTGTACTGAAAAGAACCGGCAAGAAACTCAGCAAGGCTATTTTCTCTCTCGCTCTCTTATATTGTGAATCCTTGAAAGGAGGCTGACAAAAGTGACTGAGTTTCTTGCGCTGCTTCTTCTAGCACTAGCCCATTACAATAGTGGTCTAAGAGCTGGCTACGAAAAAGTGAACTAATAAGGTGTAGTAAGGAATTATATATATAACCTCTCCTTGGTAGCTTTGAAGTACAGAGTAACTGTACTTAGCCATTATTAAGACTTCTGACAATTTATATACAGGTTCGATAAGCAACAAATAATATAAAAATGCATTTGTCAGAACTACACCTTGTGGTTTAAATTTAAACAATTTCTTTACAACTTTGTCGACTTCTGACAGTCTTTAAGCCCCGACCTAGACTTCTGACAATAATTTTCCTAGATTCCTACAGTTAAAAACTATAACTCTACCAAATTTCAGAACTGCACCTTATCATTTTTTTCTTATTGAAAATTTACGATTTTGACCGCCCACCCACGCCTTCCGCCCCTGGAGAGAGTTCTGACGGGACTCGCTCTGTACTTATAAGCTACCAAGGAGAGGTTATATATATAACTAGCAAACCAGTGAACCAAATGTTCACCAAAAAAAAATGTATTTAATTAATTGATTTGGAGATTTTGTGTGGTTTCGTTTGAAATAGAAATCATGTGATTTCTCGAAAACCGGAAGTGCTACGTTACTCACATCCGGTTTGTAGTCTTATCAGACTATTCTTAACTTATAACTTAAACATTCTCTATATCTATCTCTTACGGTTTGGCCGCTGAAACAGCACCACGGACGGACGGACGGACGGACTTGTCTAATAGATAAGAGATTCGTTACTATACCTTATCAGTTCACTTTTTCGTAGCCAGCTCTCCGGCTATAGTAATTAGGTAGGAGGTAGTTACACGTTCAATTTTCTTGGACTGCATATTGATAAAAATATTAACTGGAAAAACCATATTAATCACATAAAAAATAAAATTTCTAAATTCACATATGCGTTATCTGAAATAAAACAAAGCACAAATACAGAAACGGCGCTCGTTGCTTACTATGCATATGCTTATTCCTGGTTATAATCTCTTATCTATTAGACAAGTCCGTCCGTCCGTCTGTCTGTGGTGCTGTTTCAGAGGCCAAACCGTAAGAGATAGATAAAGAGAATATTTAAGTTATAAGTTGAGAATAGTCTGATAAGACTACAAACGGGATTTGAGTAACGTAGCACTTCCGGTTTTCGAGAAATCACGAATTTCAAACGAAACCACACAAAATCTCCGAAGTTCTCAATTAATTTGGTTCACTGGTTTGCTAGTACGGAATAATACTGTGTGGAAGTGTAAGTGCGTATTCACTTTTCCTTATGCAAAAGAAATGTGAAAGAATAATATCTCAAATAAAAAACACACAAAGTTGTCGACCATATTTTATCAAATACAAAATAATGATATTGGTATCGATTTATTATATACCTGTCGGAAAAACGACAACAGAAGTGCTTGAGTGGAGTTCAAGCACTTCTTGATTGGGACACATTTTGAGCGCACGTAGGTAATTAATCATCATCATCATCATCAGCCTATTAATGTCCCCACTGCTGGGGCACAGGCCTTCCCTATGGATGGAATAGGGAGATTGGGCCATGACCCACCACGCGGGCCCAGTGCGGATTGGTGGGTGCTAACGACTGCAAATGCAGCCGGGACCAACGGCTTAACGTGCCTTCCGAAGCACGGAGGAGCTCGAGATAGTAAATTTTTGGTCACCCATCCAATGACCGACCACTGCGAAAGTTGCTTAACTTCAACGATCGCAGCCGAACGCGCTAGCCACCTGCGCCATCGAGCTCCTCAATTAATATCGTTGTGGTAATTATACAGAGGGTCGCGGTCGCAGAAAGGCAGCCGGGGTGCAGCTACATTTGGACGAGATGCAGCAGGTGATGCGAGATGCCATGAAACACAAGGACTGCTGGCCCTTCTACGAGCCCGTGTCCACACAAGAGGTCAGTCCACTATTAATATTATAGCATTGACATTAGCAATAATAAAAAAATATCAAAAGATCTCTTATCTATTAGACAAGTCCGTCCGTCCGTCTGTCTGTGGTGCTGTTTCAGCGGCCAAACCGTAAGAGATAGATAAAGAGAATATTTAATTTATAAGTTAAGAATAGTCTGATAAGACTACAAACCGGATTTGAGTAACGTAGCACTTCCGGTTTTCGAGAAATCACGAATTTCAAACGAAACCACACAAAATCTCCGAAGTTCTCAATTAATTAAATACATTTTTTTTTTAATCAGGTTTTGGTGAACATTTGGTTCACTGGTTTGCTAGTATTTTTTTAATTAGAATAAAGTCCACACGGATCAGGCAGCGGACGTCACTCGAACCCGCGCCCTCCGCTAGCTGGACGGATGCACTGCCCGTTATGTGTCGAATTTTCTCTTGTATTTCTTAAGCTGCAAGGCAGCGCATTCTCTTTGCATTGTAGGTAATCCACAATGTCAAATGAATACCTTTACAAATGTTGTTATTTTTTCTAGAAAACTTTTCTTTAGATTTAAACATCTAGCAGTTGAATGCTTAAAAATAAATAAAAACATAACTATAATTGCTATTTCTTCTTTCAAATGTTTAATACTTAAAAAGTCATTCATCATCATCATCATCAGCCTATTAAGGTCCCCACTGCTGGGGCACAAGCCTTCCCTATGGATGGAATAGGGAGATTGGACCATGACCCACCACGCGGGCCCAGTGCGGATTGGTGGGTGCTAACGACTGCAGATGCAACCGGGACCAACGGCTTAACGTGCCTTCCGAAGCACGGAGGAGCTCGAGATAGTAAATTTTTGGTCACCCATCCAATGACCGACCACTGTGAAAGTTGCTTAACTTCAACGATCGCAGCCGAACGCGCTAACCAGTTGCGCCATGGAGCTCCTCAAAAAAAAAGTAAGTAAAGCTCCTAAAAAGTATTCATTTTATATTGTGGATAACCTACAATGCGAAGAGATGGCGCTGCCTTGCAGCTTAGGCTAGGAAAATTTCGACGCGGCGAATAGGGCCGTGGTAGCATAATGGTCAGTGCATTCGCCCGCATAGCGAAGGATGCGGGTTCGAGTCCCGTCCGCTGCCTGGTCCGCGTTTTTTTTTTCTAGTAAACTTTTCTTTAAATGTTAAACATTTAAAATTATTGCAACACTTTACAAGAGTTAGTGCTAGGCCGCACTACGGTTTTTTCCCGCAAGCGGTAAACTGCAAAACCGCGAAACCGCCCGTAGCACATACACTACGATTAAAAACCACGAAACGAGACACGATTTATCACAGTTTGAGGATGGATTTCAAGAGAGCTGTATGTATTGTTGCTTTAATACTAAGAAATAGAAAAAGAAAACGTCGTCACTAATTTCGTAAATATTGGGTCCATCCACAAATTTTGGCGCGGTTTTTACCCGCGAGCCATTCTGTAACAAATCACGGTTTTAAAATCAGTCGCGGGAAAAAACCGCTGGTGCGGCCGCTTGCATTAATTTCCATGATTCACAAAACTACGCGGTATAAAACCGCGGCGGTTTCGCCGTAGTACGGCCTAGCACTTAAATCCATTATTTTAACACTGGCGTCGCAATACATTTATAAAAGTTTAATATATGTAAGAAAAAACTATGATGCATTTGCAAAAAAAGTCAAACCCATAACTTTAACACGAGATTTAAGAACAAACTTGCCGTTCCATGTTTAAGACTCCAAAAATCAAGAGGTTCATTTCTGGGTTGTAGTATTGCATTGTTTAATAAAGTTCCCCTAGATCTGATTTGAGCTTCCACTGACCAAATTTAAATCTCAGATCAAGAATACTCTTATGAATAAGGGCTATTATAAAGTTGATGATTATCTAAATGATCGTAATGCATGGACATAGTGTTTCTTGTAATTTGTTATTTGATGGGTATCAGTCATTTTTCATAACAGTAATATTGTACCTATCTAATGCCGCTTCCTGTATACTAAATATAATGTTAACTATATATTTATATTCTAAACGATGTAGTGGAAGGTGACTATATATCTCTGAAGTCATTTTTCAACTTGACGACTCTGTATATAACAATACAGGGAGAAAAAAACAGCCCTTGCTGAGTTTCTTGCCGGTTCTTCTCAGTACAAGGTCTCCCGCCGTAGTTTTGCGAACCGATGGCGTAGCTTCTTGACCTACACAAGAGCTTGTAACAGCCTAGACTGAATAAATGACATTTCATTTCAAAGAAACAATTGCAATTATAGTTATATTTTTATTTTTTAAGCATTCAACTGCGTTTAAATCTAAACAGAATTTTCATAATGATCAGTACATGCGCCGGATAACGGAAGGTGCGAATTCGAGTCCCGTCTGCTGCCTGGTCTGCATGGAATTTTATCTAGTGAATTTTTCTTTAGATTTAAACAATTAGCAGTTAAATGCTTAAAAAATCGCTATTTCTTCTTTCAAATGTTTAATATTTGCAAAACTATTCATTTGATATTGTGAGTTACCCACAATGCGTAGGGATGGCGCTGCCTTGCAGCTTAAGAGATGATAGAGAAAATTCGACATGGCCATCAAGGCCGCGGTAGCATAATGGTCAGTGCATTCACCCGAATAATAAAGGCTGCAGGCTCGAGTCCAGTCCGCTGCTCGGTCCACGTGGAATTTTGTCTAGTAATATTTTCTGTATACTTACTATTTTCCTACAAGAGCAATTCTTCTCCTCCCTGATTTATTCAGAGCTTTTTTTATCCCAAGGGCCTATAATAATCATATCTCTATACTCAGGTGCCGGACTACTTAGACGTGATCGATCGACCGATGGACTTCACCACGATCTCAGAGAAACTGGCGGCTGAAGAATATACTACAGATGTAGACGTTCTGGCCGACATCGCGCAAGTGTTCCTCAACTGCTATACTTACAACAAGGACACGCATCCCGTCGCCAAGTATGGAATACAATCATATTATGGTGTCGATTCTGACGTGATTCTCTAAACCTAAACTTAAATTTGACAACAGTATATCCTTGTTATTCTCTATACAGAATGAAAAGGAGAGACTGATGTTAAATTTAGGTTTAAGTTTAGAGAATCACGCCAGAATCGACACCTATGTCTTGCTAAAGAACAATGTATTAGTTGCAACGTGTTAAAAACGTCACATGAGTTTTGTTTTTCGGAGAGAGAGATAGAAGGCCTCTGTTTAGGTTGACTCCCTCGTCCTCCTCTATCGTAGCTCGTTTTCGCTAGTCCATGCGTTTTTTTTTATGTGGCTTAACAAGGCTTTATCTAGACTGATTCCTTTGTTTGCCATTTGGAAGGAACAAAAAGGAAGAAAATTTTAACGCCACTTCGCGACGTAATTTTTTACCTACAAGATGAGAATTTAGTAATCTCAATTATTTACATGTTAGAATTGTAAGTTTATCAAAAAGTTTTAATGGTTAGTGTTTATCTAAATTCAAAAAGTGTTTTCCTTAGATATTTCGGTAATTTTCATGTAGATTTTGTTTTAGCAGAGTTTGCCGTCGATATTGCTGTCGGCCTGTTTATTTAATTTCTTAAAAAAAAAGCATGGACTAACGAAAACCATCAATGATAAAGGAGGACGAGGGAGCCAACCTAAACAGAGGCATCTATCTCTCACTCCAACCAAATAAAACTCATATGACGTTTTTAACACGTTACATAGTGTTGTCGAATATATTTATAAACCGTTACATTAAAGTAATAATAGTACATTACGATACGCGTGACCTAAGTTGCCTATTACTGCACGGCGTGAAGTTAGCGCCCGAGCGGAGCCAGGGATGCGATTAGTGTTTTGAAAGTAAAATTCATGTATTGCAATCACAAAGAATTGCAATACAGACTGCAAGTCAAACTCTGAAAAGAAAGAATTCCGGTTCAGATTACCATTTTGAAAGTATATTTCAAAAGGAAAAAATCAAATATCATTACAACAAAATAGAATTTCAATGTATCCATGAACGTTTATTCCTTGATTGGCATAGTAAAGTTAAGTTACGCGTATCGTAATGTACTAATTCTACATGAGTGAAGTTGGTCAATTCATTTACACACCGTGCAAAAATAGGCAACTTAGGTCACGGAAAAGTGTGCGTAAAGTGCGGGATTAGGTCACACTGTGCTATAATAGTATATTTCATTACTAGTACGGAATGGTTGTCATTGCAAAGAGTTCCGACAAATGTCTACCCGAGCCGAAGGCGAGTGTTGACAGTCGGAACGAGTTGCAATGACGGTTCCGTACGTGTACTGAACCACTATTTTTAATACAGTTGCGAAAAAATGAAGCATTTTAATCAAATTATAAAAACACAATAAACTCAATTAACTAATCATTTATTTCTTATAAAAGTTATAATTCACATATACATTGAAATTGGTACAGTTTTTTATACTAACTGGGGAAGTTTTACGTTGCATATTTACTGTTTGAGACAAACTATTATTAATTTCGTATGATTGTTCATGTATATTTGTCATACAATGGCGTTTGCTAGTTGATGGAATTGGATCTGATGAATTATCATTATCAACGAAGGTACTCGTAGATGGACGAACGTTCTCTTCAGCATGTGAAGGAGACGGACTGGACCTTAAATTAATGGATTGTGTGATCTTTTTCCCAGTTTCTAGTTTGTTGTTTAATGAATCACCAATATAGCTTTCTGCAACTTTGTCCGATTTCCAACCACCTAGTCGCTTTAAGGACGTCAAATTGGCTCCTGAATCTGCCAATAATGTAGCAGAGGTCCTTCTGAAGCTATGCCCAGTATAACACTCAGCATCCGGCAGACCAAGAAACGTAGCTATTTCTTTTGGCATATTACCAAATTTGTTTATGCCGATTACTTGAGCTGTACACTTCCCTTTTTGGAAATTTTGAAAAAAACGGTCGGATTTTCCTTTTTGGGACCGCTGGTTCATATATTTTTTCACTATTGTGAGAAAATCTCCTTCAACAACAAAGCTTCGCGGTATCTTATTTTTTGTGTCTTCGGACTCTTGATAAGTAGCATTTCTCCATGGGCTTCAATATCTTTTAAAGTAATATTGGCTAACTCCTCTCTGCGGCAAGCTCCAACAACGCCAAAAATCAGAGCAACCTAAAAAAAACGATTTGATTCATATAAATAATATATTGACTGTATTTTGCGATTTTGTAAACTGAACACTAAAGAAAAATGTAGATATGTATACTTATTAATAAATTACCTTTGTGGCTAAATAACAATCATCGGGAGCTTCTTTCAAAAACCTTTCCACGTCATTCGATGTTAATATTTTCGACTTTTTACTGGTAAACCCGTCTGATTGTCGTTTTAAGAAAGAATTTAATTTTGGATATTGACTTATATCCACGTTGTTCCTTATTTTCAGCATACTTTTTATCATCGAAAACCTTGACCATAACGTAGAAGGTTTTAATTTTGCTGAGAGTTTGGAAAAGTATGCCAACATAACATTTTCTGAAAAACTATTTGCTTTTTCTCTTCTTTCCACGCAATAAATTCATCGTATGTAGATATGTAGCGAATTTTTGACTTTTCCGGTAAAATGTTCTCCGAAGCATTTTGTGCAATTATACTGAGTTCCGGTGGAGTTAATTCAAAAAAATTTAGGTCGAAATTACTCATTTTGTGTAAAAAACAACTAAACTCGCAAAGAAAATTTCGGAAAATGGCGCCAACCGTAGAATGTAAGCAGTTTTTTTTCACCCATTCTGGTAGGCAAAGGGAACTGCCCATACAGCCAAGACTTTAGTACTTAGTATTTTTTATTATAAGAAATGAAATTGAAATTTAATGATATGAAATGAACTGAAACCTTACCTAACTCATTCAATCAATTAATTAATTCTGATATTGGACAAATTAGTATAGGTAGCTTCTTTTTAAAAACAAATAAACCTATTTGCATGAATCGCAAAAACTTCTATGATTTTTTTTAGTTAAAACTTCATGGTTGTTTTTTTTAATAGAAATAATTTTGACAGTTGGGAAAGAAAACGCACGAGTTCGGGAAAGGCAAAAAAAAAGCACGAGTGTGAAATAGCCCAGATCCCGAACGCTACACGTCCCTGCAATACGACACTATTTGAGCAACTGTATTAAAAAAAAAATTACAACACAATCGATAAATATTTTCAACAATATCAAATAAAAAATATTCAATTCATCTTGATTTTGACATGAGAGTAATATTGATTCGTATAGATAGAGGTAACAGACTGATAAAATTGTCGTTATGAATAATTTCGATTACAGACCGAACTAACGATGGCCCAAATGGTAAGCGCGGTCGGCTGCGATCGTTGAAGTCAAGCAACTTTCGTAGTGGTCAGTCATTGGACGGGTGACCAAAAATTTACTATATCGAGTTCCTCCGTGCTTCGGAAGGCACGTTAAGCTGTTAGTCCCAGCTGCATCTGCAGTCGTAAGCATCCACCAATCCTCACTGGGCCCGCATGGTGGGTCGAGGCCCAATCTCCCAATTCCATCCATAGGAAAGGACTGTGCCCCAGCAGTGGGATCATTATTGGCTGATGATGATGAGTTAGGATTACATATTATTAAACTTCCTCCACGTTTTACAGAGCCGGTGCCCGCCTAGAGAAGTATATAAACAAGCGCTGCGCGGAATTAGAGCTGCCTTCCTTACCGGAGATGGAGCTGGGGACCGACGGAGACTCCAGCGCCTCCAAGCGGGGTTCCTCCACGCCCTCCGGGGCTCCGCCTTCCAAACGGGCCAAGCTCAAGTGATGCCCAGCACCGCCTTCGAGGCTGAGACAATATCTCCTATATTAACGATTGCCCGTTCCAATATTAACAAGTGTCGTGTGAAACTAATAGTGCTTAGTGTCCAGAAATAACTACGCAGACGTGAAAACTTACGAGAAATCCAAACCATAGACAGAATGGATTGAGAAGTTAACTACTTGTTGATCACTCTCAGTAAAAAGACAGAAAGTGGTATTCCCTCGACTAAAGGGCAGAAAAGGCCCCCAATAATAATTACGCAGACGTGTCAATCTTACCGGACATATACACAATATATATATATGTATATATAGAGAATGGACGGACCAAATACCGGCTTTACACTCTATAAAAAGAGATATTGTGCAACCAATGGGTAAAAAAGTGTGAAAACATTTGAATTTATCTTACAACTGGCTAAGGAATGGCTCAGTCCATTCTTTCTATGTGTATCTAATATACAACATCATTAAGTAACGTATCTCTTGAAAAATTATAACCATGTGTAAATGAAGTGTTTGTGAAAATTACCAATTATAATTAAGATTTAATTAAACACCTCGCAATTTTACCTTTCAAAAACGTTTAGTTGTGTCGATGTTGACACATTACTGTGCATTAAAGTGATTGTGGACTGGAAAGTGTCTTACCTGATTGTGAACCAAATATACTGTAGTGATACCGACTTTTTTAGTACATGCGTTTAGTACCTAATTAGTGTTTATTGTAATTTGGTATTGTGACCGAAGATGGAGCTGCGGCGCTGGCGCCCGTCAAACGCTGTGTCGATTACCGACTAACCATGATTGTGGTAATTTACGGGATTGATATCATGTACCTTGTTTTTAGTGAGTCGCTGATAATAAGTTAGTCCGTGATCATGGCGCTTGCAACAGTGGTGTCGATTCTGGCGTGATTCTCTAAACTTAAAACTAATTTTAACATCAGTCTCTCCTTTTCATTCTGGATAGAGAATGAAAAGGATACACTGTTGTCAAATTTAAGTTTAGGTTTAGAGAATCATGCTAGAATCGACACCAGTGCTGAAATATCAGAAACTTGCTAAAAATAAAGTACATGGTAGCAATCACAGAAGCTATGATGTTAGTGACCATTAAAGTTTAAAACAATATAACAATGACTGATTGTGATTATGTCGTTCTCCAAAAAATTGCATAGTAAAGCTTAACTTCTTTCAGTGATTTAAATTGCTTAAAGTAGTCTTGAATTGAGTAGTTTGTTGTTTCTATGCTTTATGTAAATTTGTTAATTTTTTGCTATTTACAATGGATAGCCTTTTAAAAGCGTTTTTTCATGGTGTTTATTGTAAAAATATTATTGTATTAGGTTTGGGATTGTATTAAAATATACTTGCAAAAATCTTGAATGAATAAAGACAAAAAAAATCTATATCAAAAGGATAATTGTATGAAACATAAAATAATATTTGATTAAAAATAATGTCAATTGTCAATAAATTTAAGCATTGTTAAATTTTTAATATGTAACTGCCACACTCAATGTACTATCCTTACATTTAACTAAAGTTAGTTACTATAAAATATTCCATTTTTCTGAGTGCAGTGTACTGATTGAATAAATTTTACAATAAATAATTTACAAGTTATTAGCAAGTCAGCTGGTGATTGTAATAAAATGTAAATTAAATCCAGTAATATAATGAACATGTAGCCATAATGTTGTATTAAAAATAATATCTTGTTTGATTGTACTAAATGTAGCATTTGAAAACGGAGGTACAAGTATCTTAGAATCACGATAATTTTGTAATAGTATAAAATTTAGTAATTAGTTTACTATTTTACGTGTGTATGCATTAAAATAAAATTATGTTATTACCTTGGATATTTAATTTTGTTGTAAATAAATGATTGATGATACCACACGTTGTATGTCCATAAGTCCAGGATCAATTTATTTGTTGTAGAGGAATTGTTAATGGAAGCTGGTTCTGATACAGACATATTTTTGAAGAATTACTAGCTTGTAGAAGTGCTTCAATTTAATATGTGTTCACTGAAGATTGAGGTGCGCACTTAATTACAAATTTTTAGTGTCAACATCAAAACAAGCATTTAATTCAGTCTTGCCTCATTTGGTATAAAATTAAAAGGTTTTATTACAGTATGTCTCAGTTAAAAATATTTGTATTTTCTTTTATTCGTTGAAACTGTAGGTTAATGTGAGCAGTATTTCAGCCATTCTATTGCATTTATTCATAATCTTTGTCATAAAATGATGTACAGTTAGATAGATTGAAGTATTTAAAATAGAAAAAATTGTCAAAGGAGGGATAGTTTTATATGATAACACCCCAAATTTATTCTTAACATATTTATGATATGTAAGTGGATTTGTTTTATTTTAGATACTATTATCTATTTGACGCCGACTATGCAGACTTGTAAAGCAAATAATTTTTGTTAATGAGAGCATTTAATAACAAACAATTCAATGGATAGTGTCAAAACGCAAAACTCGTTTAGCTCATATATTTTGTATATTAAAATTTATCTGCTACAGAATATAATATAGTTTTGCACTAGACTTTCACCAATTAAACACTGGTGAATTACCATAGTTTACAAATAATTATTAATTAATGCAAGAATGAATTGTTTTATAGTTTAAAACCTAAAATAGCTTACAATTACGTTATTGATTCCCTTCATGATCACTGAAGCATTGACCTGTCATAGAAAGTCACAATTAGTTTGTTTGAAAGTCTTTGAGAGATGGCTTTTACTGGAAAAATTAAACTTTATTCAGGCACTGCTATTTTTATAATTGTGATTTTGATATTTGTTTTCCCTGGCATTCAAAATCAATTGTTTTTGATCAGCCTTTGTTTTGGTGGGTTATGTTTTGTTTTACAAAAGTTTATATTCGTTTTACAGGCAAAACCAAATGATTGGAGGCAAAAAGCCCATTGGTTCCATTTTTTCAGTTCTAACATTCATCTGATGCTCTATTATAACATGACAAACAAGAAATTTGCATTCCTTTGTAGATCAAAATAATTATTTGATTCTATATTTTGTAAGCTATTCTCAATAACATTGATAATTTGCCTGATATTATTTATTGATGTAATTTATAAGTTTTTTTTTAATTTATATTGTAGTGGAATAAAGCACCCTTACAAACATATAGTGATGTTATTATTACTGTCCTTTAATGTCAATTTAAGTAACAAATTATATAATTAATTTGTCATTAGTTATTTAACAAAATAAAGTAACCTGTGTTATGCTATGAAGTTAATTATGATTAGACATAAATCAATCCTGCCATAATAATTAACCACACTGGTGACACAAGTTGAAGCGCATCAAAGTGAATTACAGAAATGTAACAGCAAATTCACCATTATTTGTTCAATATAATGTACATATTCCTTCTGAGATAAAAAAAAGAAGATGCCTAATGACCATAAAATCAGTACTAATGAAATATTAAAATTAAGAGTGGCTATGCAATTAGGATGCTAATTTTGCAGTTCTATATGAACATGTTCACTAAAAGCTACAGTAATGCGTTCAAGTGGAAGATTAATTTGTCTCAGATTACAAAGAAATTAGTATCAATTTACATGATACTTTGAAAATAGAACTAATGGAATATAAAAGAAAAAACTTAGTACACTAATACATGATCTTTTATTACTTCACTTACAACAAAACAATATAGTTTATTTATGAACCCAAGATTTAAATATTATGGTTAATGGTGTGCGGCTGCTTCTAATCTCCTTTTCTCAGCCCATTTGCTGACATTCTCGGGGGAATTAGCTGAAATGAAATAAAGTCAGATCATTAAAAAATCAAAAAAGTTGAAATCCTACATGATGTAGCCTTAGGACTGAGATTGTAAAGGTAGATTTAATATCTAAAAAGCAAAGTAAGGGTCGATTGGAGACTCCTTAAGAAGATAACGTTTTTTGTTTTACTAGAATAGTAATACTATTTACCCAATTTGTGGATTTTGTAGAAAACAGGCAAGGAGACACCAATGGAGATCATCCAGTAACGCCAGATCCACTGGTTCTGCAGGTAGTGCTTGAAGGGAAACTGAGCGATTTTCGCAGAGAAGGTGTAGGGGTACTTCATGGGGCGTCCAGGTGCATCCGACGACATTGTGGCGAATATAAGCTGAACAGAAATGCATAAAAAGCACTAAAATATCATTATGTAATGTATGATACTGACAGTAAGAACCTTCGGCATTGTTGATCGAAGATTAGGACTAAAGAAAAAAAAACTGATTCTTAATTGAATAAAGTTTTATATTTAAAATAACAGTAATTGAACAACTTCCTAATTTACCTTCCACGGCCAAAAATATACGAGGTTTGAGAATTTTAACCTCAACTTGCCCGTTTGACAGTAAGTGACAACCAAGGACAATCAGTGAACCAGCGAAGGGATATCCATTTAATATCGATATATCGATTTTTTCGATATTTACCATACGATATTTTGATGTTTTGACATAGATTTTTTTATTCGATTTAATGATATATTTATAAAAATATCGATTCGAAAAAACTAACGATGACTCATAATGACAATAAAACCAAAGTAAAAGAGATTGGCAAACCGAGTGTCATTTAAATGTATCATGTACATACCAGAATCGGGATATTTTGAATTTATAGATCACTAGTGGCCCGCCCTCGCTTCGCTGCGGTGTAGAGCTGTAGTGTAGACTATAGTTCTTGTTCTTAGGCATGTATTATACACAATGACATTCTTCTAATACTTAATTATAATAGGCACGCGTCGCCAAGCCCCCTAAACAAAAAAACAACATAATACACTTGAAAAACAAAAATATATGTGTAAATAAAACTAACCTGTCTAAATCTCTAGGCATTCTAAAATCTTTCTGAAATTTATAATTATTGCGTCCATTTAAAGCAAAAATTTAACCATGAACATAAGCACACGCTTTTTGAGACATTTTAACAGTTTATTTTATTTTATAGATCACTTTTACAGTTATTACAATAAAATAATTGTAAATAACCAGGAATTTGTAACACAACACTAAACACTGCAAAACACATTACAAATCGTTCACCTCCTACCGCTATGAGCGCTAGTGTCGCTTTGTTTCCAGAATTCACCAAAAGCTGCACGTATTATTCCGGTTCTGTAGTATTTGGTGATAGTGCCAGTAACATTTCCCAAAAGATAAAAATTCAACAAAACAATATGCCTTCCACGCGCTTTAGGTTCATGGTGGTATCTTTTATCTACCCCTTCTTCTGCACGACTTCTCCTTGTTTGTTTTAATATTTCAATTCCCACAAATAAAAGCTAGGGTCATCTTAATAGAAAGAGATAAAAAAGGCCTCCGTTCTATATCTCTCACTCATTCCGTTTTATTGGTAAAAGTGGTGTCCTGTTTAAATTAAACACCGTGAATTTTGAGTAACCTAACTGAACTTACTTTTACTAGCTATTTCAGAAAACGGTTAAGATTATATTTCCGAAAAAAAAATTGCAAATTCTTTTTTTTTTAAATATCTCCACCTTAGCTCACTATTTGTGTAATTAAAAAACCTTAACAATTTATTTTTTTATAAATTGATTCAAATAAATCTTATAAGAAATTTGGCAAGATCTAAAAAGTTATTTTCAAAGGCTGCTCAAATAGTCAACCAACAAAAAAACAGAATGCAAGGCAAAAGACTAAGTAAACTTTTATTCCTACAAAATCTACCTAAAGCACATTGGTCTTAATTGGGTGTTATGGTAATAAAATATTTCGACTATTAATTTGTAGTGTTTCACTTACATATATAAAAATATCTCATCACCGTCTTGAAACTTGTGAAAAAATATTGATTGTTTCAAAAGATATATCGAAAAATATCGATATCGTTTTTCAATATTTTATATTGAATACATGTATCGATATATTTTTTAAGTGTACACCCCTAAACCAGCCAGCTTAGCTAGGGATGCGACATATAAGTTCCTTGGATGCGACATACCGGTTTCGGAAAAAAGTTAAGCCACGTTGACATAAAGTCTGCTTTGACAAAGTAAATCAATCAAAAATCAATGTCAATAAAGTTATGAAAAGAATTTTTGAGGAACTAATGGTTTTGCTGGTACCGGCAACACTAAATTACTGTCAAATAGTGTAGCTCAGTTCTCACGATAAGGTTATGTTTGTTGCGATTTTATTTTAAAAGTGTTAATTCGAGTTATTTTTTCATTTGATCGCAACGAGATATAAAATCAATCACACTGTTTTTCAGCAGTGTGAAGCAGGGCATATTTCTTTCTCAGTCAATCAATGAAGTTCGTCGGTCTACTTTGGTAAAGACTATGCGTGTAGGGTGGTATTGGTACGAGTATTTGTGTGACTTTGATACCACTGAATACTGGATAGGGAAGATGCATATATAATATTTATGAAAATTTTATGATTAAAATGTTAAAAAAATATAAAAGAAATGCCACTGCAACGTTTTTATTTTACATAATGTTGTTTTTTAACAATTATTACGAGTTAAAAATACTTGAAACGGAACGTATTTTAAAACACCAATCAGCGTTTAGTGACGTCACTCCTGTTATGACAACTTCTTTGAGGTTATGGTTGTTAAAATAAATATTATTTTATGGGAATATTTATTGCGTTTTTTTACATTTAATAAAAATGGAAGTTGCGTTTATCAAAGCAGACTCCAGGAATTTACCAAGAGTTAGCGTTGACATGGTTATAACTTTTTTTTCCAAAGTGCAGAGTTTTTAAGTGTAGAAATGAAAGGGACTAAATTACTACGGTATGTAAAAATCGTAGTTGTTAAACTTCGTATTTTATTCAGCGGCTTCTACAAATCTTACGGCGATAATGCAATCGGCTATGTCCAAATTAAAAGAGATGGAAAATTATGTACAGCAAAAGGTCGAGTTCTCCGAAGCATAAAGTACGTAAAGAAGGTTATCGTGTTACAGTTATTTAAAATGAAACGCAAAGCTTGGTTCAGTCCTGCCAATGTGAAGATTGTGCCACACATTTTAAACTATCTAATTTTCGACGTCATTCTCCAACTGTAAAATTAAAAATATGTTATAGACAGGATTTGTAAGTATTAGGTAGGTTACTAATGCGTTTTTACGTACAAGCAGATTAATTAAGCATATAACAGGTATATTCGCCGATTTACGTCAAAGTGATCTTCTCAGCATCGAATAATGGTCTTTGGAGAATAATTGTCATTTCTCTTCGCAGCTTGAAACCACTTTTTTTCAGTTTTGGGTCAGAAGTTCCAGTCAAAAACAATTTATTTGGAAACTTTGTTGAAGTAGATTGCCACAAAACATGACTTAACATGGCTTTTTTTCGGAATATTAGTGGTATTGTTATGATCACATGATGTTGATGGATAGTCCATTTTAAATTTTTCAAAAAAATATTTCGAAAGTCGAAAAAATATGCAAAACTATGAATATTTAAAGCCAGCAATGAACAATTAGGACCAGTGAAAGACAGGAATGACGTCATCGCAACCATAGGTTCGTTTTCGCGCGAAAATTTAAATTGTCAATTTAAAACCGCATTTTTTCCGATAAATCACAATGTTTTAATTTTTTAATATATCTGTGGTTTATTCTACATGGAATTCTTTAAAATGAAAACAAAAATAAAAATATTGCATCTTCCCTATTGCACCTTACGTTTTATTTTTTTTATGGTGTTATCAGCGGTTTCAATTCAATTCCATTTCACTTGCAAGATTTAGGCTTCCATACTATAGGCTAGTTGATCCTTTTTGGAAAAAGGTTTTAAATGGTTAATAAATGTTCTATTAGACCGAAAAAAATGTATTGTATTTTTTTGAGACCTAAAAAGCTACAAATCTTTAATTTTAAAAAAGATTTTTCATGGACATACAAAAACGCTGTCGGCCATTTTAGTCTATAGATAATCTATGCTATGACGTTAACTGCAGTAAACAAAAACTCGTAAGCACGTAGAAAATAACTTAACTGACTTTATAATAAAAAAAAACATGACTTCTAATAAATACCACGAAAAATGAAGTAATTATCATTATTGTATTGTACGAGAATAGAAAGTTGTGGATTAAAGCCGAAAGGTTAATTTCTTACGCAACTTCATTACACTTATTCATATGTTGTATCAGTTTTATGTTTATTACTACTATGTAATACTATATACACTGTACTTAAATAGATGCCTTGTCGTTTCTCTGCTCCGCAAAGCAGAAATCGGGGTTTAGTGCAATAAATTCACCAACCATCAATGCGTCAATTCTTAGAAGATTTGTGCTTTCTGTTTTCACAACGCCGGCATCCATAATTAGTTTTTTCAAAAAAAAACAGTAAACGGAAACTTTTCTAAAGTTAAAAGTGTTTTAAGATAAATTAAGTCAGACAAAAAAATCCATCCACAGTAACACGCGAATGACATTTAATTGTTTACCATAAGAGACGTCACAATCATGGCGGATGTGGCGAACAGCGTTTTTAATGTTTAAAAAATGTAGACTAAAAATTATTTTTTAAATTAAATTTCTACAGCAATCTTCTGCTTTTATAAAGTGAAATCGATATATTTAGGTTCCTTAGACCAAATACTTTAAGAAATAAACATTTATTTAATACAATTCGACATGAGTCAACTAGCCTATTGTGATCGCATTGCGCAGCGCAGGTAGCGCCATTTTTTAAGGAGGCGAGGGTCTCTTTATTTCCTCCATGTTGATTTTATGTCGGGTATGTAGATGTCGCCGGCACATCACTCCCCTCCGAGACCGGAGGTCGATAGTCTGTGTTTTCAGCAGTCAGTGCGTCAGGGTGCTGCAGGATGCCCCAGTCTGCGGTGAGTCGAGATAGGTGGGGTGAAGGTGCATCGCCAGAGCTGCAGAGTTGCTCCAGTTTACGGTGCGTCGAGACAGGTGGAGCGTGAGTCCGAGTGGGTCCGAGGCTGCTGTTGTGCAGGGCTGCCACGCTGGTTTGGCCGACAAGTGAGGTACCGGTTGTGAGCTGCGAAGACCAGGTCGGGATGATGCCGTCGGGTGCTGCCGAAGGTCCAAGAAGCGTCGTTAAGAGCTGCGATGGAAGCTTGAGGCTGATGCTGGCTTGCTGTGTGACTGCTGATGTTGCTTGATCTGATGAGGAAGGGGTATGAGGAATGATGGTTGGCGCTGCGATGGTTGAAGGTGCTGCGGCCCCTGAGCTACCATCACCCTGCTCAGAAGAAGATCTTCCCCTTTGGCCTTCTTATACTATCAACCAGCAATCAATTAATTGTTCTTAGAACACCCCTAGAGCATCGAGTGAAAACGGCATGTATATTGCTGCCCTTATATAGTATGTCCATGATTGGAACCATAGACTAGGCATATGATTGCAACATCAACATTTATGTCAAATGTCAAAATAAAAATGTCAGAGCTGTCGAAATGTCAGTTTGCTAATGCTTTGTGGTGTCGTGTTTGTGTGGATAAATGTATTTTATAATAAATTTAAATTAAATTGATAATAGAATGTTTTACGATGGCCTCTGTAAAAGTGGCTGTAAGGGTTCGCCCATTCAATCAAAGGTGTGTATGTATTACATCTCTGTAATAGTAACGTTAAATGTTTATTGTATTGTGTATCATTTGCAGGATGTAATATTTGGTGTCCCTAACGCCCCTTAATTTGATCGTGTAAAGGCTTTTTATTATTAAATCATCATCTCTTAACAATATTTACGAAAAATGTTTTCCAGATAAGAATTCGATTTACCTATTTGGATTCTAATTGGGTGCCTGGAAAGTGCAAAAAAACAGTGATGTCATGATGAATGGCAATGACTTTCACGGTTCAGTTGCATTTAGAGCACAAACTGTACTCCGGGCGGGCGATTTAGATGAAAGTTGCCAAAAAGTCTTTAAAGAGTTTCACCTAAATTAATGTCAGTAGGTACAGTAGCTCTGCTGGGTATAATTAAAAGGAATGCAATGTAGTTTAGTTATTTGTTTACTAACAAGTAAAGCAACAAATAACATTCAAACAATGTCTGGGATTGTATGGACTCACAATATTTATGTTAAATTAATTTGACAGATTCTTAGATGAATAATAATTGAGTCCTCAATCAGTAGATGTAATATTTTTTATGTACCTACTTTAAAATGCAATTCAAGGCGTAAAATCAAAGTTGTTAAGGTGTTGTCTGCATACTTTATTATTTTATAGATTTTTTTTACTTTTATTGTTAATTATTAAAAGTATTAACTCAGTCTATTAATTGTGTGCAATTTAACAACTTGTTTATTATTATATATTTTTATTTAACTTTGTGATGATATAAGAAGAGAATAGTATAACATATATTCTTAGGTATTTAGTCATAGTAACCAGGAAGAATAGTAGTAAAAAACATTTATAACACTTTGAAAAATAATGATGTTTTGAGGTAACCTTAGCAGTGCAGTGCAGCTGCCAATAACCAACTAGAGTAAAAACTTTAATGCAAATGAAACTTATAATATTTTTAATAAAAAAAAGTCCTCAACTGGTAATGGAACCCAGGCTGCCCTTGGATGCTTGTTGATTAGGTAAATTTATTAAAAGCAATTAAAGATGTTTGTGGCGATGTCATAAAAGTTTCGGTAAAACTGTACTTCTAGGGCCCGAAAGGTGATACTTGTTTTTTTTTCTAATAGTCACAACACTAACCTAACCTAACCTAGTGTGAAGTATCACCACTTGGGCCCTGGAAGTACAGTTTAGCCAAAGTTTTACTTTAATAAAGCTGTAAACACTGAAACAAATGTTGTATCTAATAGCCATTAAAAATGTTAAAGATGTGGTAAATTTCTTTTGGAGACAACATAATTTGGTAACAAAAAGACAATACAATAAAAAACTTATGACTCATATTTGCTTAATTTCATTTGTGGTGAGTTAAGTTTCAACGCAATAGGAATCACTGCATTTCAAATCAATAGTTGATACAATAGTTTATCATAACATGATTTATAAATCCTTATTAAGCCCTGTATATTCATAAACACATTGAAATCTGTTTAATAGTACATTACACTGTATTAAAAAAGTATTTATTGCACTATTTTGTCATTAATATTTAATGTTGAGTAAATAAGTCACTTAAAAAAAATATTAGTAACTTCATATTTCTTAGAGTATTATCAAAGTTTGTATTGTTGCAGAGAAAAGGATATGGGCGCCAAGTTGATTGTTCAAATGGATGGAAAGAAGACGAGACTACAAACTGTAAAAGTAAGGCTCTATGTATACATACTGTCATAATGTCTTAGACTTTTTTTTTTATTACGTCTGAGATACAAGGAAGGCCAGTTTTTCTTGCTATTTTGTAACCCACAAGTTGTGTTACTTTTGGTATTAGAAAAATAACAGTCCTACTTATTATTGTTAAATGAATACGTAATAATCATGCTTTCTAATATTTCCACACAATCAAGACGCATGCTTCTAATGAAAACAAATGTTCATAGTGTACTGGATAGCCTCATATTGGAAATATTTCTGCCTCATGAACTGTTAAGAATTCAATAATTCCATTTATTAACAATGAAATGTTATTTACAGAATAGCAAAGAGCAAAATGACCGAGAAAAGTATAAAGACTTCACATTCGACCATTCATATTGGTCGTACGATGCAGAGGACAAGCAGTATGCTTCTCAGGAGCAGGTGAGTTATATTGTTTTAAACGTTCATGATCACTAACATTATAGTAATTTATTAACAGGATTGCTACCATGTACCTTGTTTTTGTTTTAATGTTCTGGAGTTTTTTTGCTTATTTTTCTCCTCAGTTAAACAATATGACCAATAACGAGTGGTAGGGAAAATAATGTTTGGACGATTCTAAACTGTTTAGATAAATAAAGATATATTGATTTCTGAGTCCCTGATATTTCAGCACTGTTGTAAGAGCTGTGTTCATGGCGCTTGCTTCAGTAAAGTGATTCACAAAAAACAAGGTACAAGGTAGCAATTCCGGTTATAACTATTATGCAGGGGAGTAATTGTGTTTGTACCAGTACCTTGTCAAGAAAATCATCCTATTTGATGTAAAAGAGGAAAATAGAATTTTCCTCGCTTTTTTAGCCTGCCAAGCCCCTTTTCCCCTACCCCGTTCAGCTCAAGCAGTGCACAATACAATTCATCATCAGCCTATTAATGTCCCCAATGCTGGGGCACAGGCCTTCCCTATGGATGGAATAGGGAGGCCATGACCCACCACGCGGGCCCAGTGCGGATAGGCGGATGCTAACGACTGCAGATGCAGCCGGGACCAATGGCTTAACGTGCCTTTCGAAGCACGGAGGAACTCGAGATAGAAGATTTTTGGTCACCCATCCAATGACCGACCTCACTGCGAAAGTTGCTTAAGATTAACGATCGCAGGCGAACACGCTAACCACCCGCGCCATCGAGCTCCACAATACAATACTTAGTATTTTTATTGCAGTGTACTTCAATATTAGTACTTCGTTAAGGTGCGCCAATTCGGGCAGAAAAATCACTGTGTTTCATTGAGTCTGAGTGAGCAGAGTGAAGTCACAATGGGTGTATTCCGTAATATATACCAGTATACTGGCCAGTGCTAATGACGTCATGAATCGACGCTATACTGGTGAATTGTTCCGAAATATACTGGCCAGTACACTGATGTCATAGATCGTCGAAATATTAAAAATAATGCGAATAAAGAAGAATTTTTATTCACCTCATCAATAAAAAGGAATTATTTTTGTTCGGATGCCGTTATTGTTCTTTAAATAAAAAGAAATAAAATTTGAATGCTTCTCACGCACGCTCGGTCATACGTCATATTCGTTTTCCCGGTAAAAATATGGTAGCATACCAGTACAATATGGCGTCGGATACGTGACGTCATTACCACTGACCAGTTTACTGATGTATATTTCGGAATACACCCAATGTTGCGCACGCTCACACACGCAATTTTGTTCACATGCTCGAATAGTAAGGAAAGATGCATAGTGCATACACACCAAGCTAAATACCAAGACGTTATTAAAAGGTTTGATGTCGCGTTTTTATTCATACAAGCGCAAAGTAGACGCTATGTTAACGCGCGTTTGCATTGTTACTGTATATAATAATACAGGCAGAAAATAACACCCCGTGCTAAGTTTCTTGCCGGTTCTTCTCGGTACAAGGTGAAAGTCTTAAACCGTACATTTGCGAATCGAGGGCGTAGTTTTTGGATCTGCGTAAATGCTAGTAACTAGGGTTACCATATCTCAGGATTTGTCCTGAGATATCAGGATTTTTGGACTCTTCTCAGGATTGCGGCTGGATTTTGCAAATCTCATGCAATCTCAGGATTTTTTGAATTTCCAATAAAATACAGCTTACTATAAAAAGTTAAACTAAAAATAATCTTCTATTGGTAATAATTGCACAATTAAAATCAGTATTATCCAAGTAAGTACTTAATCAGTTTTATCATACTTAATATGTGAAGATACATTTTTAAGTAAGGTTTTTTCTTTAATTATGGATTCATATAATGCCCCACATGTTAAGCTCTTCAAGTTATATTGATTTAAAAGTGTAAGCAGAGTATAAACGATAATATTACGACTTTTTTTTTAAATTTTAAGTACTTTTGAGAGAAAATTCTCAAACTGTAAAAATCTCAGGATTTTTCAATGGAAATCAAGCCTTTTCTCCGGACTTTTGATTTTATCATCTGGTAACCCTACTAGTAACAGACTAAATGATATTGAATATACTGCGACAAGCAAATTTCGTGAAGGGGGGTTTGAATTAATGCTTTATTTCAGAGTGAAAGGTGCAAATGTCCCGGAATTGATAAGCCAGCATCTAGCAAACCTAGTTAAACATCTAGCCTAGCCTTTACTATACTTCAAATGGCTCAGTTTGTGCATGTTTTTGCATACAATCTCGCATTGTTGGCAAAATTGTGGGTTATTTTTAACATTTTCATACATTTGTCTCTTATGAGGAAACTCGTTTATAACCAGTTCTTAACTGCATTTATTCATTCTCACGTAATTTAGAGACGTTTTATGACTTTTGTGATGTTATTAAATGGTCACATAAATCGTAAAAACTTGTTCTTGTCATAAAGGTAAATGAACCAGGACCGTGCATGCATTATGTGAACTCAGACCCGTCTTTCCCGGTGGGCACTTTGAGCAAGTGCCCAGGGCCCCGTGATCGATAGGGGCCCCCTCAGATCAAATACAAAGTCCCTAGTTCCTGTTAGGTCACCAAACGATAACCAATATTTATTACCAAAAAGCTTATACTTTCAGACCCACGGAATATGCATATAAAATTCATAAAAATCGGCCAGGCCGTTTCGGAGGAGTATGGTTACTAACATTGTGACACGAGAATTTTATATATAAGATTTTCAGCGTTACCTACTGTTGTCCCTATCGCACGGTACTTGTCAATGCGCGACAGCAATAGTGTTTTCAAATACCTATTTCTCAAATGTGTCTCAGCTCGCGTCCGCTCTTAATCGACTTAGGTACTTAAATTTCGGTTGTGCTTTTCCATGTTATAAAAAAATGAAGTCATTTGTCGGACATATCTATAAAAAAAAACTTTGGGTTGGCTCATTGCTATCACTCAGTAGAGTATAGAGTTACCAACTTTTTTTATATAAAACTAGCTGACCCAGCGAACTTCGTACCGCCCTAAAAAAATAGGGGTTGTCCAGCGGACAAAATTGTGAATCTAAACCATTCTCAGATCCCCTTGAACACACACAAAAAATTTCATCAAAATCGGTCCAGTCGTTTAAGAGAAGTTCAAGTGACATACACACTCACAGAAGAATTATATATATAAAGATATAGTATTTGCGAAGCTGATACGATAGCGCGGGTGGTTAGCGCGTTCGGCTGCGATCGTTGAAGTTAAGCAACTTTTGCAGCGGTCGCTCATTGGATGGGTGACCAAAAATCTTCTGTCTCGAATTGCTCCGTGCTTCGGAAGGCACGACAATACGTTGGTCCCGGCTGCACCTGCAGTCGTTAGCACCCGCCAATCCGCACTGGGCCCGCGTGGTAGGTCATGGCCCAATCTCCCTATTCCATCCGTAGGGAAGGCCTGTGCTCCAGCAGTGGGGACATTAATAGGCTGACGATGATGTTGATGAAGCTGACACTGCTAAAAATATAGTAGATGGCAAAAAAATGGAAAAAATATAGTGATGTCGATTCTGGCATGATTCTCTAAAGCTAAGCTTGACAACAGTGCATCCTTGTCATTCTGTATACAGAATGAAAAGGAGAGACCGATGTAAAATTTAGTTTTAAGTTTAGAGAATCACGCCAGAATGTGGTTTATATATTTACTTTACTTTTGATATTAATCTACTATATAAAAATAAGTCGGGTTTTCCTTCCTGACGCTATAACTCCAGAACGCACGTACCGATTTCCACGGTTTTGCATTCGTTGGAAAGGTCTCGGGCTCCGTGAGGTTTATAGCAAAGAAAATTCAGGAAAAATTAAAAAAAAATCGTTTTCTTTTAATCACCAAACGAAATGTTACATAAAACGAAGCTATCTGGTGGCGAAACGGAGTTCGCTGGGTTTGCTAGTCTTATATATAAAATTCTCGTGTCACAATGTTAGTTACCATACTCCTCCGAAACAGCCTGACCGATTTTTATGAAATTTTATATGCATATTCCGCGTGGGTCTGATAATCGGCTACTATCTATTTTTCATATCCTTAAGTGGTTAGGAGGAATGTTATCCCAGGAAATTGATAGAACACTTCGTTATGCACACCTAAAATATTTTTTGACAATATTTTTTTTATAATGTGGTATAAAAACACATACAACCCTAAATTTTCTCTTCTATCAGCTGCCCCTATTTTTATGGCGGTACGAAGATCGCTGGGTCAGCTAGTATAATATATTTGCTGCTCTAAACCGTAATAATTATTTTTTTATTTTTAAGAAAGCTTTTACTGGCAAAAGTCGCTTTAAGCAAAATATAATAGTTACGCCTACTATTTTTTTTAGAAATATAATCATAATCAAAATATTTTTTTCAGTTTAGGCTGTTACAAGCACTCATGAATGTGTAGAAGCGTTTGATCCTAGTATGATCAATAGTATCTGATAGTATTTGATCCTCTAATATAGTAGGATACTATATTATACAGTAAGTTTGGCAACCTTAGTAAAGAGAGAGTTCGCTCATATGCTTTGAGCGTGATTAAAATTATGATTTATTCATTTATTTATTAAGGACAGCCAACAAAATAAACACCAAATAAAAATACAAACTGAGAAAGAAATAAAGAAAACAATTCTTAGTGCTGCATTACTTAAAGGCTGTCACTGCATGCTTAAAAAATTACTTACGAAGTAGACTTGCGATAAACAAAATAAGGGAATCTAGTACAAACACATCAAAACCATAAAACTAAGTATTAGGTTCATATTTATTGACGACCTGCGTGGCCGAGTGGTTTGTACGCCGGGTTTTCATGGTGTCGCCGACTCGAGAGGTCCCGGGTTCGAATCCCGGTGGGGGGCAGACCTTTGTGTGATGAATTCGAACATTTGTACTCCAATCATGGATGTTTAATATGTATTTCTATTTAAATATACTTATATATGTAAAGTATATGCATATAAATGATGTAATGGATGGTGAATT